TTTCCAACCAGGAGGAAGTAGGTGGTTATAGTGCACCCCGGTGAGGCTTGTCTTTATACCTACACTGCAGCAAACCAGAATCCTTTGTTTCCTAAGGAGGGAGGGGCCTGTGCGTGAAATTCAGGCTGAGGGTGGGGAGGGGCGCTGGAGGGGGCCGTCTAGGGCTGGGTCCTGCCTAGGGCCTTGCTGTGTGGTCACAACCTGCCCGCTCCAGCGCCAGCTCCATCCCCAGCTCCAGCAGGGGCATGTCTGACCCACTGTGAGAGCAAGAGGTAGGCACAGGGCGAGCAGGTACACACTTGTAAATAAAAAAGCTGTTGCTACTCATTGAGAGCTTGCCCTGTGCCATCTCTATGCTGAGCTCTCTGAAGTGCACATTATTATCACTCCATTTCACAGATGAGGACATTGAGGCCGAGAAGAGCTAAATGGCTTCCCCAAGTGGTTTGCCAGGAGGGTCAGGCCCAAACGCTGACCCGCTGGCCCAGGAATGCCCCCACGGAGCTGGGGCAGCTGGTGGGAGTGTCGAGAAGTTGAAAGTTTGGAGGGAGAACCTCACACCAATATCAGCCCAGTCCCTCCATGTCAGCCTGCGGGGCCGGAACCCTTGAAGGCCCAGCACTGCCCTTGACCTTCCTGCTGACCCGCAGCCCTGTGGTCCCTCCCTCTGTGTGGCCCGGCGGCTCCCAGCCAGGGGCCGTGATGGGCACAATGAGCGATAACCGCAACTACAGCGCCTGAGTGTCAGGCGCCCACTGTCTAAGCCCCGAGATGTCCCTGGGGGCCCTGGGTGACTTCATCCCCAGCGTGAAAAGTGCATGGACAGAGGGACATGGATCGCGGAGACAAGGTGGGGGAACAAGGAGCAAGGCAGCAAGCCTTCCCGGGAGAAGTGACGTCTGTGGCCGTCCTTGAGAGATTAGTGGCGTTTCACCAGCCAATGACAGTGGAAAGTGCATCCCGGGCCAGGGCACAGCCTGAGCAAACCACTGTGTGGGAAGGGCCCCGGGCACAGCTGAAACACAGGGTGAGGTTCTGGGGAGGGCAAGCAAGGTCAGAGGGTCCAGGGCTGCCGGCTTCAGAGGCCCAGCTAGGCAGGGGGGTGTTTGAAGTTGGGGGCCATGATCAAGCAGTCAGTTGACGCACATTCAGGAAGCATTTATTAGGAGCCAGGCGGCATAATAGGCGTGGGGGGCAGAGATGACTAAGGCAGTCACGCTGAAGGGCTGGCTGGAGCTGTCCGCCTGAGCCAGGCTGCGTTCCCGGTGCCCCGCCGGCCACTTAGGAACCTGGCCCCAGGGCCTTACCCTCCTCAGGCTGGACCTCTCCGCCCATAAAACTGGCTTAACTATGCTTGCCACCCAGCCCCGGAGCCCTTTGAGCTCCCCGGATGAAAGATTCTGTTCATAGGGCGCCTCATTGCCAAACAGGGCGGGGTGGAGTAGGGAGCCCCCAGCAGATCCCAGGAAAGCAGAGAAACAGGGGAGGGGGGACGGGGGCACCAAGATCCTCCCAGGTTACAGCCTCCCAAGCCCCCGCAAGCTGCCAAATGTGCTCCTGCAGGCAGGAAACCTCGCCTGCACACTCCCCACCCCCGCCACGCGCTGCCTGTGCTGGTTAAATGGCAGACGCCGGACACCCTGGGTGCTGACGATGTGGCAGCAGGAGGAAGACGTGGAGGAGACCTTGGTTGCAGGGGTGTGCCTAGAAACTGGTACCCTCATTCCTGTGGGGGTGCACTGGGGAGACCTGCCTCCTGAAGTGCAGAGAAGCCACCTGACTTCCCCAAGGGGACCAGCACCCCGTGTGCCTTGCAGTCGCTCTCCTCGCTTGACCTCACACTCCAGGAAACGGCGGCCCCCGAGCCGCACTGACCAGCGCAGGGGGACAGCGAGGACTGTGATCCTCACTCACATGACACCAGCGGGGAAGGAGGCTCAGAGAGGCAGAGCGGCTTGCCCGGGGTCACAGATCGGCAACCGGCCCTGCTCGTCCTTGCTGTCCACCTCCGCCTGCTGGCTCCACTGCCCAGGGCAGCTTCCGACGAGAATGGAGCACTCAGCCTGGCCCCTGGGAAGGCGAGGGGGCTGGAGCCGATTTGGGCTCAGGGCCAGCTCCCTGAAAGCAGAGTGGGCACAGCACCCGGGGCCCAGGAGCCTCCAGCCCCACCCCCAACATGTTTGCATTTTCATTTCTTTTAAAATCAGGAGAAAAATTAAATATCCAAATAATGAATATTTACAGCAGTGAATCAAGCCTAGATTATAGTCAGTTTTCTCCCAATGTGGTCAGAAAATTAAAATATGAATGTTTCTATGAAGACAGTCGCCAGGTGGTTGATCCTGCTGCACTGGTCCCTGGTCAGCCACGGAGATGCTTTCCAGGGGGGACAGAGCCCTCGAGCTCCCCTCCCTGCACAACCCCCCCTCCACCCCCACCACTGTGTCTATGAAATGATGATGAGAGAGAAAAGGAGCAAGGAAGGAACAGTGAGAAAGAGAAAAAGGAGCTGGGGGAAAGTAGCCAAATGAATAGCAGCCAGAGGGAGCGAGGAGTCTTGAAGGGCAGAGCTGTTGAGGAGCAGGTGATGGAGCCGATGACGGAGCCGCAAGGGGCAGGAGGGGTGGGGGGCAGATCTGCGTAGACCCCTGAAGACTGACGGTGGGTGCAGCGAGGCCGGTCAGGGCAGAGGCGCGGCCAGCACAATCACAGGGCCGTGAACAAGGAGGCCAAGAATCTCCCGGGGGGCCTTGCTCTTGCCCCTTCCCCTTCTGTGACTCTGCACCCCTTGTCTTGTGGCCACAGCACTGCGATCTCTATCTCTGAGGTCACATTATCCTTTCCTCTTCTCTGCCTCTCACCCCGATAACCCAGGAGAATCTCCTATCTCAAAATCCTTTAATCATATTCGTAAAGTTTTTCCACAAATACTCACCTTCAGGGATTAGGAACATGCCTCTTTGGGGGCTATTATTCACCTATTACAGGCCCGTAGAGGCAACATGATTTGGGTGGGGCCTGTCTCCAGCCAGCCTGTGGGCATGGCCCTGGCCGGAGAGACACTCGGCCTCTGGCAGCACGTCGTGGGCAGGGCCCTGCGCCAGGCTCCCCGAAGAGGGGGGGAGCAGGCTCTGCACTGGACCTGGTGGGATGTGGAGCCTGTGGAGGGCAGAATTGAGCAGTTAAGCACCCCAGTGAGGAGGGAGGACCCCCCTTCCCAGATGCTGACCCTAAATCTACTTGGGTTCTCATTTCACATGTCCCCTGTTCAGCAGATACTCAGACCCGAGCCAGGCTTGCATCGGCTTCCAGGGAGCCAGCGCTTGTCCACAGGGAGCTCAAAGTCTAACACAGAAGCAACACTGGCAGCTGTCTCCGTGATACTCTCAGGGCAGGTGAGGCTCCCTCTTTGCCAGGTGAAGGGGAGGAAGGCATTTTGGGAGTTGATTTAGCATAAGGACTTCCACTTTCTTCAGTTCCCTGCCCCCAGTGCCTTCCTGTCTCATCTCCGTGGTTTCGTCATTGTTTCCTCTGGGCCTGCAAGTGAAATGACACGGGTTCATCTCCTGACATAGGAAGGAAGCGCCCTCCCCAGCACGCACTTGCTGCCCAGGTGGATGCAGAGCCAGGGCGCCAGGCCCGGGAGGCCACGCGGCACGGTGCTCCTTCCCTATCTCTGGAAAGGCTCATTTCTCCGGAAATTTTGAGTAAGACAGTGGAATAGAGAGCTTAGACCTGCTTTCTCAGCACAGTTGTGCAAACTCCCACTTTAAAATCCAGAAAAGCTACTGCCCTGGAAGGTGGGGGCTCTGAGAGCAGACTGGGAAGTGGCAGAGTCTGCAGTCTCCAAACCAAATAAAAGTGGGTTTGGATGTGGAATTTTCTCATTTTAATTTTGTCTCTGCGTGACTTTAAGGAAATCATTCAAAACCTCTGTGTTAAACATGTTTCCTCATCTGTAAAATGGGTGTAGAAATATCTGGCTGAGGACATTAGGCAAGCGCAGGGCATTTAGCAACCAGCTAAGGGCTAGTGAGCATCCCCGAAGGGCTACATGGGTGCTGGCCCTCCAGGTGGACATACACGGGGGCGTCGGGCTTCTACCTTCACCTCCTCTGCGCCCCACCTCCTCCGGGCACCCTGGGGCGGCTGTGCCCCCAAACCCGGGCACTCTAAGGTCTTGGCACCCCGGCCTCCCCTGCGCCCCACCTCCTCCGGGCCCCTGGGGGGGCTGTGCCCCCAAACCCGAGCACTCTAAGGTCTTGGCACCCCGGCCTCCCCTGCGCCCCACCTCCTCCGGGCCCCTCGGGGGGCTGTGCCCCCAAACCCAAGCACTCTAAGAAGGTCTTGGCACCCCGGCCTCCCCTGTGCCCCACCTCCTCCGGGTCCCTCGGGGCAGCTGTGCCCCCAAACCCGAGCACTCTAAGGTCTTGGCACCCCGGCCTCCCCTGCGCCCCACCTCCTCCGGGCCCCTGGGGGGGCTGTGCCCCCAAACCCGAGCACTCTAAGGTCTTGGCACCCCGGCCTCCCCTGCGCCCCACCTCCTCCGGGCCCCTCGGGGGGCTGTGCCCCCAAACCCGAGCACTCTAAGGTCTTGGCACCCCGGCCTCGGGAGTTTCGAGGCCCCGGACCCGGAGTCGGGCGCGCACACCGGCGGGGAGGCCGGGCTTGCGGATCCGCCGGCGTCCTCGCGCCGCGGGGCGTCGCCGCCACCCCCGCGCCCCCCACGCGCGGCCCCGGCGGGCGCCGCCCCCACCCGGCCCCCGCCGCGGGCGGGGCGCAGCGGGGCCTTTGTGTTCAAACCGCCCAATGGGCGCGGCGGGGGCGCGGCGGGGGCGGGGCGCGGGCGGGGCCGGCCAATGGGCGCGGCTGTCAGCGGGCGGACGGGCGCACATACACACCCGGCCACGCGCGCCCGCCCCACTCGCGGCGCGGCTCTGCGGGCCGCATTGTCCCCGGTCCGGCCCGGCCCCGGCCCCGCGCCGCTCGCGATCCCGACGCGGGAGGGGCGCGCCCCGGCCTCGGACGCCCCCAGCCCGCACCGAGAGCCGCGGCAGCAGGTAACAGCCGGGGAGGGCCCCGCGGGCGGCGGCGGGGCGAGGGTGGCCGACCGGCCCGTCCACCTCCTGGCTCGCCCGGGCCCGCCCTGGCCCGGGGTCGTCGTGGAGCCGCCCCGCCCGGCCGGGCTGCCCAGGCCTGGTTCTTTCTCTGCGGGCCGAGCCGGGCCGGCCGCCCGCGCGCCTGGCGCACGCCCCTGGGCCGGTCAGGAAGGGCCAGCGCTGTGCCAAGGCCGGCGCCTGACGCGCCCGCCCGCCCGCCCACTGGTCAGCCCGGAGGGCGGATGTCCCCGGGCGGGACTTCCCCCAGCCCCTGGGGAGGAGGGAGCGCAGGCCCGGCCGCCCCACGCCGGCCCTGGGCAGTGCCTGCGTTTTTCGTGCCAGGCAGTGGCCAGGGACAGGCAGTTCTCTGCCGCTGCCGCCGCCTGTCAGACTCTGGGAACGGGAGGGAGGCCCATTTTGTTCAGTGCTAAAAAAAAAAAAAAAAAAAAACCAAACAAATAGTGGGCGGGAGTGTGCCTTGGAGCAGGGAGGCAGGCGAGGCGGAGGGTGGTGAGAACCCCTGCAGGTTCAGCCAGAGCAAATGAAGGGGAAGGGAGTTGGCACCTGGAGCGCCGTGCAGGGCCCAGGAGGGGCCGGAGAGCGGACATTGTCGTGGACGGGGCAGGATCTGGGTTAACTCTGCAGACCGTGGACCCCGCCATGCAAGTTTGCAGTGAGGGGGGAAGGCGGAGTTGTGAAAAGGATGTGGTTGAATTCAGAAGCGGGGAAGGGATGTTGAACTTGAGGGTTTCTTAACTGCGTGTGTGTGTGTGTGTGTGTGTGTGTGTGTTTGGGGGCATCTGCTTCCCCTACGCAAAAGATTTGAGCTCGTCCATGACTCTTGTTTTGGAGGACGAGACCTTGAGGTTTCCCTGGTGTGAAAGCCAGCACCGGGGCCCACTGTCCTGTGGCAGCAGGGCTGTGCAGGAAAGACTGGGAGGCACCTCCAGGAGGACGGAGGCGGCTGCTGGCTGCTGACAGCTCCCGGCCCACCCCACCTCCGTCTGGATATTTAAGTCTCCGCCTGCCAGCAGCAGCCAGTGAGCGGCTGTCTAAACACATTGCTTTGTTTCTGCCCCAGGCGCAGGCTTCGGCACAGCAGGGCAGGGGTTAGGGGGCGGAGCCTGTGTGGGCATCTGGTGCTCTCAGGTGGGGAGGGCAGAGGGAGTGGAATTGCCTAATAAGGAGTGAAATATAGAAAAGGACCCCAGCCAGCTTCCTGCATTGGCTACTACCACTGGGTCGCTTTACAACACCGCTAACTCCCGGAGGGATGCCGGGTGGCATCTTGCCTGGGAAAGGCCAAGAAGACCAAGACATGAAGCTGCTTGTTTTTCAGAGGAGGGCTTTCTAGAATGCTCCAGCTGGACTAACCAGACCTTCTGGTTTGCATAGTCTGAGCTGGATGTGTTAGCGTCTATGCCCACCACACACCCCAGGGAACCAGTAATTTAAGTGTCAATCAGGAATAGTCGAAGTGAGAACAAGACGTGTGACAGGACTTGGTGATTTGGCAAAGGCCCCATGTCCAGGCTCCTCGCACGGGTAATTGGAGGCTTTGAGTTTGGGTTTCTAGAGCCAAAAAGCTCTTCAGCCTCCTGGTGCTGCAGAGAGCCACTGTGCAAGGTTTTTCCCTGTGACCTCCTCGGAGTCCTGCTCACCGGCCAGCTGTAGCCCCTGGCCTTCCTGCCCCACGTGGTGATGGCGTCAGGTGGAGGCTGCCTGTAACCCCAGACCCCTCACCTCCATTTGGGACTTCACTAGCAAGTATTTGTTGTGCGACAACTCTGTGCACACCTGCCCTCAGGTCCTTGCTGCTTTAACAGACTCTAGCTGGCAGCACTCAGTGCTGAACCCCTGGAGGTCTGCCCGGTGGACCCAGGCCCCGGCACCTGCCAGCTGGTGACGATGTCCCAGGCTCCCCAGGGCTCGATGGGAACAGTGATCCATCCTTGTCCATGAGGGTCAGAAACAAGTGTGTCGGAAGCCTGGCACCTAACAAAGTGCTTTCCCCTCGGCTCCTGTGTCCGGGCAGCATGGGGCACACGAGCTTTGTGGAAAGGGCCTCTCGCAGAAGGGAAGCAGCTGGGGGAGGACAGACGGCAGTGGGAGAGGCTGCCCGGGGACAGGCGCTGCCGGCCGGGTCTGCAGGGCAGTTGTGTCTGGTGTCTGTTGTGACCTCTCGCACCACTGGCCCCATCACGCATCCCAGGCTGCAGAAGGCCCAGTTCTGGCTCTCACGGAGCCCCGCGTCAGCTAAGACAGCACTAGAAGACCCGTGGACGCTGCCATGAGGGAGGCTGGCGGGTCAGGGCACTGCAGTGGGGAGGGTGGTGCGGCGGTGCCCACAGGTGCCCGTCGCCTCATCTCAGGGTGTCCAGGGTAGCAGTTCCTCATTGGGAGGCGGAGCCACCTCATCTCCCTCCTGCCTCCCCCCTCCCGTGACGGAGCTGGGAGCAGACCCCATGATTCACGTGTCTTCCTTCCTCCCCCAGTCTCTCTTCAGGGGAAGAGTCTCCATCCCGCCTCGTCATGTCTCGACGAAGCCAGCGCCTCACCCGCTACTCCCAGGGCGACGATGACAGCGGCAGCAGCAGCGGGGGGAGCTCGGTGACCGGGAGCCAGGGCAGCGTGTTTAAGGACAGCCCTCTCAGGTAGGGGAGCTGACCGGCTGACGGCAGAGCAGATGGCTCCTCCAGCCAAGGGGGACGTTCACCCCGGGGGGCTCCAGGTCCCCCTGCTGCAAGCCAGGCTCTGCTGCCCTCATGCTCAGAGAAGAGGAAGTGGGGACAGGCAGCCAGGCCGGAAGCCCTGAAACGGCAAGCTCGAGCCGGACAGGCACGCCCGTCTCACTGGCCTGCCCTGGCTGGGGGCTGCCCATGTCGAAGGCCTGAGGCCCGGATGATAGCTCCCGCCCCACCCTACCCCCAGGTTTTGGCCAGCTCCAGGAGGCCAGCTCGGGGTGTCTGGGTTTCCAGTGGATTATAGAAATGACTAACCTCTTAAGAAACATGAGAGAAAACCCTTCACTTTGAAGTCAGAGCTGGATTTGCCACCAGGCTCCATCACCCAGTGAGGATCTGCCTGGCAGCCTGTGCGAGTCAGACAATGAAAGCAGGGGATGTACCTGCTCCCTGCAGCCAGAGGCCGGGTTGTTGCCTAGCAACCAGGCCCGCTGCTACCGAGGGCGGAGTGCTGCCTTCCTGCGGTCTCAGCTCACCTGCCTGTCCCGCCTCTCCCCGCAGGACCTTGAAGAGGAAATCCAGCAGCACCAAGCGCCTCTCCCCAGCGCCCCAGCTGGGTCCCTCCTCCTCCGATGGGCACACCTCCTATTACAGCGAGTCCATGGTCAGGGAGTCCTACGTCGGCAGCCCCCGGGCGGTGTCCCTGGCCCGGAGCGCCATGCTGGACAGCCAGCTGCACGGCGACCCCTACTGGAGTGAGTGCCCAGACCCGCGCCTGGGGCGTTGCGTCCTCTGGAGACTCAGGGCCATGGCGCGGCTCCCCATGGGAAACACTTGAAAACCAGGCTGGTGGGTGAACTCCCAGGTCCCATTAGATGATGACGTGGCCCTGTCGCTCCAAGTCCAGGAGACGGAGGACTCGCCAGTCTCCCCTCCCTGGACTGGAGAGTGGGGGAAAGCTCCTGGCAGATTGCCCCCGTCCGTGGGAGATGCTCCTCAGAGGAGCACCCTCCTCCTCTGGAACACCGTCCAGAGGAACACCCTCCCCAGCGCACCTCTTTCCCCTTCTCTCCTCAGGTGAGGACCTCCGGGAGAGGAGGAGAAGAGGCACGGGCGGCACGGAGAGCAGCAAGCTCAACGGCCTCCCGGAGAGCAAGGTGTCTGAGGACTTCCTCGGGTCCTCCTCTGGCTACTCTTCCGAAGACGACTACATGGGTAGGCCCCCCACCCCCACCTCAGCTGCGGCAGGGTGCCGAGGGAGCCTGGGGAGGCTCTCGCTGCAGCTGGAGAGGGCAGTTCTGCAGACAGGGCCCCCTGAACCCAGGCCTGGGGGGGCCCTCAGCACCCTGGGTGGGACTGCCCTGCCCCCGCTCGCCCTTGAGCAGCCCAAGGTCAGCTCATTTCCAGCAGGCACTTTAACATGGGACTCACACACTGGAGGCGCTTAGTGGTTGTGTTAAATGAGTGAAGGGCCCCTCAGCCAGTCGTGAATAATGGTTTGCGGGATGCAGTGGATGTCAGGAACCCCACGGTCCCCCAGGTGCAACCCTCGGGAATTCAGAGGTGATGACATTTGGTCCCAGTTCTCAGTCCAAAGGAGAAGACGGTAGAGCGTTTCCCCTCCCCAAGGCTCTTCAAAGTGAGGACAACGCTGGCTTCCTCTCCCTGCAGGATACTCCGAGCTGGGCCAGCGGAGTTCGGGCTCGCGCCTAAGGACAGCCGTCTCTGGGGCGGGCTCGTTTTTGTGGATGGTGGTCACTTCTCCAGGTGGGTGCCGGCTGTTCTGGGCATGGCAACTTCCATTCTCTACAGCAGTGACTGCGTCCCCGTCTTTGTGGGGGGGACACCAACCCCTATGGAGGGTGTAGCAGAGCCCCCTCGAGAACAGCCCCTGGGACCCAGGGGCCATGGGACACCCTGGCTTGGAAGGAGCAGCTGCAAAGTGGGCAGCAGGGCAAGGGAGCTGGGCAGGACAGGCCAGATGTGTGTTGGTGGGTGGTTGAAACACCCCCCCAGCAGGCTGCTGACGGGATCACCGGATCTGGGGGTGTCTCTTTCAGGTCGGCTCTTCAGGCTCCTCTACTGGTGGATTGGCTCCACCTGGTACCGCCTAACAACAGCCGCCTCCCTCCTGGACGTCTTTGTCTTAACCAGGTGAGCAAGTGCTCTCAGACCACCGCGGAGGATAAACCCGGGCTGCAAGGCCAGTGTTCAGGCCGTTCCCTCAGCTCTCTCGCTGCTTTCCTTAGTGAGCAGGGGCGGGACACCCCTGCGGGTGGCATAGGACTCGGAGCTGGGCTTTGCTCCCCAAGACTCTAGCCCTTCAGGGAACATTCTAGAATGCAGGTTCATGTTTTCTCTTGGACACTTGCTGCTAAAGGGCAGCCCAACCACTCTGAGCCCCAGACAGGCCCGGCCTTCCTCCTGTGGGAGCCTGGGAGCCGTAGGGTTAGGGTTACAAGTGGTGTTTCCCGGAAAGTCCCGCTTTCCTCAGGGCGCTGTGGCCACCTGGGCCCCCAGTGTTTCCCCTTGTGCCGCTGCGGGTTTGCTTCTCAAGGCCCTGACCCAGCAGGGCCAGGCTCAGGGAACCACCCTCAACCCGCTGTGGAGGAGGGAGCCAGGAAGTCGGGGTCCCTCTGGCCGTCATCTCTGGAGTGGCCTCCAGCTACCCGGGAGGGGGGAGGATCCATTCCTGTCACCAGGAAAGGGTGCCTCGTTTTTCTAAAAGAAAAGATTGTTTACGGAGTCCTGTGCTTTCTTTTTTTCCTATACTTGTTTTGAGGAAGGACCTCTCCATGAGAAAATGTTAGGTTTTTCAGAGACCTTCACTATTTTTAACAAATTTTAACACAGTAAAATTCAGTCGGAATAGACGTCAAAGCCTGCAGGTAAAGCCTGGAAGAGTCCAGTCTGGCCCTGGCAGGGTGACAGGCAAGGGCCTCTAGCACTCGGAGAGTCTCAAGGGACCTGTGGGGCCTCTCGGAGGCCACCTGACTCCCCACCCACCTTTGCTGTTTCAGACGCTTCTCATCCCTGAAGACATTCCTGTGGTTCCTTCTGCTGCTGCTGCTGCTGACTGGCCTGACCTACGGTGAGCTCCCTGCCGGATGCTGCCACAGGGGGAGGGTATGCCCGCAGGTGAGGGGAGATGCCAGACTTGGGATCTTGTCCCCAGGTGGGGTAGCTGCGCTGTCCTGCAGCACCTGAGCGGCCTTGGGGCTCCCTGGGCTGAAACCTGCCTCCTGCAGGAGTATTGGGGTAACAAGCTGGGCCTCTGATGCCAGCATAATTAGCAGTCATTTCCTCTCCGTTCCAAATCAGGACTAGTCTGGGTGGGTGACTTCTTGTTAGTGTCAGGTGCAAGCCTTAACTGTCTTTAAGATCCAGGGCCTCCCCGGTGGCGCAGCGGTTGAGCGCTGGGTTGCGAATCTGCCCGCGCCCTCTGCGGCGCCGGTTCGATCCCCGGCTGCTCCCTGGCCACCGGAGGAGGGTCCCACATGGCGCGCAGACCTCTCCTGCCGCCCGCTGCTCCCCTCAGCAGTGTACCTCGGTCCTTCTGCCTGCTCTGCTCCCCGCTCTGGCTCTGGTGAATTCTCTCACCCTCCCGCGCTTCTGACTGTACCCAGTGCATGTATAAACAAAACAAACAAATAAATAAATAAAACATGCCTCTATTTAAAAAAAAAAAAAAAAAAGATCCAAGCAGGAAAATGGTGACGAGAAGCAGGTGGGAAGAAGCAGGTGCAGCTCCTTACAGGCACGTGCCTGTTTTTGGGCTCTCTCCGCCTCCCCGCCCCCTCCCACTGAGCTGCAGGCTGCTGAGAGCTGTGACCCTGATGTTCATGTCTGCATGTTCAGCTTTTCATCTGGCCGTTTCAGTTCCAGGGGGACGCCTCTAGTAGTCCTCAGTTTATTGTAGTTTTAAAGATGGTACCAATTTATAAATAAAGACCATGCTTTATTTTTTTTTTTAGAGAATTGTTTTTATAGGTGTAGTGTCTGCTCAACTTGTATTCTTTTGTTCATACCAAGAGAAAACAAGTGTTGACTTCCCTTTGCTTTCCTGTAACGAGATGTTCACATCCAGGGGGCTGGGCCTCGCCCTTGTGATGGCCCTTTAGGGTATTCGGGAATCATTCCCGTGGGTCAGCATCTTTTAACTCGATAAATGGTTACAATTTAACCTGAGCTTCACCATGGCCCCGTGGGGCAGGAGCCTATGTCACGGTGGCCTAGTGAGGCAGCGGGCAGAGGCAGCGAGGAAGGGGGAGTCTGGGGCTGAGGGTGAGCCTGGTGCTTCCTCTCGTACCTGCTCGAGTGGGCCACCACTGAGGGGCAAGCCTAGGTCTCACCCAGGAGGAGACCCCAGTATGGCTCTTTCAGGCACCCTCCCCATGCACACAAGTGCACACACACACACTCACACACGAGCTCAGGAGTTAGGGCATCACAATCAGACGGCCCCAAGCAAGACCTGAGCATCTCATGTGGCTGCATAGCCTCTTTTGGGGGTGTGCTTGTTCTGTTTCCGCCATGGCAGCTCATTAGAGCCACCTGGGGAGCTTTTACAACTCAGTAGGAGGGTCCCCCCAGACCAATGAAAGTGCTCTCTGGGGGGGTGGGCCAGACTCTGCAGTCTTAAGTGCTCCCAGGTGATTCCCATGCACATTACAGCCAGGGCTGGGAAGCGCCATCTGGGTTCTGCCCTGTCATCGGGGACAGAAAATGGCTTATTAGAGCCATTTTCTCCAAACCTTGCCATCTACACAAAGATGAGGATTCCTGGAGAGGGAGAGCCGGGTGAGAACGTGTAGACTCTGGGGTGGTCAGGTGAGAGCTGCTGCCTCAGAGAACTACGGACTGTCCACCCCCCAGCACTGCTGCTGATCAGGTAACCACCCCTCCCCCTCCCCACGTGCAGGTGCCTGGTATTTCTACCCCTTCGGGCTGCAGACCCTCCACCCGGCCGTGCTGTCCTGGTGGGCCTCAAAGGGCAGCAGCGGGCCGCAGGGGGTGTGGGAGTCCAGAGACTCGTCCCCACATTTCCAGGTGAGTGCGTGCGGAGGTGCCCAGACTCCGATCTGCCCTCCCTCAGCCCTTCCCTACCAGGTGGAGAAACGCAGGCCTCGCTGGACACTGCTTCATTTCCCGAGTGCCCTTCCTCTGCTGTTTTGGGTATAGGTGTGGGCGGGCAACTGTTTGCCTGCGCTTAGATGTGACTCATAATTGCCCCGGAGTTGGAGCTGTCAAAAGTCAGGGCTGAACCCCTCCACCCGTGTCCCCCCACAGGCAGCAACCTTGGGGTGGGGGCGGGGCCCTGCTAGGCTGGACCCGGCCGGGCCCGTAGGGCTGCTGGTGCCCTCAGACTGTCCGTCTGTGGGAACCGTCTCGGGGAGGGTGCCGTGCCCCCTCTCACCCGCCCACGATCACGCCTCTGAGATCAGACCCCTCCAGTGCGTGTCTCACACCCTGTGCTTTGCTGCCTCTGAGCTCGCAGCTCCCCATCTGCCTGCACTCACTTCCAGCCTGCAGCGCCTCAGTGCCCAGTGCTCGTGCTGGGGTGTTTCTGGGGCCCCATCCCACAGCCCCCGGCAGGAGGCACCGTTGTCCTGGGCCCTCGCCTGTGCTCTTCTCACCTGTGCTCTTTCTTCCCGCCCCGCCAGGCTGAGCAGCGCATTCTGTCCCGGGTGCACTCTCTGGAGCGGCGTCTGGAAGCTCTGGCCGCCGAGTTTTCCTCCAGCTGGCAGAAGGAGGCCATGCGGCTGGAGCGCCTGGAGCTGCGGCAAGGGGGTGCTGGTGAGGGGGGCCGCGGCCTGGGCCAGGAGGACACCCTGGCCCTCCTGGAGGGACTGGTGAGCCGCCGCGAGGCTGCCCTGAAGGAGGACCTCCGCAGGGACACCGCCGCTCGCATCCAGGTGGGAAGGGTGGCGTCAGGTGTGGGCGACTGCGCGGGACACAGGCTGCGGCGTGTGGGGCGGGGGGCCGAGCCCTGTAGGCTGTGTCCTGTGGGCTCGGGCAGCTCTGTCACTTGGCAGTTACCCTGGGTCTCAGTTTCCTCCTTTTTATTTATGTATACAAGCACTGGGTACAGTCACAAGTGCGGGAGGGCGAGAGAATTCACCAGAGCCAGAGCGGGGAGCAGAGCAGGCAGAAGGACCCAAGTACACTGCTGAGGGGAGCAGCGGGCGGCAGGAGAGGTCTGCGCGCCATGCAGGACCCTCGCCTGGCGGCCAGGGATCGAACCAGCGCTGCAGAGGCTGCGGGCAGCTTCACAACCCAGTGTTCAACCGCTGCGCCACCGGGGAGGCCCAGTTTCCTCCTTTTTAAAATATGTCCTTGCCCCGTCATGAGAACCTGACTGTGGCATGCCTGGCATGGTGCCTGCCGCCGGGCGGACGCGCAGTAAGGGCGGAGGGCCTTCTTGCCTGTTTTGGAGAAGCACCGTAGCAGAAAACCAGGAGCTGACGCTTGGCAAGCACAGTCCTGGTTTGAAGTAGAATCCTACCATTGACTCGTCCTAAGTGTACTAGGAGCGCCTCCGGGTCAGAGCCTCAGTCTCCCCTTCTTGCCTGGCAGGAAGAACTGGCGGTCCTGAGAGCAGAATTCCAACAGGACTCAGAAGACCTCTTCAAGAAGATTGTCCAGTCCTCCCAGGTCAGTGGGCTTGGGGCTCCTTGGGGGCTCCAGAGGGGCCCAGACCCAGTTCCAAGTCTATTCTTGGATGAGAGGCCCCGGGCCTCCTGAAGAGCCTGCTTAGGCACAGAGTGGGGAGAGGGGCTGCAGACTCCTGACTTGTGCTTGAACTGAACTGCTCGGGAGCTGGGATGCCCTTCAGGACGTGGGGAGCAAGCTTGAGACTGGGAGCCTGTTGTGCTGGGTACAGCGTGCTGTGTGAACACGAGTGTGCCCGACCCGGTGTCACGCTCTCCCCGGGCCTTGGCCAGGAAGTCCATGTGTCTGCCAGACCCATCGGGAGACCTAGGGCGGGGACGTGGTTAAGCACAGACCCTGCCCTTAGAGACCAGTCACCTGAGCCTGGCATTTCTCAGGTGTCCCTTCTTCCTGCTACAGGAATCTGAGGCTCGGCTCCTGCAGCTGAAGTCCGAATGGCAAAGGTAATGGGCACTGCCATCTGGCCTGAGCTGCCCCTCCACCCCTGCCGATCCCCCGCCCCGGGCTGGGGAGCAGAGTTCTGATGGTGTTGCAGCTGAGGGGGATGGCTGAAACCTGGTCCAGGAGCACCTGCTTAGACTTGCACTTGAGGTGCAGTGGAGGCTGGGGCGTGGGTGCTGCGCGGGAGCTGGGACTCGTGGGCTCCTTATAGATGCACCAGTTCTCTGCAGCATCTCAAAGCTGCCTCCCCGGGCCCAGGCCTGCTGTTTGTGGAGGGTGTAAGCACCCGCGGCAGCGTGAATTCTGAATCTGGCTTTGAGGGGGAGCAGGGGAGTTAGGGCCTTGGGATGGGTTCCCTGAGAGCCACCCATCCTGGGCTTTGCATTCACATGGGTGGGGGGGCAGGCACACACTCTTACATCAGAAGCCAACTTGGGGATACCTTTGTTTTCCCTGGCATGGCCTTAACCCGTCAACAGAGGTCACAGGCTTACTCCTCTCTCTGGTGCAGGATGACCCAGGAATTGTTCCGGGAGAACGCCATGACGGAGCTGGGGCGGCTGGAGACTCAGCTGGCAGGCCTGCGGCAGGAGCTGGCCGCCCTGACCCTGAAGCAAAGCTCAGTGGCGGACCAGGTGGACCTGATGCCACAGCAGATCCAGGCCATGCGGGACGACGTGAGTGGGAGCTGTCCAAGCCCCTGCTGGACACCCAATCCTTGGAGACGGCCTGACCGCGGGGTCGAGACGGGAGTCTATGGCCGCTGCAGGCCCTCAGTCCCATGACCCCCCCTGCTTTGGCCATGGCTTTGTCAGGCGCTCTTTCTGTTCAATAACATGGAGGATTTGCCCCTCTCCTCCAGGGCCCCGCCCTGCAGCCTGCTCTCCCCCCACATGCCTGTCCCCCACCCCCAGGGCCCCAAGTGAGACGCTTTCTCCCTCCCCAGGTGGAGTCTCAGTTCCCTGCCTGGGTCAGCCAGTTCCTTCTCCGAGGTGGGGGAACCCGCTCTGGGCTCCTTCAGCGAGAGGAGATAGAAGCTCAGCTGCGGGAGCTGGAGAGCAAGATCCTTGCCCACGTGGCCGAGATGCAGGGCAAGTCGGCGAAGGAGGCCACAGCCAGCCTTGGGCTAACGCTGCAGAAGGAGGGTGTGATCGGGGTGACAGAGGAGGTGAGGCCCGTATACCCGGGGAGCCCTGTGTACCCACACACGCACGCTCGAACACGTGTCCGCACACTCCCTGCTGTCCCTCCTGGCAGCCACAGGCCTGCACACCCACACTGCCAGCTCTCCAGCATGTGCTGCCACACACAGGACCTGGTGGGGGCGCTGCTGGCTCAGGGGATGGGTGGGTGGCCCCAGTGCCGTGGCCAGCGTGCAGCAGGCACAGGAGGGGTCAGTCCGTCCACTCCCAGCAATGGTCTCTGGGCTCACGTTCCAGCAGGTGCACCGCATTGTAAACCAGGCCCTGAAGCGCTACAGTGAGGACCGCATCGGGCTGGTGGACTACGCGCTGGAGTCAGGAGGTGTGTGCACCCCTCTCCTGGCTTTGCCTCCCCCCACATAGGTCGGGACCCCCACCCCCTGTCCCCACTCTTGAACCCACAGCACTGCAAACAGCTCAGAGCAGCTGGGAGAGGCTGCCATTCAGGCTGCTCCGTGGGTCTGGGTTGGGCCTGGGGCATCTGCCCTTGTCCCGAGACAGGCTCCAGCAGACCCTCTCAGGCTCCTTTGACCAGCAAGTGGAGCTGCGTGTCTGGGCTCCGTCCCTGCTGGTGGCCCGGTGCTCGGGCTGCCCCTCCAGCTGCCCCCTCCTCTCTCAGGCGCCAGTGTTGTCAGCACCCGATGTTCCGAGACGTACGAGACCAAGACAGCCCTCCTCAGCCTCTTCGGCATCCCGCTGTGGTACCACTCCCAGTCACCCCGAGTCATCCTCCAGGTGGGCACCCTACACAGGCAGCAGGGGGCCCCCAGCACACTGGGCCACCTATGTACCTGGCTGACGTCCCCTCCTTGGTCAGCTGGGACTGGCTGGCTGCAAGCTGTGACCCCGCTCTCCTCCCCTCCAGCCAGACGTGCATCCAGGCAACTGCTGGGCCTTCCAGGGGCCCCAGGGCTTTGCCGTGGTTCGCCTGTCCGCCCGCATCCGCCCCACGGCGGCCACCTTAGAGCATGTGCCCAAGTCTTTGTCACCCAACAGCACCATCTCCAGTGCCCCCAAGGACTTTGCCATCTATGTGAGTACCCCCCAGGGCATGGGGCAGGAGGGGCCTCGGGGGAGGATTAAAGGGGCTCAGGCGTCAGTGGAAATGACCGCCCGGCCCCAAGGCGTTCCATGGCCTGTCGGGCCAGCCGGCTGGTACTCAGGTCCCTGCAGGGTGTCTGTCCTCCCCAGCCTGCTGCTCCAGCTGTGTGGGTGGGAGGGACCAGGGGCATAGTAAGGGCAAGACCTCCTTCCAACTCTCCTCTCTTCAGGGGTTTGATGAAGACCTGCAGCAGGAGGGGACACTTCTTGGCCAGTTCACCTACGACCAGGATGGGGAGCCCATCCAGACGTTTTACTTTCAGGTACGGGATCTGTGCTGCCAGTGAGGGGTGGCAATTTCCCTTTCCATCCACTCAGCAGATGTTTTCCAAGCTTGTACCTGCGGCAGGCACTGGGGGTTCAGAGCCAGAGGCCATAGCCCCTGCCCTCCCAATCCCTGCTCAGCAGCTGCAGCCATGGGCAGAACACAGGCCCCCGCAGACCAGGAGGCTGCGGGAAAGGGCACTGACGAGGCGAGCTTCATGAGAGCGCGCCAGGCTCCCAGGGAAATAGTAGGAAGAGTGTTCTGGAAGCGAGGGAGGGATGTACCAGGGCCAGTGGATCGTGACCAGGCCTCAGGGCTTCCTCCCTCAGCTTGAGGGGCATCTCCTAGGCCCTTGTTGGATGTGCAGACTCCCAGGCTCCACCGCAGGAGACCGATCACTCAGGGCTGATGGTAGCTACATTCTGACCAACAGCCCAGGCGGGTCCCATGAGATGCTCGAGCCACGAGCGGGGAGCAGTAGGGTGAGGAGGGTGCGAAGCGGACAAGGGAGAGTTGCAGGAGTGGGGCCAGGAGAGGCAGGCCTGGCTACCAGCAGGGCGAGGGGTTTCAGCCCTCGTGACTGGGGCGGGCAATGCCTTGTTTTAGGCAGAGAAGCAAAGATGTGACATCTGCTGTAGTCAGTTCACTGTGCGTGTGTGTAAATGCTGACTCTGAATCCAAGCCTGGAGAGTGGGCGGTGCCCTGAATGTCAGACTGGGTGAGAGCAGGGAAGGTGCCGAGGGGCTGGTGAATCAGAGAACAGATTTGGCCAGAGTTGGCAGCACTTGGGAGCACCCAGTGGGCCGTCAGGGCACGGGGAGCCCTGGGTGTGCTGGGGGCTGCTCAGGGAAGACGCAGGCTGGGCCTCAGGAGGGGTGGGGGCGAGGCGGGAGGCCAGGGTGCAAGGGTAGCAGAGCACTGTGCCTGTGGATCAGGGAGGTGAGATTTGCCCCAAAAGCTGGCCCAGAAATTGGGACCTTCTTTTTAAGCACAGAGGACAAACACCCAGTGGGAAGTTGAGAAAGAAAGTAAGAACTTCTGCTTCGTTCAGAGAACAGGGGTTCTTGGGACATTATGGCACCTCCATGAAGGCGGCTCTGTTGGCAGCGGGGGGATGCTGGTGAACCTGTCGGTCAAGGTGGGTGGTGCTGGGGCTGGCCCACAAGGGGAAGTTTATGTGATCCACCCCACCTGGTCTCCGAAGCCCCTGGAAGCTGCTCAAGCTTCTGAAGACGGGGACTTCAAGCCCGGCTCTGCACTGAGGCCCAGGAGGTGCAGAAAGGGACTATCCTCTCGGCTCCTGTAAGGCATCTGCAGCAACCCAATCCCTCCCTTCTCTATCTAGGACCCGAAAATGGCCACGTACCAGGTGGTGGAACTGAGGATCCTGACCAACTGGGGCCATCCAGAGTACACCTGCATCTACCGCTTCAGGGTGCACGGGGAGCCTGCCCACTAGCCTGCTCTGTGCCACCAGCCAGCGGGGGGCCAGCCTCGCAGCAAGTGCCGCCTTCTCTCGGAGGGGCAGAAGGGCGGGCAGCACGCTGGCCCGTCCCCTGCACGCCTGCTCAGCACACTGACTTCCAGGAGCTAGAGCGAGCCGCCCACCCGACCCCATGGACACCCCATGCAGGGTTTCCCGAGCCCCAGGGCCTGACTGTCTTCCTTCTTGCACCAGGCACCGCCTTTACTTCCCCCTCCTGGGAGATGTAAATATGTAGCATATCGTGCGGGCTGAGGCCAGGTGACAGTTCCAGCAAAGGCAGAGGGTGCCAACTGCCCACACCCTGGCTCGCAGGGAGCTGCTGTGGGGAGGCTTGCGGGCCATGAGCTAGGGCACCGGGCAGGTGAGTGTCCCCAGCCCCCACAGGGAAGTGAGCCCTCCAGGAGGAGGGTGCATGTGGGGCAGGCCGGGGCAGGCCAGGCAGGAAGTTCCGGTAGAGGGTAGGGGCTCTTCCAGAAGGCTGGTGCCCCCAACCTAGGTGAGCTTGGCCCTTGGGTTCCTGAAGGGCCTCCATACACTGTCCTTGTCCAGGGTCAAGGTGACCTGAGAGCTTCCTGTACCGGAGAGGATCTGGCTCCTGTGGGCCTCTGAGGGCCCCTGCCTGTGTGGCTGAGGGATCAGGGGTGCAGCCCTGAAGGATCCCCTTCTGCTGGAGGGCTGGGGATAATGTTCTCTCCTGATGCTGGGACTGAGGCACACACTGCTCCCCATTCCTGCTAGAACCTGCCTGTGCCCGAAGCACACGGTCACATTCCCCTGGGTATAGGCAGCCCACCTGCCTTCCAGGCCCTATCACCTGGGCACAGCTCAAAGGGTGGGGACGCCTTGAGCTCTCCCACCAGTCCAGCCTGTTATGTGTGGTGGGGGGTCTGGCTGCACTGCTGGGGCACCCCACAACCCGCCCCGTCAGGCCACTGATGTAAGGGGGCCTAACCCTCAGCCTTTCCGCTCTCGCTTGGACTCTCTCCTTTCTGGCTCATCTCTGGGGACAGTTGGGCAGGGGGCTGGGGGGGAGTGGGAGAGGGTTGGGGGGGCTCTTAGATCTAGCAGGTCCTCCTGCATTATGTACATATTTTTCAAGGTCTGTTTTTTAATTGATAAGCTTAAGGCTTGATTCCTAGCCCCGTTCTGTGGGGCACTGGGTTATACTAGAGAGGGGGCTCGGGGTACAGGTTCCAGCCATGTGGCTGGTTCTGGCCAGGGGGAGGGGCCGGAGGGAGGGGAGGGCTGGCCCAGAAGGCCCGGTGAGGACTGGGCTGCAATGAAGGCCAGGCCAGCCGGGTGGCCCTCCAGCATCCTCCCACCCCCGCCCCCAGACAACCAGCTTTTGTTTCACGCTCTCCTGTCACAAATGCTGCACTGTTGGTCCTTAGTTTTTTATCTCCAGATTCTAATTTATGCCTATGCAAAAAATAAATTATGCCCAGGATTACAGAAGTGTGTGTTCTTACTGGTCCCTGCCCTTGGGAACACAGAATGGGTCTTAGCCCAAATTACCTGTCTGCTTCGTGGAGAGCCTCGTCCGTGGAGTCGGACCTTTACCCAGGTGCCTGTGCCAGGACAGGTCCCTGAAAAGAGGTGGCTCCTGAAGAGCCAGAATCTGTCAGCTCAGGGGAGCAGAGTCTGGCTCCTCACAGGGCTCGCCCCAGACTTGGTGCCTCCAGTGGGCTGCTCTAGGGGCCAGGGCAAGACAGGCCCCGCCTGCCTCATTCTGGCATCTGGTCCAGGGCTGGCCCTATTGCAGCTGAGGAAATAGGAAGAGGCGATAGGGTAGGTTTGGGGGTGAACCACCACAGGAGAGGGCACCTGTGGGGTGCAAGTCCAGCCCCCAGCATAGAGCCACACACTCACCCGTTGGCCGGGTGTCCTTTCCCTTCCCCACCCTGCATTTAGCACCATTTCAACAAAGGGCTACTCCCCAAGGGGCCCCAGCAAACAAGTCCCCAGAGCTGATCCCACAAGTCAGGACAAGTGCCTCGGTGCACCCCCCTCCCTCTGTCCAAGTCCTGTGGGCCCCTCAGCACCTCCCCGTGGTATTTGACCCCAATCAAACATGCCCCCCACCCCAGCCCACTGCATATTCCTGTAACTTATTCCGCACCAGGGAGGCCACAAAGCCAGCAGAGCCGTCCTGGCCAACTGAAGACACGGCACGTGTACCAGACGCAGGACGAGCGGGATTTGTCACGAGAGATGATCCGATCAACAACTTTATTCTCAGTCAACTACAAAAGGGCTGGTGTCTTGTTCCAAGTGGAGAGCTGGGGGCTGAGACCGGCAGGGCACCTGGTCGTCCACGGTGACAAAACACTGTTCAGTCAGCCCCTGCCAGTGGGTGTGGGCCTGGTGGCAGGACACCCAGACCCCTCCTGAGTGTCTGAGGGCAAAGGCCAGGCAGGGGGCCATTTCCAAATGTAAGGTGGCTATGCTTGGAGGGGAAAGAGTTAAAACAAGTCTCCGCTTGCCAAGAGGGCTGTCGTGGCCCAGTCCTGTGGAAATACAACAGGGCGGCGTGGTGACGGAGCAGGATGTGGCGACTGCAGTCCTCCCGCCACCGAGGCACCAGAGGGCAGAGGCCCCGTAATCAAGCCCAAAGAGCAAGAGGGCAATGGCCAGTGGTCATAGGAGAAGGCAGAGGCCCCAGGATACAAAGGACCTCTGACCGTGAGTGGCTGCGGCCCAGCCTGCTGGTGAAGCTGTGCTTCTCTGAGCTGCTCCCTCAACTGAAAAAAAGGAGGGACACCAGCGCCCCACAGATGGTAACTGCTGACCTCAGCACCTGGGAGCAGAGAAGTCGGGCCACGTGCCCCCCGCCCTGGCCTTGGCCGTGGGCCTGGGAGCCGCACAGGCCTGAACAGCGAAGGGACCACGTCCCACACATGGGCGCTCATGCTCTCGCTGCTCCTCGTGCACTGCTGCGAAAGAGGAACTGAGGTTCAGAGGAGCGTGGTCACTCGTCCCACGTCCCGGCTGGAGGGGGAGCCTGGGCACTGGAGACTGCCCGAGGGAGAGGTTGGGCAGGGAAGAGGACACCATCAACTTGAACCAACTTTTATTCTGTGTGCTGGTCTGGTCGGTCGGTCCATGACCACGGTCAGTGGTAACTAGAAATAGTGGGGAGGAGGGGTGACCAGTAGTTTGGAGGCATAAGAGAAGGATCGGGAGGGAGAGAGGAGGAAGACGAGGCTGAGGAAGGACCCAGCCAGCTGGGTATCTGCCCCGGCAAGAGAAAGAACACATCTTCACCCATCAGCCCGCCCTAAACTGAGGGCTTCAGTCCACAGCTCAGACCAGGCTGGTTTAAGGCCCATGTGGCCGTCTCTGGCCTGGGCAGCCCTACCCGCATCCCCAGCAGTGATTCTTCCAGAGGCTTTAATGCTCTCTTGGGCCTGAAAGTTTTTCTTTACTACCCCCTACCTGTCAGCCCCACACTCCCATCCCGGGCCTCAGGCCATGGACTGCGGTGCTCCTGGAGCAGCCATACTGGGGTGGGGTGGTGGGCTCCTTGTCAGCTCAGAGGAACACCATGCATCCCAACCAATAGAAGTGCTAGTGAATATGGATCCCCTTCTCCACGCCAGCAGTCCAACCCCAGCCTAGGTCACCAGTGCCCCAAGGCCCGACAAGATTCAGAGCCCAAGACCAAGCAGGAGGCAGCTCCTGGGCTGGGCACACGCAGGATTGTCTCCAAGGGAAGGAAAGCTGTCCGCTGTCTTTGGGTCAATGCCAAGGGTCAGTTAGGGGCAGGCAGAGCCCTACAATCCAATCACCAATCCCTACCACACAGCTATAGGTTACAACTTAAGAGCTTTTGGCATTACCTGTTTTGGGGGCAGAGGAAAAGTAGGGGGAGAGAAGAAAGGGGAAGCCACCACTCTGCCCTGTAAAATCCCCTAAGTCCCAGAGGGAGGGCTCCAGCCCCGGCGGCAGCAGACCCTCACACCGGGAAGCCCCCAGCCCCGAGACCGGCTCTGGAGGGGCCCGAGCAGTGAGCACAGGCAAGCAGGCGCCTTCAGCTCCTGACAATCGGAGGGGTTCTCCCAGACACGGCTGGCGGTGGCGTGAGGAGAGCGACTGCCAAGGCCGACTGCTGCACCCTGCCCGCACGCCCACAGACACGCTAGACAGAGATAATACAAAGAATAAAAACGAAGGGCCCATCCAGATGTACAAAAATGTGTGTGAGGAAGAAGACAGGAAGAGGGAGGGAGATGGTCAGTCCTCTGGACGTCTGGCCACCTTCCTCAGCTTATAAATTACAACCCCCCTGGAAAACGGGGGTGGGGGAATGAGGAGGCGTGGGCTGTGACCTGGGGGCAGGCGGGTGGCATCAGAGCTGCGCTGGCCCATCTGGTGGAGCATGGCCCCCAGGACGAGGATCCTTGGGGATGGGCGTGGGGGGTGGGGGATCTAGCAGCCGCTGGCAGGAGTCACACAGGCCCCTTGGGACTTCACCTTGTGACGCTGGCCCCCCCGTCGCCGGCCCCCACTGCTGGGCTTGGGCTGAAAGAGAGAAAGAAAGGGCTTGAGAAACTGTGGCCCATTGGGCGCAGGGCTGTGGCAGGGCGGCCAGGAGAGGCGCGAGCAGGCACCGGTCATGCATTAACGGCGCAAGGAAGCTCCAGAGAAGCACAAAGAGCAGAGATCAACGCCAGCCACTGCTGACGGCAGAGAGACAGGACAGCTGAGCCAGAGGACAGGCTCGATGCTAGAAAGGACAGAGCCAGGTGGAGCTTCCTTGGGCTCAGCAGGAGGAAGCGACGGGAAGGAGACAAGGTGGGGGCCTGCCAGGAGAGAGCCACGCCGGACCAGGCTCCAGGCCACCTCTGCTCAGGAGGTGTCACGCCAGGGGAGGTGCCACCCGAGGACCCCCAGGGGCTGCTCTCACACATGTGGCTTTCCATCGAGGGGAAACGCTGACAGTTCTCTACACTACTTCATTAAAAACAAATGCTGGTCATGGTCAGGACCCACTAAATGGATTCTATGTGGGCCACATCTTCAAGCTTGAAAAACCCTAACAGACAATGAGCTCACACAAAGTGCTGGCGGCAAGGAAACATCTTCCATCTGGGAACTGGCAGATGTGGCCCAGGTTGGGCCCCCCATGAGCCTGCAAGCCACCCACCACGAAGCCCTGGCTAGCGCACCGCTGGGGCAGACCCAGGGCAGCAGGCGGCAGGCTCACCTGTGGCTGGAGGCTGCTGGACGCAGCTGGCTGTGCGGTCCCCAGAGAGCAGCCTTCATCACCAGGTGGGGGTGCCCCGACTGCTGGCCCTCCAGAGGGTCCCCCGTCCTCTCGTTTGGTCAGGGGGCCTTTTTTCGTTGACTGCATTTTAATCTGCTGGGGCTTGGAGTTCATTGGGGAGTTGTTGGTGGTCTGGAGGAGCTGCAGGAACCAAGGGGTTAAGGATGAGGCTACAGTTGCAGGCGGTGACATCCATTCCCCCCAACCCCAGGGACTTCTCGCTGCCAGCCTGGCTGGTTGGGTACCAGAAGCGACGGCTGAGGGCCATGACAGACAGTGGAGGTGTCTCAGGGCGGCCACCTCACCTGTCTCAGCCCAGCCCCATCCTGTTCCCTGTCCTGACTGTTCTCCCTAAAGACAATCTGTGAAGCTCTGCCAATCCCCTTTGCCCCAGGACACAGGCCAGGGCCCAGCCCACCCAGAGCTCACAAGCTGACCTCAAAGCTCTCTTCTGACCATCAACTGCACATCCAGCCCTAGGCCCAGGCAGCCCCATTGCAAGAGCCTGAACGAGCTTTACTTTCAGGTCTCGGATAGAATAGCTGAAAGTCTCAGCTGCCAGAAGCACTTGGAGGGTGACAATCAGAAACCCCAAGTGCTACCGCCCAGGAGGGACGGATGCTGAGCCTTCCCTGGCGCCCCACTCACTGTCGAGCAATGCAGGGGAAGGCAAGGGCACCACAGTGTGTGCTGGCAGCTGCTGCCAGGCTCTCAGCCCATCCCAGAGGCAAACAGGTGATTCAAGGATGCGACTCAGCCCCCCTCACAAGCACATTGCAGCCCTAGGGTCACCACGATGGGCCTGAGGAAGGGAAAGGCCAGTCTGAGGCTGAGTCCAAGAACTCACACCGGCTGGGGCCACTTCCTTCTCTACAGAGCAGGGGTCAAGCTGACCCATTAAGTGCCCTTACCCAAGGCCATGGGCAAAGCCCATCGAGGGCAAAAGGTAGGCTCTAGGACACACAAACAGCTCAAGCCCCAAGGGCTTCAGCCCAGGCTTCTGGCTGCCAGCTCTCACTCCAACCTGACCTACTGCTGAGGCCAGGCTGCCGAGGCCGTGCCCAGCATCTGGCTCTACACAATACCACGCCATAATCCCCCCTTCTCTCTACCATGGTTGCTACCAAAGCCCAGGGACACCTCTCGGGGGAGTGGAGAAGAGGCCTGGGGGCCACACCTCAGTGCTGCTCCAGGCTCCCAAGCTGGGGACTGGTGCCACCGCCCCAGGCTTCTTATAGGAGACTGTGGTTCAAATGTTGGGGGGGGTGGAGGGGAGAAGGAACCTGGAACATTCTTGGTGGGAATGTAAACTGTCCAGCCTCTCTGGAAAACAGTATGGATATTTCTCAAAATATGAAAAAGAGATCTACCATATGATCTGGCAATCAATCACCTTCCTGTTATCGAGCTAAAGTACACAAAAACACTGATTCGGAAAGATCTACACAGCTGTGCTCACTGCACACCATGACAACAGCCAAGTGACGGAACCCCCTCAGCGCCCAGCATGGCTGAGTAGAGGGAACAGGACGACGCGGCACTGCACTACTAAACCCTATTCAGTTACCAAAGGAGACGAGAGCTCTCCATCTGCAGCAACACGGATGGAACTGGAAGAGAGCATGCTAAGTCAGCCAGAGGAGAAAGAAATATCAAATAACCTCACTCACGTGGATATAAAGAAACACAGCAAAGGAACAGACAAAGCCAAACCAAATCAAACACCTAAAGCCTGACTGCAGAATGGAGATGTCCAGTGTGGGGGCCCAGTGGAGGCTGTTCTGGCGGTGTGTGCTGACCTGTGAAGCGGTGTGAACCTGTATCCCTGAAACAGAGCGCCGCGATGCAACATGGACCGTAATAGAGCCTGTCCCTCCCCGGGCCAGAACTGGTGTGGCCCTGGCGCCTCTGGGGGCCAGCGGGGGTCTGCTGGGCCATACCTTGGTGATGGTGCCCACCGCTTTGGTTCGGCCTTCCCGGAACACCAGCCGCTGGTCTATGTGCAGGTACTCGGGGGTCTTGATGAAGCGGAAGTGCACAGTGGCCTTGTCCCCGGTGCGCAGACAGTCCTTGTCCATGCTCAGGATGGTAGCCGTCTGCCTGATGCTCCCACAGTGCACTGCCAGGGGAGTCGGGGTCAGGATGGGCTCGACCCCCTGCGGCCGAGTAGCCAAGTGACCCAGAGGCCTGCTGGCAGGTCTCATCTCCTGCCTCACGCTCGCCCACATTTCCCTCCAGTTAAGACACCACCTGCTCCTGGATCCCCAGGCCTAGTGCCGAGTACAGGCACTCTGCTGGACTGAGTGACCGCTCTGAACTGGAGCAGGTCTCTGCCCTCTCATCTTTGTTCCCAGTGCCTTGGTCTCAGGCAGGCACACAGCAGCTTTCAGCAGAAATTTGCTGAAGGGATGAGTGAGGGCAGACTGGGCATCCAGAGTCCGGCACACAGTGGGTATTCAGTGTTTGCAGGGCTAAAATAAACGCTGCAGCTCATGGGGGAAGGGGAGAGGATGGCATGGCTGGGCAGGACAGAGACCTGACACCTGGCTGAAGCTGACCCTTGGGGGCCTGGGTTACCAGAATACTTCAGGGGAAGTCAGACCTCCTCAGCAGGCAGCTCCCTTAGACACCTACCCATGGCCTGGTAGCGTGGGCTGATGGTAGTGGGGTGATGGAGGACCAGAATCTCAGCCTCAAACTCCCAGGATGCCTGGGGATTCAAGCGTGGAGAAACCATCACCATGCCTTTCCGGATGGACGAGCGCTTGATCTGAAAGCAAAAGGAAACCCCAGACCTCAGGGAGAGCAACGCCTCTGATTGCCCTGCCGGTGCTGGAAGGAACGGGGCTGTCCAACTTGGCCTTGACCCCTCACTGCCAAGAACCTCAGAGAGAGAACAGTGCAGCTGGGAAGTCCCAACACTGCTCTTGGGGACCTTGAGGGTAAAGAAAGGTTCATGTAGGAAGCAGCATTTCCTCTGGGCCTGATGAATGAAGTGGGTGGCGAGAGGGCACAGGAAGGCGAGCAGCAGGTGAAGGAGAGGGCAGGTGTGACGCGACTGCTGCAGGGAATGAAAAAAGCTGTCCTACTTTGCTGTTTAATTTGGTTGGCGGGAAAGGTAAGAGCCCCAGAGCCGGCATTCACCCCAACCCCCAGGAGAGAGGATGACTGGGAAGAGTTGGGCATGGACCCCAGAGCCCCGATGGAGAAGGGCCCTCTGCTCAGCAGGGAGGTGCCTATCTGACCTCACACTGAGCTCAGGCACCCTGCTCAGGGGCAAGCGCCTCAGGGGCAGGCAGGCTGGGGTCCAGCCCTGGCTCTAGCACTGACTAGCTATGTGTTCCTGGACAAGTCCCCCCACCCCGGGCTCTCTGAGCCTCAGTTTCCCCATCTATAAAAGTGAGGTCAGAAGTCCCTGCCTCGCAGAGCAGCTGTGAGGACTGGCATGGGCCCAGCACCAGGTCTAAGGGAGCCCAGGGCTTTCAGGATTACCAGCACTCACCTTCTTCAGCGCGAAGGAGGCCGTCTGGCCACCCCGCACCTCCTTGACAGGCATGCGCTTGCGGTGGATCGATTTGACAGCAATGGACAGGAAGTTCCCCAGGGGATCTGGGCCCAGCAGCAGAGTATCATTCAGCTTGATCAGGCCCCTCAGGGTTGTCCCTGACACCACTGTCCCCACACCCTGTGGAGAAACCCTGGGCCAGTGAGTCCATCCCAGCTCGGGCCCTCCCCGCCAGACTCACCCAACACCTCTGCAGGAAGTGCCCCACCAACCCTGCACCCTGCTCAGTGCCCTGATGCCGCTCACCGGCACAGAGTAGGTATCGTCGATCTGAAACTCTGCAGGCTCTTCCTCCCGGTAGCTGGTGCGGGGCGAGAGGAGGTTGAGGAACATCTTCAGCAGATCCAGGTTCTCGCCTGTGACGTTGGAGATCTGGAATATCGGGCACATCCTAAGTGGAGGGCAGAGAGAAAGGAAGACAGGAGCTCAGGCGCCAGCTCTGGGCTGGACGCTGGGTGAGACCAGCAGGAGGCTTCCGAAGAGCTGCTGCTGCTGCGGCCCCCCACCTCACTCACCCCAGGGCTCCCCACTTTGCTCCCCCACCCCCTACAACCCCTGGGCAGAGTTGTGTCCAGGAGAAAACCACTCCAAAGGGGTTCTCTTTGACTCAGTTTTGTCCCTGAAATCTGCCCCCCATCCCCCGTCCCTCCACCACTGCCCTATTTGGGGCACTCACGCTGGCTTCAATTTAACCGCCTTTCCTCCGCAGAGATGACAGCCCAGTTCCCTCCGCCCAATGTCTCTGCAGGCTTATTTCATCCACATTCCCACATTCCTGCCAGACCAAGGAACCATCCCTGCCGCTACAAGCTTGGTGCTTTTTTGCCCCCGTGTGTGTTTGATCTTCCTGCTGAATCCCTCCAACTCCCACAATCTTTCCTTCTACAGAGCTTATCTCTAAGGCTGCGTCCCCCAGGAAAGCCTCGCAGGGCTGCTCTTGGAGAAGTTCTGCATCATAGTTGTGTGACTACATTTGATTTCCTGTCACGGATACCTCAATGGACTCTACCTCTCCTACCCAGTGTTCATCAAACACTTTAAGATCCAGGAATTCACCTGCGTAGAACAGAGACCCACAAAAGGATCTGACATGGCTGGCTGCAATGTACCCCCTCTGCTGGACAATACGTGGTACTGAAGACAGCACCAGGGCAGAGCCACAGGCCCAAGGGCCAGGCGGCACCCTGGGTCCCAGAGTCCAGACCAAGCCCAGAGCAGCCCCTAGAGTCTGCAGGATGCAGCAATTCACAGAGTGCACGATTATCAGACAGCATCTGTGACCGAGGAGCAGGATTATTCCTGAGTGAACACTGAATCCTCAATGTGTTGGTGAGGAGTCCAGCACAAAGCTCCCCAAAATACTAATGGAATCAAAGACAGTAATCAGTATGTGCCAAAACTGATCTGTGATCAGAGCACTTGTGAGAAATAACAGTGTAAAAGCAGCAACAGTTACCAAAGTGGCTGAGCACTGATCACACACAGCTGGGCACAGCGCTAAGGGCTTCCCACACACCCTCCAGCACTCACAGGAGCCTGCAGGGAAGGCAATACCATACCCGGGCCACAGAGGAGGACACTGAGGTACCGCGGGCCCAAAGGACCTCGTGCTGAGCCCAGTCCTGAGTAGAGGTTTCCAAAAGACCTAACGTCCCTGCCAGGAATATTACCCACTGCTGCCCTGCCGGGGCGCCTGCCCCTCACCTCTCAGAGCTGAAGTTGGAGGCTGTAACAATCACATCATCCTTGCTCTGCACCAGCACAGGGATCTTCCGGCAGCCTGGAGACTTCAGCAGACGTTGTAACAGCTTCAGTGTTTCTTAAAGGTGAAACGGACACTATCAGGGGGATACAGCCTTCTCTTTGGCCAGGTTTCAGGGCAAGGTGCTCATTAGCAATGCAAGCAGGACCAAGATGTGGACCAGTGTCAAATGCCACCAGACCCAGAGAAATTGGAAGGAAGAGCAGAACTTTGGGTGAGGATATGCTACTAGAACAGAAAGCACACAGGTGAGGACTGTTTGCTGACGTTACAAGTCTGAAATCTGTCAGGTTTCTCCAGAAATCAGGATGCACATCTGACCCCGGCAAGCGTGTTGGGGCCCATGAGAAGGAAAAGATTCTTCTCAGATGGCTCTGCTTCTTGGAAAAAAGTTCCTCTGACAAAAGGACCTCTAGGACACCCAGCCACCTGCAGAGGCCCTTAGGACACCTCCAAAGGACGCCTCTCCACATCTTCCAGCGTCCCCAAAGATGAGGCAGAAATGCAGGAAAGCCTCGCCCTGTAGCCCTGTGCTGAAGCCTGTGGTGGTAAAAGGTAACCAGACCCTCTGCCCAAATGGCACCAGACAACCCCAGCTGAGAGGGTGAAGCCCAGGGCCATGTGGAGAGAGGGGCCCAGCGAGGGAGCTCAAGGGCCCTGCATCTGAAACCAGAAGGTGATTCGAGGCGATGCTCAGGCCAAGGGCTGAACAGGGAAGGGAGAAGAGTCTCGCCTTGTGGAGATTCAGGGCAAGGTCTGGGTACGAGGAAGCCGAAGACAGGACCGCAGCCCCGGCAGCAGTGCAGCATGGGGCAGAGGTGGGTGACCGTCCCCCCCAGTCTTTGAGCGGCGGGAGGCTTCACTCACCTTGCAGGATGTTGGCAGGACACATGTCAATCTTGGTGACCACCACAAAGACAGGCACGTTGAGCGCCAGTGCCAAGCCCAGGTGCTCCTTGGTCATCCCCACGATGCCAGCATTGCTGCCCACCTGCCTCAACACAGAGAGAGCAGTCAGGTCACGGAGACAGGGGCCTGCTGGTGGGCGCGGGGGCTCCAAGAGCACCGTGGCCTCCACCAGAGCAGGACACGGGCAGGTGGGTGCCCCACGCGGAGAGGGGAGCTGGGTGGGCAGCTCTGCACCCCATTTTAAAGATGCGCCTTATCAAAATCTGAGATTTGCAAACAATGAAGACAACTCCAGGCAGCCTGTCAGGAATTAGGCTTTGGAGCAAAGGCAGCTGTTGTTACTGTTACTATCCCCACCCATAACAGATACAGATAGGTTTTTAAATATCACCACGAAGACCGGTTCCACACAGCAGGCACGAGAACTCCGTGGTACTGAAGAGGACGCTCTTGTCTGCTGACTGGGACAACCTCCAAGCTATGTGTGCAAGGGGGAAGAGCAAGGTGGCTGTCACATGCTGCCAGAGTGAGGAGGGGAGTCACCGTGAGGTTCCTGGGGAGCAGCTGAGCTAGCAGAAGTGCTTAGAGACTAGCACTGGGTGCTATCAGGGAAGGCCGGACCATCTTCCTGGGCACAGGACAAGCGGAGGCAGTTCCTACTCTGAGGAGCTGAGCTGAAACATTGGGGTGAAGAGTCACACTGTCTAAAATCTGCTTCAAATGATTCAGCCAAAAACTAAAAACCAAAATCAATCATACAAAAAATATACATGTCTGTATCCATTGCCTGTGCAAATAAATATGGCCCAATGTTAATGATTGTTAACAGTACACATGGGGGCCTCCCCGGTGGCGCAGCGGTTGAGCTCTGGGTTGCAAAGCTGCACGCAGCCTCTGCAGCGCCGGTTCGATCCCCGGCTGCTCCCCAGCCACCGGAGGAGGGTCCCACATGGTGCGCAGACCTCTCCTGCCGCCCGCTGCTCCCCTCAGCAGCGTACTTCGGTCCTTCTGCCTGTTCTGCTCCCCGCTCTGGCTCTGGTGAATTCTCTCACCCTCCCGCGCTTCTGACTGTACCCAGTGCTTGTATAAATAAAACAAACAAACAAATAAATAAATAAATAAAGCATGCCTCTATTAAAAAAAAAAAAGAATTAAAAAAAAGAATTATAAAAAACAAAACAAAACAAAAAAAAAAAACAGTACACATGGAAGTGTGGAGCACTCCTGTGTACACACACTGGTGTGATTACAAAGTATCTCGGGGAGGTACCTAAGAACTGGAAATTCTGGTTGCCTCCAGGAGAAAGCCAAGTCCAGGTGGAGGGAGACTTCAGGGCAGCTGACACCTTTCCGCCTTCCACGCCTTAGGAAAGGCTCACCGACCCAAGCAAGTGGAAAGCAAAACAGCCACATGTTTACACAGCACCGCTATACTGCAGCCAGCTTTCAGGGGATGCCCTTCGATCCTCACAGCTCACAGGGAGTCCCCACACCACCAAAACCACACTCTGACCACAGTGACACACCGCTGCTGCCCGCCCCCGCCACGGCCCCTGCTGTTCTCCCAACCCAAAGAGAAGGCTCCATCCCTCTGTTGCCTATTGATTGTCACGGAAGATTAAAATATTTTACTGTTTTCTACATAAATTTTCAATACTTGGATGGTGGCCTAAACACAAATAATACATAACATTTCCTCTGGGGTGAAGAACTTTTCATTAACTGGCCTTGCTCACTGCAGTTCAATTCGAGAAGCTCATTTAAACTGGCTTCTAGGGCCTCCCTGGTGGCGCAAGGGGTTAAGCACTGAACTATGAAGCTATCCGCAGCCTCTCTAGCAAGAGTTCGATCCCCGGTTGGCCAGGGAGCAACCCACATCGCGAGGCAGACCTCTCCTGTCTCGCCCACTGCTCCCCTCAGCAGTGTATTTCAGTCAGTCTGCCTGTTCTGTTCCCCGCTCTGTCTCTGGTGAATCTTCTCACCCCCCACATCTCTGGCCTATACCCCAGCTCTTGTATGCATAAACAAATAAATCTTAAAAAAAAAACAAAAAACTGGCTCTAACAAGTCCCTGAACATGACCGCTGGGTCTCCCATTGAACACCCCCCCCCGCCCCCCGGCAGAGGAGCTTTCCTGCACCCTGCAGTGCTCAGGGGCCAGGGAGACAGGTCACAGAGCCCCCCGGAGCCTAAGGCAGAGCCAACAAGCGCTCCCGCCTGTGTGCCTTCTCTCTTTACTCTCCAGCTTGGGGAGAATCTGCCCGCGAACCTGTTTGTGGGGCAACTTGATCGAGTTTGCTCTGAACAGATGCTTGTGTTTACGACACTCATTAACACAGACAGCCAGGAGAAGTGGGGAGAGGGGAAGAGCGCCGAGAAGGACTTGCCAAAGGAACACGTGCTTGCCTGCTGTTCTTTCTGTGAAGCTGTGTCAAGGTCGAGGGCCTCGCGGACTCCCGCTCTGTCCGGGGAGGAAGAGCAACGGGACCAAATGCAAGCTTAGCCACAGGCTCCACAGGCGGTCTCTGCTCTCTTCCCCTTCAGTTCCTCCACCCAAGGAGCTGCTTAAAAACCTGTTCCCACTAGACTGAGCTCTCCCGGAGCCAGGGCGGCCCTAGACCTTGCTCCATCTTCAGGCGTGAGGAGCCACTCGACAAGCTCCTGTGGGCTTCGGAAGAGCGTGACCCTCAGGCCCACCGTGACTGCTGTCTGGGCCCCCCACCACTTCCTCCCCAGGTTTCCCCTCTGAGGGTGCTGCGCGGTATCACCTCCTCATTGTAACTCACTCCCTTATTTCTGAAGGTCATAAGCCTGCCCCCAAGAACCCGCCTCAAGGCCCCTGTGAAAAATAAGAGTGGTTTGCAAATGCACTGGGGGTCTACCTAAATGAGACCCGCCTGACCAACCCCAGGGGACAGGTCAAAGGGCACCCCTGGAGGCGACTGTAGGGTTCAGTGGACTTGGCGTCCCCGCAAAGCTTGCCACCCTTACTCAGCTGGCACCCCAGGCCAACAGGCCCTGGTTCCATGACCACCCAGCACCACACTCACCATGAGCATGCAGAAGTCAGGCAGGTGGCCAGTCATGCCGAAGACCGTGGTCTTCAGGTACTTCTCATGGCCAGCCAAGTCGATGAAGGTGATCACCTTAGTGGACTTCTCGCAGATCTTGGTCCACTCCAGGCTGCCCCCGTGGCTGTCTGGCTTGTTCACCACGTTGCCTTCGCTGTCAAAGCCCAGAATGTCGTTGCCCACGCTGCTGGTGCGCCCGGACTCGATCTCGTGTTTGTGGCGGAAGAGTTTCTGGCGGGCAAAGCCTCGGCCATTGTCCAGCTCCCCGTGTGTCAAGACCCCCAGAAGCGTGCTTTTGCCAGCGTCCACGTTGCCCACCACCGCTACCCTGCATGGACATGAATCCACATGTTTGTGTGAGAGTTAGTGGGTGAGCGGAGGGAATCCCAGCAGTTGGACCTGCGCCCCCCGCCCCCCAGCTCACTGTTCCTCCCCACGGGTGAGCACATTGAGAATGTCCCTGAGCTGTCCCTGGGAGTGGAATGGGGCTCCCACCATGACGGCTTGCTCCCCTCGTTCCCCAGAGCCTCTCTAGGCAAAGGAGCTGCCAAGATGCCCGTTTCCATGACCCTCGTTCCCAGCCTCACAGGCTGATGGGAAAGCAAACAGGCCCACACATGGCCAGAGAATGCATGGCTGGCCTCACTCCCGTGCTTCCCAAAAGGAAATATTTAGGGATGAGGAGATACAGAAACAGAGAATGGCGCCATTGTGTCTCCAGGCTCCTCCGGGCCTCAGTAAGGGAGAGCAGTGGAAGGGGTGACGCTATCACACCAAGGCCAAGGACTCCATCACCCTTCCTGGTGAGGCCCGAGAGCTCAAGGTCCTGCTGCAGGGGCCCATGAGCTGTCCTGAGGCTTTACCTGACCTCCAGGAAGTCATTGTCGCCTACTCGTTTCCGGACCAGGTAGTCGCGCACACGGCCACCCGCTTCTTGCCGCTCCCGCAGGAGGATGACGTCGGCCTCAATCTGCTCCGCCATGCTCTTCACTGTGGCGTAGGACGCCTCCATGTCAGCTTCACTCAGCCCATACTCAGTCCCATCTGGGGAAAGAGCCCAAACATCAGCCTGCCGACAAGCCCGCCAGTCCACCACGCCACCGAAGGCCCCACGTGGGCATCGGGGAAACCATGGTTCCCGCCACCTGACACTCCAGAACCCTGGGCACAAGAGTTTAACTAGTGCCAAGGGCTTGCCCATTAAGCAGGGCATTCATTAATTCATTCTTCAGTAATCACTGGGGCTCTCCTAGGTTTTATGCTAAGCCTCACGCCGAGTCCTGGGAATACAGGTGCCCTTAGCGATCTCACAGCCCAGCGGGAGAGACAGACAGGAAATTAATTACCGGCAGCATGGCTTGCGTGCTGCACTACAGAACAGCACAAAGAGAACGTAAAGCGTGAGCCACCAGCACTGCTTGGCAAGCTGAGGACGGCTTTGCAGGAGGCTGACCCCAAGGGCGAAAAATGGGGCTGCAGAGAGAGGAGGAAAGACATCCCGGCAGAGGAGCAGAGCACGGAGCACGGCACCGAGGGGCCACGGTTTGCAGCAGGGCGGCGAGCGGCGGGAGACCACAGGAGAGGCAGAAGCAGTGAAGCAGCAGCTGGCAGCTACCAACACAGCCCGTGCCGGGCGAGGGGAAGCCTGGGGGTGGGCAGGGCAGCGACAGGATCAGTCCCTGTGGGGAGAAAGATCTCCTGGGCCACAGTGAGGAAATGCGGGGCCAGCAAGGGGGAGCCATCGGGAAGCAGCCCGACCGATCCCGGCAAGGGAGGAGGAGGGGATGCGACAAAGGCCAGTGGGGAGAGGATTTAAGAATGGCTCCAGAGGCAGATCTTTAACTGAGGCGGTTCAGGCGACATGTCCAGCCAGAGCTGGAAAATATGAGTTCGACCTCAGGATGTGCAAGGGAGTCAGACAGAAGGATGCGCCGACTGGCTGCTCGTTTCCTGAGTGCCAACGTGCCTCAGATCCTGCCCGGTGTCAGTTCCCACACTAACGACTCCACCTTCCCTCCAGCCTCCTGCCTCAGAGAAACACCCCACACTCCCTGGGCTGAGCCCCCAATGTGTGCCCAGCCTTTTCTCTTTGAGTGCCTCCCGAAGACCTGGCAGAGCTTTCTCCTCCTCCCCTTCCAACCGAATTCAAGTCATTCCTGAACTACTAAAGGGAAACCCACCCCGTCCTGAGCCCCTGCTCATGAGCTGGGCTCTGCCCCTTCCAGCATCTCTCAATGACTGTTTTTCCTCATGACCTGCTGAATCTGCAGACACCAGGAGAAGCTAGTTTCTGAGTCACCGGCAGCCATCTACCCACTCTATCTATGCCCTCCCATGCCACCACTGGCCACCCTTCCCAGCTTCTTGAAGCACCTCCCTCCCACCCAACTTCCCTATTCTCTCCATTCACCTCCCTGCCCTCTGGTTCCTGTGGTCCCCTCAGCTGCCTCTTCCTACTCTTCCTACTCCAGCCCCTAAAGGCCAGCCTGCCCAGTGGTCAGCCAGCATGCTCGTCTCTATGCTCTGGACATCCCCTTAGCCATCTCACCCAATACTTCAAGTGTCACTCTGAAAAGTGCAAAAGACATTTATTTTCCAGGGCTTCCCTGATGGCACAGCACTACGAAGTCATCTGCAGCCACTGCAGCACGAGTTCGATCCCTGGCCAGGGATGTGACCCACATGGCGCAGCAGACCTCTCCTGTCTTGCTTGCTGCTCCCCTCGGCAGTGTATTTCAGGCGATCCGCCTGTTCTGTTCCCCACTCTGTCTCTGGTGAATCCTCTCACTCCCCACCCCACCTCTGGTCTACACCTCAGCTCTTGTATGCATAAATAAAATAAATCTTTAAACACACACACGCAACATTCATTTTCTAAAATGACCCTCTTCCCAGAGTTCCAGATTGAATTTCCAATTGCCTGGATGATATAACTCCTAGAAGCCTGATGTCCAGGCTCAACCACCCACCCTCTAGAAACCACAGCACCAAACTAGCACCGTTAGTAAAGCACCAGAGTTCCTCGCCGCCTCCCTCTGAGCTAGACAACATGGTTCCGGACTAAACAGAAACCAGGGCCCTGTAGCTGGGAGGGAGCCGAGGGGCTGTACTGGCCGGCCTTCTGAGTCTCCAGCTGAGCCTTCTCTTGCAGCCAGGGCCCGAGTCGGACCAGGTCCCACTCTGGTGTTCCTCCTTTCAGATGCCAACGCCACCCTGCCAGTCATCATGCCACTCCTGCTGATGCTAGCTTTATAGCTGCCCTTCTTTCCTCTTTCTGCCAACCCACTGCCACTGGCCTGACTCAGACCCTTATTCTGCCAAAAGCGCCACAACAAACCCCTCACTGGCCTTAGCATCTCCTGTCTCTATCCCTTCATCCACTCCTGCACAGACACACAAGTGGAAATGCCTAAACCAGCAAGCTCTGATGTCACTTCTGAGTCCAGGCCAGGCCCAGGCTGTTCAGCTCCAGTTCTCCCATTTACTCTATACCTGCTCCCTACTCTCCCCTGAAGTTCTGTCCCGGTACAAGTGGCCCAGTCACCACATCCTCACATGCCTGTACTTCCCAGCTCTCCACCCCTGCTCAGGAGACACCTACCCACAGGGCCCATCAGAGCACCTCCACCCGGTGAGCTTGGCCGTTCTGCTCGACGCCACGTGCCACATCCTACCTTGGAGAGCGGTCGGTGTCTTTGGCTCGCTCATATCTGCTCTCATGACACACGAACATCTCCAGGACAGAGACCACCTGTCAAGCACTCTCTGGCCGCCCCATGAGGGGTGTCTTTCACACATCAAGTCCTCGAGCATTTGTACAATGCAAAAAGGGACCATTTGGGCCTCCCCTGGTGGCGGTTGGGCAATGCACTGTGAAGCTGTCTGCAGCCTCTGCAGCACTGGTTCAATCCCGGCCAGCCGGTGAGGGTCCCACATGGCACAGCAGACCTCTCCCGTCGCGCCTGCTGCTCCCCTCAGCAGTGTATTTCATCAGTCTGCCTGTTCTGTTCCCCACTCTGTCTCTGGTGAATCCTTTCACCCCCCCGCGCATCTGGCCTGTACCCCGGATCTAGTGTAAATGAATAAATAAATCTTTAAAAAAAAGGGGGGACCATTTGGGTTGAGGGGCTTCTAAATGCACAGCCAGCTGAGCTCTGGAATCAGGCGCAGGAGAGCTGGTGAGAGTGTGCTGAAGAAAAGGCCCAGGATAAAAGCTGCAAAGGTCCAAGCCCCCCACCCCCGACCTAATGAGACTGACCCCATGTGCACTCTCCCAGCCACCATGAGGCAAAGGCTCAGGAACTTTTAGGATAAAAGTCTAAACTCTTTGGTATGACAATCAAAGACCCTCAGGATGTGGGCCCTGCTGACATGTCCATCGTCCTGCCTCCTGGCGCTCCCCATCCTGTGCTCTGCACACCACTTTACAGAGTCACTCCTGCTCGACCAGGGACCCTCCCATCACCAATGCCTTTGTGCATGTGGTCTCCCCTGCCTCTGTTTACCTGGAAAACTCCCTGTAACCCATTAGAATCAATTCAGGGGACACTTCTGCTCGGAAGCCTTTCCTGTCACCTCTACAAACACTCAAAGCTCCTTCTGTGGGGCCTCCGTGATGGTGCAAGAGGTTAAGAAGCAACCTATGAAGCTATCTGCAGCTACTGCAGCATGAGTTCAATCCCCAGCCAGGGAGCAACCCACATGGTGCAGCAGACCTCTCCTGTCTCACCCACTGCTTCCCTCAGCAGAGTACTTCAGTCAGTCTGCCTGTTCTGTTCCCTGCTCTGTCTCTGGTGAATCCCCCCCCACCCCCCCGCACCTCTGGCCTGTACCCCAGTCTTGTATGCATAAATAAATAAATCTTTTTTTTTTTTTTTTTTTTTTTAAAAAAGCTCCTTCTGTGTGCCCCAGAACTTTTAACACAGGGCCTGACTCTTAGAGGCCATCACTGAGGCAAAGCTGCCCCTTGTCACCCGTGTTTATGTAGGCACCACTCTTCTTTCTCCTTGACCTAATGTCGATGTCCTTTCAAATGTTTAAAAAAAAAAAAGGAAAGAAAGCCACAACTTAGTATCTGTGGAATAAACAAGTTTCTTTTTGCAAGAAACCTGAAACTCATAAAAAATTGCCTCTGCAACTACTAGTCAACATCTTCAGCAAGGAGCCACTGTCCAAGCGCCAATCTTCACAGACACGCCATGGGGTAGGCGCTGTCACTGTCCCCAGTTCAGACAAGGAAAGAGGCAACAGGCGAACTCAGACCTGCCAGTGTCCAGGCCTAGACCAACAACTAAGCCGGGGTAGCTCCTGTTGAAAGGTCAGCCTAAGAATGTGTACTCTGGTTCTTCCTAGCCTGACTTATCCACGCCAACGTCTCTGCGGGAGGGTGGGAAGGACGTCATTACCCCCATTTTACAGATGAAGGAAGGACAAACAGAGGCGAAGCACAAGCACAGACAGGAAGTCAGTGAGGAAGCTGCCCCCCGCCCCGGGGCCTTCCATCTGGTTTAGTCTTCTGTTTGATGTTCAACTTGTTTAACTAGTTATGTTCTCTTTCTACCTCTGAAAAATTCCAGCAGGAAGGAGTCACCTGAGTCTAATAGCATTCAATTGGTATACGCGAGGGTAATGCCTAGGTGTGCAGACGTGTTAATTAATGTCTGACGTCTACTTGGCCCTGCAGGGTCAACTGGTTGTAAATTGCATGACAAAACTCACTTAAAGGCCATATTGCATAATAGGAGGGCAGATGGGGGTCTTAAGAATCTAGGTCTTTGAAAAACAGTCCCAACACTTGTCAAAAACTATTTAGAAGTGCTTTCTTAAATTCCACAAGCATGAAGTGATCTTTGAGTGGCCCACCCTCTTACAGAAGGCCAGGTGTGCACCTGACACAGCAGCTTTCCTTAAAGCCACCGGTGACCCAGTCACCAAACGGAATGGCAGTTCTGAACCTGGCGTTCCTTGGTGTCTCTGTGGCAGCTGCCAGCGCTGACTAACTCCCTTTCTTTCTTGACAAATAACCTCTTGCTTTGCCTATCTCTCTGGCCATTCCTTCTTTTAGGTGATAAGACCCAAAACAGGGGAGGTAGCAGTAAAAACAGAAAGGAAAGGACAGATATGAGAGACATGTCAAAGGAAGACACAGAAGTATCTGGAGATCAAACTCTTCTTCCTAGCCTCAGGCATTTCCAGATATTTCTTTCTACTGGAGGTATTTATGTATGTCAACTTGCCTTCTTGGAAAAGAGACCAGATATTAAATATCCAAAAGTGCTTTGCAACAGTATCAACTCCTTAGAAGTTACTTCAGTATGTATTTGTCAAATAATGAAAGAATGGCTTAGAGATTGTCTCCACTAAAACTCAGACCACAGAAGAATATATCAGCGACCTTACAAAGCCTAAGTTTAGCAAAGAGAAGTGGTCCTTGAGCGCCTGCATTGAGGCCCCCCATGCTGGGCTTCCTCCAAAGATGGCAAATGTGGGTTCTGGTACAGACCACATTCCTAACTGTTAACAAGCCCAGCTGTCATTTCAGCAAAGACCTCGATGAAGATGATGGTAAGTAGGCCTTGTTTTGAGAGTGAAAACTAGGGGGAAAAATGTCCAAGCTATAACCTGGGATTCTGTCTTGGGCCAGGGCTACCTTCCTCCAACCCAGTGGGCGCTGGCACAAGATAAGCATGTTAGGAACAATATCCAATTGCCAGAATGGTAATAAGCCTACGTGTCTCACAGGGAGAGGGAGCTGTGTTATCACAGCTAGCCACACTGAATGGTCAGTGTGCTCTGGGGCCAGGGAGATCAGCTGAGAGAGGCATTCTGGGTGTCCCTTTCCTGCTGACATGAAGAAGAATCACGGGGGTTCTCTGCTAAGCAGCAGATAAGTAGCAATGGGATCTGTAAACCGGGCTTGAAGGGGAAGACCTGCAGCTGCCGGGGACAGGTTCACTGGAGCCAGGGTGGTGTCTTGCTCTATTACCTCAAACAAGAAGTTTCCTGGCTTTGAGTCTGACTTCCCTTTATGCAAATGGAGAGTGCAGAAGGTAGGAAGGAAGCACCTGTAAAAGGGCTTGGAAAGTGAAGCTTTAAGGGCAAGCATATTAAGATCACTAAGGTAAGGATTATCATCATCACCTTGTACCTTTACATCCTCCCAACCAGTTCTGTGGACACTAAGGAATTACTGCGAGGCAGACACATGAAAGGAAAATCTGATAACAGAGGGGAAAATGTGCTCTAAATCATTTTTAAAAATAAAGTGAAAGGAAAACTATGCTCACCTGATCCCTGCCCAATGACATAAATGGTCTCTCCGCATCCCTCGTCCATCCTCTCCCACATCTGCCGAAGTAGGCTGTCATACTGCTCTGATGTAGGGCTCACTAGAACCAGCTAGAAGAGAAACCAACAGCCTTAGGACCACACTTTCTAGAAGAGCACCAGAGCCAAAACAGATCAATAGCCTGACCAAAGACCCTACGGAACCCCACAGACCCCTATCCTAAAATAACTCTGCAGGCCCCACACAGCCTTGCTGCCTCTCCTTGAACAGCCTCTGCGCCTAAGGCCTTTCATGAGTTATGGGATCTACTAAAAGGAGTATGTCTGAACCACAACCCACTGAAAAAGAGGGTGTTGCACAACCGTCTCCAGTGGCTCACCAGGAGGGGCAGGAGCCACAGTGACTGAGACTCTGGATTGTGGATAGAAATCGAGGAGCAGCTTCACATCCACACGCGGCTTTTACCTGCAACTTCTGGAAAGTCACGGGACAGAGACCTCCTGTACTGCCATGCCCTCCACCCCAAGGCCAATGGTTCCTGTGATCACAAAAGAATTCTGTGCCATCTTGCCTTGGCTATCTCAATTATTTTGGAATCAGCAGTAAAATCTGCTGCATGTTGCATCTTCTTTGAGAAATCACCGTAACCACCAAGGTGGGCATTAGCACCACCACTTTGTGAATTTCTGCCAATAACATTAAAGTATCCACCACTTATTTGGGGTCCATTTACCAGTAGGAGTATCAGATCCCAACCACTCATGTGTGACCTTGGACAAAGAAATTAACCTCTCTGAGTCTCAGTTTTTCAATCTACAAAATGGACCTGCATCGCAAGGCCACTGTAAAGACCAAATAAGATAACATACAAAGCATCTAGTCCACAGCTGAGTAAGTGGTAATTAGTTTTCTCCACCCAATCATACCAACAAAAACCTTCTTGGATTAAACTAGCCACTAGTAGTTTGTCCCTTCGGGAGCTCTCCCGAGCCTTGGGTCTCCACATTTCATTGTAGCAAGCGTATAAATTTAAGAATTGCTATTCTTTTCCTCAGCAGTCAATCTGTTCAACCCCTCCCCACTCTTCCGCCACATTCTCAGTGTTTCTTTTCAATACCATCAATATTTATATACATAAGCTTCCCAACTGTGAAATAGTGGGGAGGCCTGCCATTCTGCAGTGATGAAGTTCACACTTCCTACCCCGGAACATTAAATAAAGTCAGTCCGGAAAAGAAGGCACTCCTCTCTTTGCAACACTGCCCTGCAATTTCCCACCGTGTCTTCAGGTTTCTTCAGCACCTGGACCATGAGTTGACACCCAGCTTGTCTGCTTTTGAGTCAAGGGTATCTCTTACAATTTCCTGCATTGACTCATCAGAGTTTGTGCTTGTAACCTGGGTGCTGCCTGGATCTTCGGCGTTGTATCTTATTGCCTCACATTTCCCCTGACCGTCCCTCTCTCTGAGCTTGGCCATCATCATTATGGCACGAGGCCCCCCAGAGAGGACCACTGTGCGGAGCCAGAGTGCTGTCTTCCAAGTGCTCAGCTGAGACTAGAGGGAGAGAGAGAAGCTGAAACTTGGTTGCTTGTGTTGAGGGGAAGTTCTCTCTGGTTTGGGCCAGATTTCACACAATTTTGCTATTACAGACTACGAGCAAGTCACGATCTTTTTCAAAGTCTGATAAACATCTGTAAGGATCCCACACAGGCAGGAGGAGTGCCGTCTCCCACTGGCTGTTATCTAATCTGCACAGGGCATTATCAGAGCGGGTTGTGTGCATCGGGCACTATGCTAGGTGTGTGATATGCAGCGCTCATTAGTGTGGCGCATCGCATCCGTACTTGAAAGGTGATGTAGTTGGAAAACTGAGAGGTTAAGAAACTTTCCCAAGGTCACAGGGCCTTTCCTAGGGCAGGGCAGGAAAGGGAGCCCGCCCCGTCTGACTCCCAAACTGGCATTCTCTCCTTTAGCCACGATCAGCACCTTCAAAACGCCAGTCCCATCTCATACTTACTTTTTCACCTCTCACCCCGAGCAGAAAGCGAGCCAGCCCTTCATTTCTGCCTACCAAGAGCCCAGAAGCCGTGATCGAAAACGCCCTTCGTTATTCCATTCATACGCGGCGAGGCGCCACGGCCAGGGCGGCCAGGGCGGCGGGATCCTGGGTCAGGTCCATTTTCCAGTTTGCTTTCGGGCGGGTTCGGTGACATCCCTCCGCCCGCCTCGGCCCCGACTTGGCCACTTTCTGTTTCCCTCCCCGACGGCAGGAAGAGCGCGGCCCGCGCCTCCGCAGCCCGCCACCCGACCCGACCCGACCCGGCCGCGGGCCCGGGCGGGGGCGCGGGGGTCGCGGCGCGGAGCGGCAGCCGCGGGCGCCCCCGTTCCACGTGGCGGAGCCGGGCACGGCCGCGGCGGGAGGCGGCGGGAGGCGGCGGCCGGGTCGCGCCGCCGGGGGAGGGCGGTGCGGGGGCGCCCCTCTCCCCGTCCCCACGCGCCCCGCACGCACGCCGGGGGCGGTCTCCGCGCCTCCCGCCCGCCGTCGCCCGGGAGACGGCCGGCCCCGCCGCCCGTCCCCCCGGAGCCCGGTCCCCTCGGCGCGGCCACCGGCGCCCGGGCCTACCTTGCTCGTGAGGTCCAGCTCCGGCTCGCCGTTGAGCGCCTCGCCGTCCTCGCTGCAGTCCGAGTCGAAGCCGCCGTGGAGCCGGGCGGCGGCCGCCGCAGCCCTGGCCGCCCCGGGGGAGGTGGGCTCGGGGGCGAACATCGAGGCCGGGACCGGCGACTCCATCGGGGAGCGACTCCGCTCCGCCGCCATCTTTAATAACTTAGGCTAATTCGTAGCCGGCCTCCCCTCCCTCCCCGGCTCATTTGCCTAATCTATGCACGGCCCCGCCCCGCCGCTCGTCGGAATAATTTATACGAAACTCCTCCAGTCGCGCAGCGGGTGACGCGTATCTCCTGCTAAGAAACAATCGACCAGGCCTCTCGGCCACCAATCGCTGCGGCCCTTTCAAGTACCTAATGAATAATTAATGAGGCTCAAACCCCAACAACAAATGCCTGAAACGTCACGCGCCTCGATCGCGGCTCGGGAGGGGCAGCACCGCGGCCAAGCTACCTGCCGGGGCCTTCCCGCCAACCGCAGTCGCGCAGGGCATGACTGACGCAGCGGCCATCCAATGAGAAGCGGCTTCCAACGTTTACCCTCGCCGCCCCGCCCTCTCCTTGTTTCCAGAGGCGGTGCTCGGCTTCCAAATCGTACCGCAAAACAATCGGCGGGAGAGCCCTCCGATGACAGACAGGGGCGAGGGCCAATCTGGTCGTCAGATGGGTCCCGCGCGCCCCCGGCGCCCGCCCACGAAGATAGTAAACTGCGCAAGGCTCCTCCCACTCCGCTTGGTGACTCAATGCACTCGCTGGAAGACCGAGTGCCCACGTGCTGGCAATCTCCAGGCAATTTTAGTAGTAGGATCGATGCCTGGAATACTATAGCAGCCAGAGCAAGGAAATTAACTAAACGCTGACCTGAGGCAGAACTGGCCATTCACGGCCTCCACAGTATTCCTGAGTAATTACAAGAACAAAAAAGAAGCAACCAGCTAAAACAGAAGCCAGAGCACCTCACCTCATTTGTGAGTTGTGGAGGCGAGATCTAGAGCCTGTTAGGGTCGTGTCCTGGGGGTGATGCTTCCAGTGTCCTCAGTTGCGGAAAGCCCCTAGTCCAAAACACCTCAGTCCAGAGTTAGTGTCTTGAATTCCTTCAATTTTTCTTTCAAAAATATGAAGAGGTTGATGAAGTAGTTAGCAAGTGACCCTGGGACCCCTAAACTCGCACACTCTAAAGGGTCCCTGCCATCCATGCGCACAAAGGAGACTCTTAGTATGACAGAACTTTAGCAGAACTAGAGTGCCGAGGGAGGAAGAAAGGACATTCTGAACACAACACCCGAAATTATCCATCCCATTGTGGGTAAAAGCCCAACCAAACAGGGTTGGCCTGAAGCAGGGCCGCTGAGGCCTGAAAGCTAGTCATAAGTAAAGCACATTCTGGCAGGTTCTGAAGCAGATCCCAAAAAGCTGGGACAAAAGAGCAAAATCAAAGCACAGATCAAGGAATGGCTACCACGGTCAGCCTCCCCCAGTCTCTCACCCACCTCTCTTTCAACTGTCTCCTCTAAGTCTCCCCCTGCCCCTGGGGCAAGTTCAAAACTAAGAAGCAAGCACATCCTTCTTCAGGTCTCTCCAGGGTCCACCTGCCTTCCTTGTTATATAGCTTCACCTGGCTGCTCAGCTCCACCCCTCATTAACTGGAGGAGGGAACATGGCACCCTCCTTAACAAAATTAGGGATTAGCTAAACTCTAATAATCTGGTTTTAACAAGATGTATTGTCCCAGGCAGCAAGCAAGAAAGAGCAGTATAACATAGCAAGAAAGAGAATATAACATAATGTTGGAAAAGAGCAACAGGCTTAAAATGGAGCCACTTGTGCTAAGTAAGCCCCACATCATTAAACCAAGACTTAATGCCTAACTTGATTGCGGTCTCAACCCTTCCCAGAAGTGGAATCAGTCTGGAATTTCCTGGTCAATGTTAGTGAGGTGTGAATATTAATCCGCAAAAACTATTTAAATATGGTCAGGTAGTTAGAAGATAGTTCCCATTCATGTGCACTCAGCAAACTACATGACCCAACATACCTTGCATCTCCAACAGGAAGTGAGGCTGCTTACCTGCCCCAGCAAAAAGATACAGGCATCTTCACTCACTCAGCAGCGCCCCCCAAAGACTATAGAGAATGATGGCTTTGGATTAGGGAAGGTGCACCTGTGTCTTGTCATAAGGATGCATTTTCTAAATTTCCTTTTTGTTATTTTCAAATAATCCTATTTTGATGGTAGAATAATTGGCTGCTTTTTGTTTAACAGAAGACTCCCCTGACTTTCCCAAGAAAAGGTAACCTCGCCTGAAATAATTTACTTCTTAAAATCCTCCTTGTCCCACCCTCCTTCTGCTTATAAAAACACCCCATCTGGGGCCTCCCTGGTGGCGCAGCGGTTAAAGACACAGCGCTATCAAGCTATCGCCAGCCTCTGCAGCATGAATTTGATCACCCGGCCTGGGAGCTGACCTACATGGCATAAAGGATGGCTCCTGTCTCACCTGCCTCTTCCCTCAAAGGTGGATTTCTGCAGATCCACCTGTTCTGCTCCTCACTCTGTCTCTAGTGAGTCCTTTCACTCCCCTCACCTCTGGCCTACACCCCAATTCTTGTATGCATAAATAAATCTTCAAAAAAAAAAAAAACCAAAATCAAAATGGCCTTGCATTTTAGGGCTCTATCTGAGGGTAGAGGCAACTGCCTCACGGTCTTGTTTTCAACTAGAGTGGAGTCTTATGTGTACAAACACAGCTAGGAATCTGGGACAAGTCATCCAATTCCAAAGATGTGGATAATAATTCTTTGATTATGGGTTGTTAATCTTTTGTGTTGTTTTTTTTGTTGTTTTTCTGGGTAAATTGCTTGCCACAATCCTATATATTCCTCCATGAGGTAAAATTACTAAAACCTTGAGTTGTCAGGGTAGGGGAAGAAAAAAATTCTCAGAACAGGTGTTTCTTGAGTAGTGAAGTATAAAATCACAGAGGGAATCCCTGCCCATCTTTATATCCTCTTTCTGAAGACAACCTGTTAAAGCTTAGGTTCAAATCCTGGGTCCACTATGTACAACTATGTGACCTCCGGCAAGTAAATTAAGCTCTCTGAGCCTGTTTTCTTCTCTAAATAAGTGAAATACCTACCGTACTGGTATTTGCAAAGCACTTACACCAGTGTTTGCAAGCATCAATAATCTCTCACAAACATAGCTGTAACCTTAGGTGATTTACAGATTACAGAACTTTAAGATAATTCACAAGGTGACCCGAGCCCCAATCACATGGTATCACGGGTACGTTAAGCGAGCATTTGGTTGCGTGTAGCGGTGTGGTACCAAAAGAAATGACTCAATTCTAAGTGTGAGTTCATTGTGTTTCAGTTTTTCTGAACAAAAATCCAAACGGAGGGCAGATAAGGTGGATTTTTTTTTTTTAAGATTTGTTTATTTATACAAGAACTGGGGTACAGGCCAGATGCGCGGGAGGGTGAGAGGATTCACCAGAGACAGAGCGGGGAACAGAACAGGCAGACTGACGAAAGACACTGCTGAGGGGAGCAGTGGGCGAGACAGGAGAGGTCTGCCACGCCATATGGGACCTGGTGCTGCAGAGGCTGCGGACATCGTCACAGCATGGCGCGCAACCGCCTGTGCCACCAGGGGAGGCCCAAGGTGGATTTTTTTTTTTTTTAAGATTTATTTATGTATACATACAAGAGCTGGGGTACAGGCCAGAGATGCGGGGGGATGAGCAGATTCTCCAGAGACAGAGTGGGGAACAGAACAGGCAGACTGTAACACACTGCTGAGGGGAGCAGCGGGCGAGGAAGGAGAGCTCTGCCTCGCCATGTAGGTTGCTCCTGGCCAGCCGGGGATCGAACTCGTGCTGCAGAGGCTGCGGATTGCTTCGTAGTGCAGTGCTTAACCCCTTGGGCCACCAAGGAGGCCCCAAAGGTGGATTCGTAAGATATAATTGCTATGATTATTTACTGATACCTTCCATATATCCCGGGGTAGAGGGAAAACGCCTACGCGGGACCGAGGTTCACCTTCCACACACGCTCAGACGCACAGGCCTTAAGGACACAGCGCCAAGCTGCGCGGCAGCCCCCGGGAGACAAAGCGGGGAGCGGGGAGCAGGGTGGGCGGGGGCAGAACACAGGGGTCTGTGTGTACTGGAACCGAAATACGACACCGGGGAGCTGCAGGAGGGCCTGCGCGCCGCGGGAACGCGACCACGTCCGGAGAGGCGCCCCGCGCAGCACCCCTAGACAGCGCGGGGCGGTCGGGCCCGCTAACCGAGAGGGTCTCGCCCCGACCGCGTCAGTACGGCGCCCTGAAACGGCTCGGTGACGGGCGCGCCGCGCCGCAGGTAACGGCCGCTCAGGAGCAGCAGGTCCAGGGGCGCGAAGGCTTCGGCCCCACAGCGCGAGCGGGGAGGGCGGGGGCCAGAACCAAGCGCCGCCGCTGGCCGGGCCACGGCGCAGACGCCCGGGGGAAGGGCGGCCGTCGAGGCGGGACTCCCGCTGGCCGCCTCGCCCCGCCCCGCAGCGGCGCTCCAGCCGGGCCAACCGACGTCGCGCCCGGCCGCCCGGCACCGAGCGGCCCCGGGCCCTGGGCCTCCCACGCACCCGCCCCGCAGACGCGCGGCCCCCGGGTCGGCGCCGCTGACGTCAGGACTACGTCAGACGTGACGCGACGAGCGGGGCGGGGCCTGCGCCGGAGGGCGTTTCCGGAGCACGCGCCGGCGAGGGCGCTGACGTCGGGCTCAGGTGCGCGCGCGCGCCCGCCCGCCCGCCCGAGCGCGGCCCAGGTGGTGGCCCGCAGCTCCAGGTGGCGGCGGCGGCGGCGGTGAGCGGGGCGCGGGCGGCGCGGGGGCCGGGGCCGGGGCAGCGGCGGGGCGGGCGCTCACGTGACGGGCGGGAGGCTGGGGTGGGGGCGACGGGCCGGCGGGGCCCGCGCCCGGGAGGGCGAGGCGCGGAGTCGGGCCCCACCCCTCGCGGGCCCGCGGTGGCCGCGCCGGACCTGCCCTCGGACGGGGCCCGACCCGCCGCGCCGCCCCCCGGCCGGGCCGCCCCCGGGCCCGCCTGCCGGAGCTGAGCGGAGTCGTCTCCCCGCAGGGCCGCGGCGAGAGCGGGAGAGTCCGCGCCTGTCGAGGGAGCCGCGCCCGGCGGCCCGCCGCGCCCGAGGGGATGGAGAGCCGCGCCAGAGGCCCCAGCGCGGCCCGCGGTCCCCTGCCGGCCGGCTCGCGTTAGCTGCTGGAATCCTGCGAGGTTTCCACCGCCGAGGCCTGGTCTCCTGAGTCAGTGGCGTTGTGGTTCGAAAGCAATGGAAGAAAAGGAGCGATGTGACCGAGCCCGTTCGGTCCGGCCTTGAGGCCTGCTTGGCATTTGCGGAGAAGAAAATTCAGCCAGAAAATCGTGGGGATTTGGATGGGGGGCGGGAGGGAGGTGGGAGAAGGGGAACATGGTCTTAGATTTTCTATGATTTTTTTATAATTCTGCACTTTGACAGCGGTGGTGAAATAAACTCGTCCAAAAGTTATTTTTCTATAGAGAAGAGAGAAGAGGTGGGTTTTTCTCCCTTTTGATTCCAACCTTTTCTCCCCGTGACAAAGCATAAATCATGGACCCCAGAGCATAAGGTGGACCTCAGGAATCCTGGAAAGACTTAGAGGCTTACATTCTTCCTCAGGAAGGGAGGGTAGGGTGTTTTCAGCCCTCTCTGGAACCTAAAACGAAAAAACATGAGTTGCGTGCCATGGAAAGGAGACAAGGCCAAATCTGAATCCTTGGAGCTGCCTCAGGCAGCGCCCCCACAAATCTACCATGAGAAACAGCGCAGGGAGCTTTGTGCCCTGCATGCCCTCAATAACGTCTTCCAGGACGGCAATGCCTTCACTCGGGACACGCTGCAAGAGATTTTCCAGAGGTAGGGAGCCCCCTTCTCCTTGGCATTGTGATACTTTTTGCTATTTCTGAATTCTGTGGGTGGGGCAGTGTCTCACCTAAACCTGCAAACCAACGGGTATTATTACCTAGATGCTGTTAGCAGGTATAAGACACAAATGGAAAAGATTATCACTACCATTTATTGAGCTTAGTTGGGACTAGGCACAGTGCCAAGAGCCTGGTTCCTTTCATCTCTAAGGGTCCCTTTAACAATCTCGTGGAATACATGTTATTTCCACTTTCTTGATGACAGGGCTCAGAGAAATTCAGCAATTTGCCAGAGGTGAAGTAAGGAGATGAAGCCGGGCTTGAGTTTAGGTTCATATCTGCTGGCAATCTCTGTGCTGTGCCTCTCAAGTCCTGCCCCCAAGGAGTTTACGGTGCAGCGGGAGAGGACACAGCCGTGTTATCACAGGCAGAGACGTGCACACAGTGCTCAGCTGTGCTGGGAGCTGGGGTGCCGGCCTCTGTGCTTTTGATTCAATGTTTTGTGTAGCTGTCCCAACAGTCTCTATCTTACCACAGGCAGAAAGGTCAGGTGGTTTATCCAAGTAGCTCCTACAACTTGAAGCCCACTGGAGATGCCACTCCCCTTTCTACTTCATTCTGGGTGGTTTTTCTTATCCACTTTGCCAGGTGCTGCCTGATAGGTGGATACATGTTGATCTAATTCACTTTGCTTTGCTATTATAAAATTCTTTTGTTCAAGGGATTGAGAGTTCTACAGTATCTGGATGTCACTGGGGGATGTCTGATGCCCATGGCAACTTTGGCAGCGAGCCTGCCTCATTACTCCAGCTAGAAAGGGTTAGGTCTGTTCAGTTCCTGGTACAGAGAAAGCTCAGGAAGCCTGCAAGGGTTGCATCCTGGCAATTACAGAAGATCCTTTTCTGAGTGTCTTCGCTAGGAGTTTGCCCCTTATTGAACTGAGTTACAGCTAGAAACAACCTGTCTGGAGTGGTTTGTAGTGCTTACTTGGCCCTGAAAGAGGCCTCTGTTAAAAGAATGGGAATTCCCGTGTGCTAGTGCGAGTACTTCTTTTCCGTTGCTAGTGATAGCCGTGGAACGTCTTCACAGCGCACAGATGTCACTTGCATCAGGGTCTTATCTGGCCGGTAGAATGAACTCTCCAGGAAATGGGCCCGGGGAGGTAAGGCCATGTGTCAGATCTCGGATAGAAAGGAAGGCAGTCTATTAGACTGGTTCTTTTGGCCAGTCAATATTTTTACTCCTAATTGGATACTATGAGATACTAATTATTTCCTAATCTACATCTAGGAAGGAAGACTCCAGTGAGTACCTGTATTTCCTTTTGCTTTGTCATGTGTCACTGTATCAGTGGTGACTGTAGGAAACTGGGATTCAGTTTAAACAGTTTGCCCAGTTTCACACGCTGATGTCGAGTCAGGATTCTGTGTCTGTTCAGAAGCTTTTAACGTTTGTAGCAAAGCACAGTCTCAGTGCCTTGCCCCTTGCTAACTTATTCACACTAACATTGTAAGGCAGGTTCTGTTATTTCTCGTTTTTCCAGATGAGGAAGTCATGGCACAGCCATCACAGAGCTCTGTAGTGGCAGGGTTTGGATACAGCTTCGTGACTGCAGAGCCTGCCCTCTAGTTGCTCTTCCCGAGCGTTGGTAGCTGCTCCGGTAGCTGCTCACCCCGCCTTGCGAGGTGGGCCTGGGTCTGAAGAGGTGGATGATGATCAGGTGTTTGTGAGAATGGAATTCTTCAGCTGTGTTTCTGCTGAGTGAAAGAATGCTGAGTATTTGCTAAGCAGTTACATGGAACCAGCATTGTACTCTGGCTCTTAAGGCTTTAGCAAGTTGCCCTACACGTCCCAATTCCCTATTGGCACAATGTAAAGATCCACCTCAAAGTAATAGCAAATGTGTTTGTACGAGACTAGACTTAGAATCCCTAGTCTAGAGGTGGAATTCTGTATTGGGTATTCTGTACAGAAAGCTCCTGCATGGGTAAATAGACGTAAGGAAGTGTGAAAGGGATCAGAGAGAAAAGCAAAGGGAGAAGAGGTAAGGTGAGGGAGAGACCATGGAATTTTTTAAGCAAACAGGTACTAGCTGCCTGCAGTGTGCCAGGCGCTGCTGGGCACTGTGGAGAAAACAGTGAGCAGACTCTGCTGCCAAGTGCATGTCAGAGCTATGCGCTGACCAGGCCTTGAGGATGGATTCAAGATTTAAGTTAGAACCATGGGGTTTGGGGCATTTTGAATGCTGTCTGCTTGGGTCTTAACATAAAAAAGAATGGCACTGGCAGGTTTATTTATTTTTTTGCATAGAAGAACTGCGGTGCAGGCCAGAGGTGCGGGTGAGAGGATTCACCAGAGACAGAGTGGGGAGCAGAACAGGCAGACTGACTGAAATACACTGCTGAGGGGAGCAGCGGGCGAGACAGGAGAGGTCTGCTGTGCCATGTGGGTGAGCTCCCTGGCCGGGGATTGAACTCAGACCTTAGCGTTGATAGTGCTGAGACTTAAGCCCTAGGCCACCAGGAAGACCTTGTTGTCAGGTTTAACTACCAAGTCTTTAAATCCCCAGATCTCAAGTTCTATGCTTTTTGGAAGATGTGCTAATGAGTGATAGAAGTGGGAAAACATTTTTGATTATTGTCATTTGCTGAGGAGTAGTTCATCCTAGCAGCTGAATTTTAACCAGATAAAAGTAGGGAAATACAAAAGCAGGGTGGCATTCCAGTACAGTTGTGGATATGAGATGACTCACGTTTAGAATCAGAAATGAATAGGAATTTAAAATTCAGCTAATGGGTTGGTGGCAGCAGCATGGAGACGGAGACAAGAGCAGTCAGAGGTGGGCCAGCACTGTCAGGGTTTGCACACAGCGGTGTGGCCTGTGTGAGAGCAAACAGAGGTCGTTGGTTGGAAAAGGCTCAGTTTTCAACGTGTGAAATGGGAGAAAAGGCCTGAAGTAGGTTTCATTAGTGCTCGTGTATAGGTGTGGATGCTTGATCTCCCACCCTGTCCTGTGTCTGCTTTGAAAAAGAAGGGACTTAGAAATCAGATGAGATGATAGCAGCCTTGCTACGTTGTTTTGAAAATGCCCATGCCGCAAACATTTTCATTAGATGTAGCAGTTTTTCAGTGATTAAATGTAATAGCTGGGCATGTGTGTATTCCTTTCCCAAATAAGATTGTTGTTCAATTCAAGTAAACGAAGGCCTCCCTGGTGGCCCAGGGGTTGAGACACAGCCTCTGTAGCACGAGTTCGATCCCTGGCCGGCCAGGAAGTAACCCACATGGCACAGCAGACCTCTCCTGACTCGCCTGCTGTTCCCCTCAGCAGTGGATTTCAGTGGATCTGCCTGTTCTGCTCCCCTCTCTGTCTGTGGTGGATCCTCTCATTCCCCCCTCCCCTGCACCTCTGGCCTGTACCCCAGTTCTTGTATGTATAAATAAGTAAATCTTAAAAAATTCAAGTAGATGAAACTCCCTTGGTACCAGGGGAAAGCTAATAGAAGCTGAAAGAAACAAAGAGATGATAGATAGGTATTGGTGAACGACCACTGTTCTCTATCTGGGGGGATCATAGATTTGGGGAACAGCCAGTATTCTCTACTCCACTTCCTCATTAAAAGGTCCCTGACTTGGCGGGAGCCACATTTAAAGATATGGTGGTTGTAAATCAAGGAAAGGTGGTATTGAGAGTTAACCTCTAGAAGCTAAATGATCTCTTCCAAGAGCACGGCAAGCACCTCATTGTTATCATCCTGATAGCCCACACCTGCAGGGCTCCCCACCGAGCACCGCTTTGCCTTTAATAGCCTGAAAACACATCAGGAAGCACTGAACCATTTTTTTCTAAGGTGACATCTCTTTAGACCTTGTAAAAAGAGAAATAATAATTAGGGGCGAGAAAGAATCTTGATGAATGTCCCCACAGCCTTCCATTAAAGTCTGAATGCAGCAGCGGTGGCAGACACAGCGGTAGTGCAGAGGACCTGGCCTCATGGGCTGGCGGGGTTTGAGTGAGAGCTCAAGCCATCTCTTCTCTTCGCTGGCAGGTCACTTTGCATCTCAGGGCCCTCTGCTTGCGCTTCAGCAACAGGGAGGAGAGCCTTGCTCTGCAGTCTGTAGCTTCTGTTGGATTCACTGAGACAGTCCTGGACAGGAGGAACGGATTCACTGGGACAGAACAGAATTCCATGGGATTCAGTGTGGCCTTGGCTTTCGGGGCTGAATCCTAGTCTGCCGCTCATGTGCCCAATATGATGGCAAACAACATCCTTGCCCCTCGGCTTTCTTATTTGTTCTGTCGGGTTATGTGTCTCAAGGTTGTTGGGAGGACTGAGTGATAAAGCTTATAAAAGCGGTAAGTAAGCACTTGCTTATTGTTAAAGTAAAAGCAAGTACTGATACCGTGGGCACACTTGGAGCCCACTTCCTCGGGATCCCGCTCCTCTGGGCATGAGCTGGAAGCCCATTTCAGTGCTGCTGTGTTGACTGGCGTGGCCAGCACACTTGTTCAGTTGCCAGCGCCTCGACGTGAAGGTTGCAGTTCCCTGGGATTCAGGAATTTCCTGTTGAATGTATGTGTGCGGGGTGACTGAGCTCTGCGTCGTTCCATCCATACGGTAGCGTCACCCCCGTCTCCACAGGCAGGCTAACAGGCAGGGAGGTTAATGCTCAGCATTGATGCTGCTCAGACAGGGATTCCGTTGTGTGTAGCCCTCCTCATCCCTGTCTTCTCTGCCACACGGGAGCTCAGAGAGACACCATGAAAGAGGTAGGGTGCGAGGTTGAACTCGAAGCTTTAGGAAATAGGGTAAGAGAACAGAGGCCGTAGATCGTGATTCCTGAAGTGCACTAGCTGAGGACGCAGCAGGCCGAGTCAGGCTGGGAGCGTTGGCCAGCCAGGCAGTTAGTTGACTGATTGGCAGTAAGAGTGAGATGATACCTCGGTACCTATGGTTTGAACTGATGCAAGGATAGTGTGGAGGCAGGGAGGTCAATTTAAGAACCTGTTTCGAAAGTTGAGGTGTGAGTTAAAGGGGCCAGCATTTAGGGAAGAGACAGTGGGCGTAGATTCAGGAAAGGATTTGAACCTGAGATAGATGTAGCACCAGGGGAAAGATTCCTGGAGCACGAATCTTGCAAGGTGCAGTTCCCAAAAAGTGTGCTCATATGTGTGGGAACTGGAACCACATGTGTGGGAATGCTCCACCCCCTCAAGAATCCAGGTGAATATTAGCATACGAGGGGCCCTGAATGATCTGCAGGAGAGCTGTTGGCATGCGTCAGCCAGCCTGCTGGGTGCCTTCTGAGATGCCTGGGACATGGGCACCGCTGCTCTAAGGCATTTTCATTTAATCCAAGTGCCCAAGAACCCCCGAGAGCCTTTTGTCCTGTTAAGCTTCATTCTGGTCCCAAGCCCCAGGGACTCCACTGGCCTGTCTTCTCAGCAGCCTGCCCCCCACCCACATTGACTCTTGGGTCCTTGCCATACACAGCATGCGAGACTTTGGATTCAGATGGACTTAGGTTGGAATGCTAGTTGTGTCACTTGCGAGGTAAGTGATCATGGCAAGTCATTTTAAATCACTGAACTTCAGTTTTTTATTTTTTATTTATTTTTTAAAGATTCATTTATTTATGCATACAAGCGCTGGGTTACAGGCCAGAGATGTGGGAGCTGAGAGGATTCACCAGAGACAGTGGGGGACAGAACAAGCAGACTGACAGAAGTTCACTGCTGAGGGGAGCAGCAGGCGAGTCAGGAGAGGTCTGCTGCACCATGTGGGTTGCTCCCTAGCCGGCTAGGGATTGAACTCGTGCTGCAGAGGCTGCAGATTGCTTCACAGGGCGGTGCTTAACCCCTTGCGTCACCAGGGAGGCCCCTGAACTTCAGTTTTTTAAACTTAGAAGCTGGAAGTAATTACAAACCTCAAAAATTTTTTGTGAGGATTAAATGAGATACAGAAGTTTTTACTCAGTGGTGGTTGTCATTACAGGTAAAATACAGGCTAGCTGCAGAGTGGTATTTGGTAGCCTGGGTCCTCGTCCTTTGCTAGCTCTGCAGACAGGCATGTATGTAAGCCCTTCTCATGTTGGGGTCCACTATTAATATTTATGGGTAAAGAGAGGATGACAATATAAACATAGAATTTCAACAGGCACCTCTTCTCTTTGTGCCCTAGCAAAGTGGCCTCAGCAGAATAGAGGTCCCAGCTGTCTCTCTGAAGTAGAAAACAGACAAGCGAGAAAGCATGATAGCCCAGTGACAGGGGCCATAATTCAATTAAAGCAGGTGAGCATATGAGGAAGTTACTGGCACAAACTTCAGGTTGATTGGCCAAGAAAGGCCTGAAAGGCAAATAGTACCTGAGTCCCAGATGCTAAGAAGCAAACCAAGCTCAGATGCAGAGGAAGAGCATTCTGGACAGGAAGCCGTGCGCAGGCCCTCGTGTGAGGAAGGTTCTCGTGTTCACACCGCAGAGAAGGTCTGTGCAGTAAGAGGCGGGGGTGGGGTGGGCAGGACCCCCAGGGCCTTCCAGGACAGGGGAAGTCATTTAGATGGTATTTAAGTGCTTTGGGAACCATTGGGGGTTCAAGCAGTAGCAGGAGTATGTTTTGTCTTTGAAAGATGCCAGTGTGGTTGCTGTATGTCGATTTCCCAGGTTTTCAGAGTTGACATCTGTGCCCCATAGTTTTGATTCTCTTTTGGCGTGGTCTTTAGCAGCCTCCTGCCTGCTTGCTCGCCGCTCTTATTCCCAAGGGGCTACGTTTCCCTTCCTCCTTCACGCGAAGGTGGGAGGCGTGCTGCGTGAGCCTGACCGGCCCGGGGGCGCCGAATCCTGGAACCAGAAGCGCCCCCAGAGTGGACCTTGTCTTGGGGGGAGTGGCTCAGCAGTCTGGCAGAAGTAGCTCCCGGCCTCTTGGGCAGAACTGGCACTGCACTTGCTGTTCATTTCTGGTGCAAGATTTTTTCCAGTGGATTCTCTGTGTGCTTTAATTAAAAAAATGGATGTTTGAGTAGATGTAATAGCAAGATCTGGAGTGCCGTGAGGTGGTCGTGCATTCTGGTTTCACGTGAGCCTTACTGCTTGGTATGGTCTTACATCTGGCCCCAGCGCCTCTGTGCGTGTGGCCTCGCTGGGCCGCGTGTGCCTTTGCCTGCTCGGTGATTGATGATGACCCACCGTGCAGGCCTGAGTGGGGAGGAAAGGAGAGAGAGAGCACGCACTAACAATACTGTCCATGCCAACATACATACTGAATGCTTTTTTCCAGTGTTTTAAAAAAGACTTAGCATAAAGGCAGGAGGAAAACTACAGGCGCAAACCGCTGGGGAGGTCGTTGAGATGCCTTCATGAAGCAGTCTTTGCATCCCTGACTTTACCCTAGACACACTTTCTAGATGGCAGGCAGGTAAGCCTGGCCACGACTGAGTTCCTGTTGTGTGTGAAAAAGGTGGTTCTGGGGCATCAGGAGCCCAGATGGAAGATGGTCTGGTTAACGTGGGTTACGTTTGACCTGAGAGAAACAGGACCAGGGGCAGTGAGGTGCGGTGCTCCCCTGCCCCTGGCAGGCCACACACCTCAGTTATCCCTCTTCACCACTTGTAGGTTGTCCCCAAACACCATGGTGACGCCCCACAAGAAGAGCATGCTGGGGAATGGGAACTATGACGTGAACGTCATCATGGCAGCACTTCAGACCAAAGGCTACGAAGCTGTCTGGTGGGACAAGCGCAGGTAACCCGGGCCCGGCTGGGCAAAGTGGCGAGAGCGGGCGTGGCGTCCCAGCAGGACTCTGGGGCATGGCTGCTGGGGCCTGACCTGTCTCTCCTCCGCAGGGACGTCAGTGCCATTGCTCTCACGAATGTCATGGGCTTCATTATGAACCTGCCCTCCAGCCTGTGCTGGGGTCCACTGAAGCTGCCCCTCAAACGGCAGCACTGGATTTGTGTTCGAGAGGTGGGAGGCGCCTACTACAACCTTGACTCCAAGCTGAAGATGCCCGAGTGGATTGGAGGGGAGAGCGAGCTCAGGTAGCGGCGGGGGCGTGTGCTGGGCCCCTTCCTGTGTGTCGGGCGCGTCGAGCTCCTCTTTGGGAATGTGACGAAGGCAATGAAATGCTGTCTCCTTGGGTTCTCTCCCCCATGTGAAGGCCCTGAACCTTTGATGGCCCAAGAGGACCTTATGTCCCTTGGAGAGGCCCTACCGCCCCGGCGGTGCTGGCCTACAGGCTCCTCCCCGACAGCTGTGACGGTGGGGCTGCCAGTTCAGGGGGAGGGCTACGGTCATTCAGGCCAACAGAAGACTTTTTAAAAAAACAACTAGCAGTCCTTACTTGAAGGCACTTCGGCCTGTGATCCTCCCAGAGGCAGCTACTGATGACAGCGACACGAGGATGAACAGAATCTCAGGTGGAAATCTGTGATTGAGGGGTGACCAAACTGGACACCTCCAGGAACAGATCACTACTGGGGTGTTTCTGGGCGTGCCAGGGATGTAGATGACAAGTGACTGGTAAACGTGGCTCCCAGACTGCGGTTTGCAACTTCACCTGCGTTTCATTTTCTCTCTCATCTACTCTTTTCTCCATAGGAAATTTCTAAAACAACATCTGCGAGGAAAGAACTGTGAACTCCTGCTGGTGGTTCCAGAAGAGGTGGAAGCCCGTCAGAGCTGGAGGGCTGATGTGTAACAAGGTTCCACCCAGCTCCCTCACCTGCCTCCTCGTCCTCTGTGATGTGCCGGGGCCTGTACAGCGGGCCTGCCCCTGCCACTCCCCCAGACATCTCACCGGGTTTCCCCCAGACTTGACAGTGCAATAGGCAGATGTGTGGATTGTCACAAGAACCAACCAGCATTACGCATTCCTGGGAAAGGAAGGCGGGAGCTCTGTGCACGTAGGGTGAGCCGTGGAAGACCCTGGTTTTAGTTCAGAGAGGAGAAGGGAAGGTGGGTCCAGCTTACTTCCTCCTTCCCTGTGAGGACTTGACAGGCTCTGCTGGAGTTCACCACTGCTCTGACTCACCTGGAGATGCTGCCTCCACTTCCCCCTTCCTGGCAACCAGTGGGTCTGAAGACAGTACATGCACAGCCCATGTGACTGACTTGAAGGACCCAGAGCTTCAGGGCCTCTCAGGAAACCATCTCCAAACCCCCAGCAGTGGTACGGCATGCCATCTCCTGCCCCTAATGCCAACCCTGACCCCCATTTTTAAGGGTGGTTTATGGCCATCCTTGGAGTTTTACAATGAAAAGTTCTCCCGTGGTCCACGCTGGTGGTTGGGCCCTGCCATGTTCTAGTGTGACAGCGGGCTCTGTCCTTATGAGGAGGTGGCAAAAGCCAAACAGACAGGCTGGCTCATCTGCCCTGCTTTGGGCTGTGCCTGCCTCTTAACTACGCAGGGAAGGAGGTTCGGGGGCATGAGCCAGGCCAAAAGGCAGTCCCCAGCGACGCCCTCTTGGCAAAATCAGGACAAGTCTACCTTCAACAGCAAATTCCACTAGTTTGAGACAGGTTGGGTGAGGCAAGTAACAGCCCTCTCGGGACACTGAGGATGAGAGTGGCAGTTCAGGCTGGGCGTCACTGTGGTGACGGGCAGCAGGGCGCCGGGTTGGGTGTTACATGCATTATTTAGGGTTAGGGGATCTGGGTCTGCCACCTTTCGTAGTTTCCTTTCCAAGTCAACGGAGAATCGACCCAGCCCCAACCTCTTTGAGTAGATGTGGGCCCCTTTTCTCATGTTTTTTGAAAACGAGACGGAGTGTCATACCGCTCCATGTCACCGAGGCAGGTGGGCAGATGGGACTGGCCTGTCTGTCCCTTCAGGTCAATGGTCTCGGCAGGTCTGAGAGCTGCCCCGCTGGCCAGACTTCTCTCCAGCCGCAAAGCCAGCCCGGGGCTTGCATGTCGAGCCTGAGTAAGCTTCACGGGACGAAGCCGAGGCTTTCTCCCCACTGTGACTGGAGTGCATGTTTACACCAGCACTTTTTCTGCACATGTATCTTTAATCCAACAAGGCCGTTTTTTATGCTGAGTAACAGAGGCCCCCAAGCGGCTACTGCGTTACACCCTCAGCAGCTGGCTGCAGTCAGTCTCTGCACTGTCCTCTACACCAGACCTGCTTGGCGCCACAGGGAGCGCGCTGCCCTGCACAATGACATTCCAGTCACCACCAGCCAGAAGTCACAGTCAACCTGCTGATTGTTGCAAGCAGGCCCTCGGTCCACTGGCACTGTCAGAGATTGTAAGCCATTTCCTGGGAAGAGGAGGAAACTCCTCTCCACCATTCTGCTTGGGCCTGTGCAAATGGCACTTCAAAGGAGTCCCCAGGCACTTGGAGTCCATGAGCCATGGGATATGCAAAGCCGCTTACACATTTCAGGGCTGGTTTCTCTGTTCAATCCGATTCTGGTGCTTAGGAACAGGGACCCACGCGGATGCCCAAGGGCAAAACGCCCCACTTTAAGAAAGGGGACAGGCCTGGTCCTGACGCCCAGTGTGGGGCAACCCTAGGCTTTTTCTCTTGCTTTTATTCCTTTTTGTTGGCCTTGTGCTAGGTTTGTTTACAAAAGATGTATTTTGTTTAACCAAATATTAAAAATGGAAAACTGTACACAAATCTTGACTGCCTTAATCATGTACTGATGTACGTCTAGGGGAGAAAAGCAAACTTGACTATGCTGCTGCTGTGAGGAGGTCAAGCCTCTTGAAGCTTCTTCCAGGGATCCTGAGCTTTGGTCAGACCTCTCGCTTCGGAAGATCAGACAAAATATTCAGAGTTTGGCTTAAAAGAAACACAAAGTGCTTTTCAATTTAGTTTACAAAACACTGGACTTGGTGGTTTGAAGAATCTTAACCCTAATCTAAGCACAAGGGTTTGCCAGCACTGACGAGGGTTCAGTAGTCGACAAGTAGGTCCCACATCTCAGGAGGACCCTGCACCCAGTGCACAGGAGTCGGACTGTCTAGATTTGATTCAAATCAGGCATTTCCTGCGTGGCCTTGTAGGGATGGATGTTTTTATGGCTGTTTCCTCTGCAAAGTAGAGTACACACTATTCCTGGACTTAAGGCTAAGTAAGTTCTGTCCCAACAAGCCCATGTAAAGTTGAAAACAGGAGTAAAAACACACATCTAACACGCCTAACCTCGCAACCACAGGTGAGGATGCCCAGGGCACTTTCATTAGCAGTTGAGCAAACATAAAGCCTACGTTATGATGGTGTTGAATAGCTCATGTAACTTAAAACTGAAGGTCTGTAGAATGTCACTTGTTCACCCCTTTGTCCGGGTGAGGGGGCCGATAGGCTGTGCCCCTGCCCAGCATTACTGTAGGATCCCACGCCATACAGGGAAAATAAAAAACAGTAAAAGTTTATGTACGGTTTCCATTGAAGGTGCCTGTCACCATCAAAAAACGCAAATCAGGGGCCTCCTGGTGGTGCAAGGGGTTAAGTCTCAGCACTATGACGCTATCAGCAGCCACTGCAGCAGAGTTTGATACCCAGCCAGGGAGCTACCCACATGGCACAGCAGACCTCTCCTGTCTTGCCTGCTGTTCAACCTACCAGTGTATTTGTCAGTCCGCCTGTTCTGTTCCCCACTCTGTCTCTGGTGAATGCTCTCACCACCTCCCCACCCACCTCTGGCCTACACCCCAGCTCTTGTATGCATAAATAAAATATTAAGAAAAAAGTATAAATCAAGAATTACCTGTACTTCAATTGTATTGTTCCTATAACCCACAGAGAAGCACCAATAGCACTAAAAATTTACATGGGCAACTATAAAGGTCCGAGACAGCTACAGTAGGATTCATCATCAGTGGTTCATCTCGGAAATTAAAAGCCAAAGAAGTTCCATTTGCAACCTTCTCTTCCCCAGACTGGATACCAGCTCTGTTATTCCCCGTAAATCCTTTCTCATTGGTCATTGTAGATGGGGAAAGCATAGGGATCAAATTGTGTTGGCAGATCTGAAAGTGATTGCCTGAATTCAAGGCCAGGGTTACTATTAAGAGTTCTTGGTGGAAAATGAATTTTCTTTTTCCTTTTGGAACTTGTGACAAAGGGATCAACGTAAAGATGGTGGTGCTGACTCAGGTAAAAGGGAACATGAGGGGCAGTGTGGCTCTGCCATTCTAGAATGGCCTAAGTCATTTCAAAGTGTGTATCGCAAAAGCACAAGGACAATACTTTCAGTTGGAATAATTTTTAATATTTAAATACAAAAAGTGAGCACTGATTCCCCGGGACACACGCCCAGGTCTAACCCCCAGAACGCGTAGAGGAAATGCGCTCCATTCTGGCCTCCACTGTCGCCCCTCAGTCTTGTGGCTGAAGCCCTTTGTTGGTTCTCCCTCCTTTCCAAATACACAGAACTCACAGTGGCTGCTTTACACTAAGCTGTAGTGCCTTTTTGTATTTCCTATGGCGTGCGTGTCCTTCCCCAGCATCCCCATTCTTAAAAACAGTCGTTAATGGTCAGGGGCACGTCCCAGTGGCATCAGTTTCTACCCCACAATAGAAGAGGGAGATCTTCCTGTGGGGAGTAATTTAGTGAAAGGGGAGGGTTGATCAGAGCTGGAGTAACCGTCTGCACTGCTGCACTCTGGTGTCAAAGTGAGGACAGAAGAAGTAAGTCAGGACAGTGTAGAGGGCACGCTTGCAAGTTGGGAGTCTCTCCATGAGACAATGTGGGGACAAATCTCCCCACTACATTTAGATAGCTCAATGTGCAGTGTTTAAAAAAAAATCCAAAGAATCAGTTCAAATACTTGACTTCAAACTTCTCCCACCAAGACGGGTCAAATCAGCAGTAATGAACTAGATCTTTCCAGGAAGTGAAGGTAGAGCCCCTGGCATTCCTCCTGACAGCCCTGTGTTAGGCCCTAGAAGGATCTGGAAAAAGAAAAGGATGGGTATAAGACATTGTACAGGCCTCACACTATCTTCTCATCATACCTGATGGGGAAGACAAGGTCTACAAAAGCAATGCTGGTCTCTGAAAGAATGGCTGGATTCCAACCTCCACCCACACAGTCACGGCTGGTCTACCCAAGTGCCGAGAACCAAACCCCTCTGGCTCTGGCTCACCTGCCGCTGTTGCAGCTGCTGCTGTTGCTCCATTTGCAACTTCTCCGTCTCAAATACAACAGGAAGGACCAGGATCATGAAGGAAGTGGTCCCGATCCACAAGGCTGCCCGGGAAAACCTACCGAGGGAGTGTGAACATGACAGCGAGACAGGAAAAGGCAGGTCCCTCAAGAAGGAACCAGGAACCTCACCTCTCACACCACAAACTCCAAAGTTGTTGGTAAGTGTGTTCTACCCACCGTTGCACCATACTTCTACCAGGGACAGGAGGAGCAGTTCTGGAGGCTACACATAAGCAAATTTTACACTCTCCTGAGCGCTTCTATTATCTCAATGTGAAATGATCTCTCAGCTTCACCTGCCCTCTACCGCCCCCTCCCCCTCACAGCGAAGCCGCCGACAGCCAGAATGATCAAGGAGCCGCCCTCCAAGGTCACGCCGTCACCCAGGAGACAGGCTGGGGTTCCCGTGCTCGCTCACGGCACGCCGGTCCCCCCACATACACCCCCATGTCCTCGCCCTCGTTCCTTACCTGTACATTTTCTGAGCCACAAAAACAGAGAGATCGAAGGTGGCTCCGGCCGCGGAGCGGACCCGCTCCGGGAACATCTCCGTCAGCCCCCACAGGCGCTCCGACAGCGTCTCGTCGAGCTGCGGCAGAGGCGGCGCGCGTGGGGACGACGCTGCGGCGGCGCCCGCCCCGCGCGCTGGATCACGCCGGGCCCCGCCGGGCCAGGGCGCCCGGGCCCGGGGTGCCCCCGTCGCGCCCCCACCCCGGGCTCGGAGGAGCCGCCTCCGCCCCGGCCCCCCCGGCCCCGGCGCACGCGGAGCCCGCACCCCCGGCGGCCGCCCCACGCGCACGCCCGCCCCTGCCCCGCACAGGGGCCGAGTACCTCCTCGTCGTCGTCTTCTTCCAGGTCCTCCTCAGTCTTCTCGGCGTCGCCCTTGGGAACCAGCTCGTCCGGGGACAGCGGCGCCCCAGGCCCGGCGGCGGCGGCGGCAGCGGCGGCGGCCATGACTGCAGGTGGGGACGCCGGAAGCGGAAGGGAGGAGGCGAGACGCGCCCCTGCCGCGCAGAGCGGCGCTTCCGGAGCGGGGCCGGCGGGCGGGGCGAGGGCGCCGCCGCCTGGCGGGAGGTCTCCGCCTCCGTGGGCGCGCAGGGAGGTGGGAGGCCCAGGGGAGCCGTGCAGTCTTACCAGGCCTCGCCGTTTGCCCGAAGAGCACGAAAACTCTGCCAGGAAAAGAGCTGTGCGCGCCTCCTTCACAGCAGCGCTGTCCACGGTGGCCGAGCCACGGAACCAACCCGAGTGCCCGCCGCAGACGCCCTGGTAGCGTGGATCCGCTGCTCCGTGGAGCACTGCTCAGCGCTTTAGAAAGATGACGTGGTGCCTTCGGAGACAAAATGGATGGATCTGGAGGTGATTACAGGAAGTGAAGAAAGCCAGAGAGTGAGAGACACCAGATGGCTGCCTTCACGCATTTGTGGAATATAAATGACCAAAGAAAACAAACTGGTGAATCACAGCAAAAAGAATTCTTAGACTGAAAAGAATGCTAGTGACCAAGGGGAAGGGGTGGGAGGAGGTAGAAGTAGGGAAGGGAATAGGACGAGGGCCTAGGAGTGGAGCACGTGCATGGAGGTGTGAAATGTACCCCTAACGTTGTATGTCAGCCACTGGCAAATTAATACAAAGAAACAAAAACACCCAGAAAACTTGTGGAGGGCAGAATCGGGGTGCTTCCCCCGAGATCCTGGACAGTGGGTTTCAGATGGGCCCAGAAACCTGCGTCTTGACAAGTGTCCCAGGGTCACGGACACACACGAATCCAGGGTCTTTCCTCCGTGGGTGAGTTATTTGACAGGAGTGAATGAAAGATCTGGAGGCTCATCAGTCTTGGGGAGAAACGGCAAGAGGAGTCCCAACGTGTGACAACAAAGGCCACAGTTACCACCTGGAACTCAAGTGCCAGGCACGGTTTGCGTGTGGTTTGGACTCATTTCATCTTCACAGCGGCCCGTGGAGGTCGTTACTATCCTCCCCACTTAGGAAATGAAGTTGAGGCCCAGGACAGTTACTGCAAGTCTTTCTGGAAGGTAGATTTCTAGACGTGGGCTTGCTGGCCAAAAAGTATGAACACTTAAAGGTGGCCGTGGGGGTGGGGAGGGCAGGTTTAGTGTTTATGGGGTACAGAGTTCGGTATCCAATATGGGGGTTTCCATGGTGGGCGTGCTTATGGTGGTGATGGCGCGCTGCGTGTCCTGGAGTGGGTTGACCGCCGCTGAGCTGTGCGCTTTAACGTGGCTAAGGATGCGCATGGTACGTCGTGTGTAATCTGCCACACACGGAAACATGTTTTAAATTTAAAAGTCAAAATATTTGAACAACTATCAAAAAATAATTTTAAAAATGGTCAGGGGAAAAAGGGGAGTCACCAGGCCCCCTCCAAGGGGCTCCAGGAGCAGCAACAGGAGAGGGAGGGGCCCCCGCAGGAGTGTAGCTCCAGGTTGTGGCGGCAAGGACGACGCTCGTCAGTTGACGCTGGGCTGGATTCACCATCGAAAGAGGACGAGGGGACAAGTCAGGGTGCCACTGAGTGAGTGGGGAGACCACAGTGGGCACAAAGGTGAGCCTGCCACTTGCAAGGAGGAGGGGTGTTCTAAAACCTTAGAGCCTCTTAGTTCCTCTCATCCCTAGGTCCTGGATTACCACCTTTCCCCTTTGTCCTTTTGGAATTTGAAACTGGTAATCAGGTAGTTCTTAATTTGCATTGGTGGGGGGCATGGATCCCTTGGGGATCTTAGAAACACCCTAGGCCCCTCCCGGGAGAAGTGCTGCCTTCCTGTCCGCCCAGCTGTGTGTGTGCACGCACTACTCTGCTTCCCCTGTGCGGGGCCTGATGATCACCTGCAAGCCTGCACGCCCCCTGTCAGCCCACAAAACTTTCTATCTCAGCTCTTTGGTGACAGTTCTTTCCTAGCCTGATGCCCGGTGCAGAAATTCACAAAACTGCAGTGGTACCTGCCAGATGCCAGGAGACAGCGCTGGGTACTTGGGGTCCCCGTCAGGGGGCTCGGTTAACGAGGGCTTTCAGGAAGAATTTTAGCCAGAACCTTTAGCAGCTTCTTGAGTAACATCATTTTGTTCACAGTTAATCACGGCCAATATCCAAATCACCGTGTTCGAGGACCTGGTTTCCATTTTGTGGTTTCCATTAAAGTCAGTGTCCAAGAACCTGTGGCAGGTGTTCAGCGGAGACTTACTGTACCTGACTAAAAAGATCTTCGGCTGGGCTGGTGTCTTCATCCAAAAGCAGCGGTTGGTGATGCCCCAACCTGAAGCTCTGGGTGAGAATTACAGTGGGCGCGGCATCCGGGCGCTGCACAGGCCGCTCAGGCCGCTGGCGTGGGAAGAAGCCAAACCCTTCTCCAGCTGCCTGCCGCCGAGCCCCAGCCCATGTCCTCTGTGTCCTTCCTGTCTCCTGTGCTGTTCCCTCCTGTGTCCGGGAGCCCACGGGCTGGAGGTGCAGGTGAAGCTGCCTCGCTCCATCCCTCAGAGCTGGTTGTGAGGGTGAACCGCACACAGCTGCCTCCCGGAAATCCCCTGGCGCCCTCGCCCTCACAGTTCAACCCCAGGCCAGTTCTGAGCCCCCTGGAGTTTGGGTTCCACCTAAAATCAACACACTGACCGTCCTGACTCACAGAGTCACGTGTCAGCTCCACGCCCACACCCCGGCAGGTAAGTGCTGACCCCAGGGCCATCCCCAGTCTACAGGCCCGTGACCCCCATCCCAGCTCCTGTGCCCTCACCCTTGACTTTGGGAGGCCTCCGGCTGACTTGGGCTGTCGCCCTCCTCCAGCTCACACTGACTGGAGCACAAGGTGAGCCTCCCTCCCCACCTGCATCCTGCCAGGTCAGAGCTAGGCCCGGGGAGCCTAGCTGGAGGGAGCCAGGGAACTTGGGGCGAGGCCGTGGCTGCTCTGGGTGGGCCTCTGCCAGGGCCCGGGAGGCAGGCGCTCCCTCATGGTGATGCTTCCTGCCATGCAAAACTTCTGTCTGTGGATGGAGCCACATCAGCCAAGACCCGGTGATTCTTTTTTCAGTCACTTGGACCACAGGGAGATTATATAACACCATTTAATAAAAAAAAAAGTGTAAGTAGGAAAGGAGCACAAAAATAGCGTTGCCACGGCGGGCAGGCGCTTGTGGCCGGGAGGTGGAAGCCAGAGGGGTGGAAGCAGGAGGGCCTGGAGGACCAGTATTGGGTGGGGGAGGGCGGGAGTGGCCTGAGGGCGGGGAACCAGGAGGGCCTTTATCTGCAATCCCCCAATCCAGGGTTCTGGAAACCAGAGGCCACCCCCAAACACCAGCATGAGGGCTGAGCTGATGAACTCCAGCTGCTTCTCCCACCCGGGTCCTCTGATGGGGGTGAGAGCTCCCCAGGAGGCCTGTCCTGCAGCACCCCCTACTCCCCAGCCAGCAGCCCGGGCACTTTCCTCCCCATGTCCAGGCCTGGTCCCCAGGTTTCCTCCATAACGTTGTCATCTGCTGCTGCCCACCCAGGGCGCCTGCGTGGCTCTATCCCAGGACCCAAAAAGCCCCTTGATCATTTCCTGCTCCTCTTCCGATCAGGGGGTCCCCTATTCTAACAGACGTCTTGGGGTCTTCATTTCCTTCTGCGGCTGACGCTTTTCAGCTCATCCAGTTCCTTCTCCATGAGGTGGGATTCGGCAGTGGTCTCAGAGAGCTGGAAGGAAGGCGGCAGACCATGGTTACAAAGCAGCTTCCGGGCTGTTTCAGGTTTGCGGGGCCAGCCTGGCAGGCCGAGGAAAGGCCGCCGGCATTTTCCCCTCTGGAAGCCCTTTGCAAGTGGGCAAGAGCAGTGTGGGCTGCAGCCCAGGGCCCCACAGCCTTGAACACCCCCAAGCCACCTGGCCAGTCTGACACCTGGGGCTGCAGGGCACGGAGACAGGCACAGCGGTTTCGGGAGCGCAAAGCAGCTTTTGGTGGTTCTGAGGAGACAGGGCAGTGCCCAGGTTGCTGTGGTTGGGAGATGGCGGCTAAGGGGACACGCTTGGAAGTGAAAGTGGTGGCACCTTCCTCACTGAGAGCATTCGGTGGGCAGAAGACACTCAGGACAGGTACAGAGACCTGACCCTGCAGTCAAGGCCACAGCTCTTGAGCCTGAGCTGGGATCCCCCCACCCCTCCCCGCAGGCTCTGCTTTGCCTCAGGCCCCCATTGCTGAAGAAACTTCCACCCACAGAGCAGTTAAATAATGTGTCCCATTGCCAGGGTGGAGCCGGGTCAGGAACTCAGGCAGACACACGGCCACACGCGCTCAACCACCCAGGGGTGTTCTCTGCCCCTCATCAAGCTCCTGTGCACTTGAAGTTCTGACAGGTGCTGGGCTTTGAACAGGCTCAAGACCCAGCACAGTGTAATGTGCGCCCAGCAGGGCCCTGCCCCGGACACTGGCACCTGCTTGGTCAGGGCGCTGGAACTGGGGAGCACCGAGGCCGTTTCCCGTTTCTGCTTATCTCGCGGGAGCAGCAGGGTGGGCTTGCTACAGTGGGACAGAAGTACCCCTGCCCTTTCTGCGCCGGGGAAGAATCCCTGATCTTCTGTAAGTTGACAAGTGGTGCTTGTCAGGCCCAGAAAGGTGTTTGCTGTCCCTGAGGTGACATCTCATCACCTGAGCCAAAGATGGCAGGGGCAGGGGGCAGGGAGGTTTGGGACCCGAGTGAGCGGTGCTCGGCCACCGCGGCTCTGGACCCCTGTGGGTCGGGCACCCCCATTTAGCAGAAAGCCATCCCTCAGACTCTGCGGACCTGTGCTTTCTGTCTGTTGCTCCACCCAGCAGAGCTGCCTGAGGCTCACCCTCGGGGAGACCGACGGGAGGGCCTCCAGGCTCCTGCCAGCTGAGCCCCAATAAACTGGTTCTTTCTCAAAAGCCGGTGGCAGGGTTTTTCCCCTTCTGTGCCATCAGGTAAGTGGCACCATGATCTCCTCCATCCCAACTTCCACACCTTCCACCTTCCATGTCAGCCCAGTGCCCTCTGGATTGGGCAGAATGGAGCTCCCGCCCCTCTCCCGCGCTGATGCCAAGCCCCAAGCCCAGGCCCTGTTCACCACCCGTCTCCCAGGGCTGTGAGCCCCGGGTCTGGGACTGTAGCTTTGGGGTCAAGGCAACAAACCTGGGCAAACGCACTCAAAGGCGACCCCCACCGCCCCTCAACGTGTCCAGCAGAAGGTCCACCCCCACCGCCCCTCAACGTGTCCAGCAGAAGGTCCACCCCCACCGCCCCTCACCATGTCCAGCAGGAGGTCCACCCCCACCGCCCCTCACCATGTCCAGCAGGAGGTCCACCCCCACCGCCCCTCACCATGTCCAGCAGGAGGTCCACCCCCACTGCCCCTCACCATGTCCAGCAGGAGGTCCACTTTCAGGCGCAGGAGGTTGTTCTCTTCCTCCAGCTGCTGGTTGCGCCGGCGGAGGCGCTGTGCCTCCCTGGCGTCCACACCGGCACTGACCCCAGTCTCTGCGGAGAGCACAGGTGCACGGTTACCAGACGCCCCACGGTTACCAGACGCCTGGAGGAAGGCAGGAGAAAGCGCACCTGCTATCCACTGGCCGTTTTCAAACTTCAGGCTTTGCCCCGCCAGGTTCATAGTGGGGGTTCCATAGTCAAGGCCCAGCTCCACCTCTCGCGTGGACCGATCCAACTGTGAGGAGACAGGGCTTGGGGACTCGGGGCGCATGGCGCTGTCCTAGCGCCTCTCCCGAGAACTAGGTGACCCTACGACTCATCTCTTTTCTGGTCATCTCATACTTCTTTAAAAACAAAATCTTAAATTGTGAGAGAAGAAACGTACTGCTTTCTACACTAGATGTGTTCCCAAAATGCTATGCTAGAAGGAGCAGCCACTACTTCGTGTCTCAGCTTCCACAGCTCGAGCACAGGGAATGAGGCCCAGGGGCCTGGACGAACAGGAGCAGCGCTGCTCTGGGGAGCTGTCACCGGCCCTGGGAGTCCTGCAGTCCCTTTCTGAGTGAGGCTGTCCCTAAATCCCCACTGAGAATGACACCCCCACCCCGTCAGTGCCCCCGTCCAAGGCCTGTGCCTCGGCTATGCAGCAAGTATCACTGTCTTATAGAAAATTCCTTATTCTGTGCGTCCCCCATCATTGAAACAAATGCTGCAGGGATGCAGGGTCCTTTATTTCGTCTCCTCCATACACAGTGGCTGCAAGAGCAACGCACACAGCAGTTGTCACTCATTGCACTCGAGTGAACGCCTCGGGGAGAGCATGAGAGGATCAGCCTCACGAAGGCGGTCCACGTGCTGTTCGTGTGGCTGAAGCACAGGTGTGGGGGGCAAGGGCAGGTGGGAGTGCCCAGCGCGGCTGCGAGGGGCCTGGTCCTGGAGTGACGTACACTCATCCAACCTGCCGGGCACAGCACGAGTGCCGGCAAGGTGGTTTTCTCCACCACCGCTCACGACTGCGGAGGCACCTGTCAGGGGAAGACTGGCTGCCGGTCAGTCCATGTCAGAAAGTAGCTGCCCACTGTGTGCTCAGGAATGGGGACATCTGACATCTGCCATGTGGCACTGGGGCAAGGAGGGGGCACGCTTCTGGGCCTGAGGGCACAGGAACTGGGATGCCGCCCTGGCTATGGTGGGACTGTCCACCTGCCAACCCCAGAATCTTACCTGGGGACAGGGAACAATGGACTCAAAGCCCTGAACGTCTGGGTTAACCCTCTGCCCTGATACCTTGCTGCCCCCTACCCTCTGTGAAGGACTGGCTAACTGCGGGAGCTGCTCTCTGAGGAGTCAGAGGAGCCAGAATCCACGAGTTCTGGTATGTGAACACCAGCAGTGCGGACAGAGTTACGGCGGGGGAGGGGGGGTGCGGGGGGCGGTGAAGAACACAGTACCAGGTCACAGAGGCTCAGAGATGGGCAGAAAGGCAGGGCGTGGTTGTGACGATGGCCCATGTGTGCCTGTGCGCCCAGGGTGCAAGGGAGGCGCTGGGAACAGAAGTTATTTCCACGTGATCTCACTTTTTGTGATAGGATTTTTTAAGCTCACAGAGCTGCAACATTCCCAAGGGTAGTAATTTAGTAATTTGCTTTGGAAAGCTATCCTTTATTCCCTTGCCATTGCAAACATTTTTGGAACATCTTTTGAAAATGCCTTAGAGCTACGACACGGCCTTTCAGTGCTGCCTGTGGTGGCAAGCCATCAGCTTTTGACAATGAATCTGATGCTCATGTGACTGAGACCCATCTCTGGCCAAGACTTGGGAACAAACAGAATTCAAACTAGGTAGTACTGTTTGGAACCAAAAATTCTATGACTGACTGCCTTACTAGGTTCTTGAACAAGCTCTGACAATGGCTCCCAAACAGGGGTTCAGACAGGTTTTAGCAATCGCAATAATATGGATTAAAAGACACCCTCCCGCTGGCAAGCCTTCGGAAGCCAGGCTTGGTGCTCTGCACCCGAGCCAAGCCGACCGCCACTCACATTATGCAGGTTGGAGAGAGAAGCGGACTTCCGAGGCGGCGTCTTCTTTGGACTGAATGTATTCCCGAAGAGAGGCATCTTTGACCTGATGATGGAAAGGTCAATGTTTCCTTCTCTTCCAGTCAGGAAATGACATACAGTTGGGCCAGTGACTTTATGCCACTGTCCTCAAACATGAAAACCTACAGCTGCTAAGTGGCTGGTAGCAACCCTACAGCTCCCAGGGGCTGGGCGCTCACTCCCCGCCAGGAGGCAGGCCTGGACCTTGGTGTGCACAGCTCTTAACTCTCCCAGGCACCCCGATTGTCCCCATCTGACAGATGAGGTTTACAAAGACTGCAGGGCTGTGTGGCTCTGGAGTTTAGGTACCACAGGGAAGCGCTGACTTGCTGGTCTTCAGTTCTGCCACAAGTTGGCACCAAGAGATACCCAGTTTCCAAAAAGGAATGTAATCCTTACTCCTTCCTGGGTAAGAATCCCAGCCGGGGCACTAGTCTCCGCAGACTCCACTCATAACAAACGAAGCTATACTTATATTTCATGTTTAACAAAGTGTCCCTCCCTCAGCTCGCAGGGCAGGTCGCCTGTCTGTGTGGCAGGTGAGGTGTCTGGAGGAAGGGGCTGGTCCCAGCACTGCAGCGCTGACCATGGCAACCAGACGCGTGCTCTCATCATATTGCAACCTACTGCAACTGACCTAGATCCAGTTGAGCAGATTTACTGACATCACCTAATATGGTGGCAGAAGGGAAAAGAGATTTATGTTAAGGGTAACATAAATCCAGGAAAGCGTACAAATCCTAAGTGTATGGCCGTACGCATTTCTAAAATGGCATCAGATTAGGACAGAGAACATCTTAGCGCCCCCACAATCCTTGCTTGGTAACTTTCCACCCGTGGACATGTGCCACAAGTCCTCTTTTGTGGCTGGCTCCTCCTACTCAAGGTCATGTTGGTAAGATTTACTCATGTGGTTGGATGTGGGTGCAGCTTGCTTGTTCGTGGTGCAGTATTCTACCACAGAAGCAGGTGTTTGGACTGTTTCTAGTTTGGGGCCATTAAGAATAGCGACACTAATAATGTGCTTGGATGTGCATTTCAGTGCAGAGTGTGCTGCTCTGCTTCTATACCAATGGTTAGACGTGTCAAATCAGAGCATTTATATAGTCAGCTTTTGTAGATGTTGCCATTTGGTTTTTCATATGGTTGTACCAATCTGTACTCCTACAAACGGTGTTTGAGAATGTTCTCAGTGTATGAGAATAAGGAAAGCACAAGTGAATAAAAAAGTAGTTAAATTTTCACTTTTCTTACTTGCAGGTATAAAATCTTCCTTCACTATTATGAGCTAGATCTGACAAAAAGCTGGCAAAAAAAAAAAAAGGAACTTCTTAAGATTATTGGAAACAAGATAGTATATCAACTAACACTCAAAGATAACTTACAGGATGACTCCATATCATTTAGCAAGACAAATATTCAATGAGAACATGAGGAAAAACACCTGGTGCTGGCTTCAGGGATGTAGAAATTAGCATCACTAAAACAAATGATAAATGTTTAGGAGCGTTTACAGAGGTTTCACAATCTACAAAAGTGAAGCATATGTATATATGATTTATAAGTAAGATAAATAAAACTATTTGGGAGTGTGTGCTCCTGAGATTTTTACTGGTAGGTATGTGTTTGCAATTAAAAACAGCAGCAAACCACTAGCCTAGGGGATGGCATTTGGGCCTGGATACAGCTTTAGGCTTTGGACGAACCAGAATGTTTCCAACGTGGTGGTGGACGGGACAGCGGCGAGGACCAAGATGTTGAGGACGCCCGAAGCTGCGCTACCATGTCATCCAAAACACAGTGGAAGGTCCTGGCATTGTTTTTTCTGGAGAAGAGAAAAAGGGTGGAAGAGGGAAGACAATTACTCTTATGTCTGTACAGGGAAGAACATGAATGAAATAGGAATATACAGGAAGATTTTAACTCAAACAAAAGGGCACAGTAAAAAACTTAATGCCACTACCTGCATACCCACTGCTGGGTCAAGCTCAAGATTGGGAATACTCCATATATTCCTTTTATTCCTTGCAGCACATCCACAAGGTAGGTATTTTCATATCCCTATCAGAAATGAGAAAATAAGGCCTCCCTGGTGGCGCAAGGAGTTAAGCAACACACTATGAAGCGATCCACAGCTTCTGCAGTACAAGTTCCATCCCTGGCTGGCCAGGGGGCAACCCACATGGCGCAGCGGATCTCTCCTGACTCACCCGCTGCTCTCCTCAGCAGTATGTTTCAATCAATCTGCCTGTTCTGTTCCCCACTCTCTCTGGTGACTCCTCTCACCAGCCCCCCCACCCCACATCCCTCTGGTCTGTACCCCAGCTCTTGTATGCATAAATAAATAAATCTTAAAAAAAAATGAGAAAACACAGGCTCAGAGAAGTTAACCTGTTTTCCCAAGGGCCCTGGCCATAGTCAACTGGCTACAAGTAAATAGATGTTGCACTGCACAGTGCAATGCGGTCAAGTGCTCTACCCTGAGCTACACCTCCTCCCTGCAAGGTGCTATGATAGATGAAGAAGGTTCTGGACTAGCTGACTTTTAACAGACTCCAATAAGCCACAAACAACTCTAGCTGACCTCCTGAGGTCCTGGAACATTAGTGTGGTCCTGGAGGTCCCCGTATTCCTTCCAGTGAAGCTTCTGTTGGCAGGGAGGGGTTCGCCACAAAAGAAGTGAAGGGAGAACATCTGGGTTCCCGTGGCTCACCCCCAGTGGGTGCGCAGCACTTACCTTCCCTGAGCCTCAGGCTTCTTTACTTGTAATCAGGGTTAAGAACCGTGCCCAGCTCTCTGCTGTTTGTGTGCTTTAGTGTTTGCAGAAAGCTGGGCATTGAAAGCTCACAACCACCGCTGGAAGTAGATGAAGTAAGTACGTCCCCCCTCTACAGACCAGAAGATTGAAGCTTGGAGATGTAAGTAATTTGGCCCCAGTCACACGTGGGAAGGTGGTGGAGCTCAGCTCCTGGACGGTCTACCCCTCTGAGCTGATGACAATCCCCAAACCACTGCGCCACGCTGGTTTCCAGCAGGCAGCGGGCCCCATCCACGATCTGACGTTAGTCTAAGAAGGCGAAGGCGGCGTCTGTGGTTGCATCAGAGTCTCAAAGGGACACGCACGCCCCAGAGGCGAGAACGGCCAGTACCCGTCGCGCCGGGCCCGGGCCGCGCGGGGACTCGCATAACGGCTGTGAAGAGACGCTCGCTCGCAAGGCCTCATTTGAGCCCCCCTCGCGGCGGCCGCGCGAGGGGGCGTTAAACCCCGACTCACACGCCAGGACCCCCCGGGAGAAGGGCGGGAACGGGCCTCGCGGGGCCCCGGCCTGCGCCCCGCGCCCGCCCGCGCTGCCGCGGCCGGTGCCCTGGGAACCCCGGGCGTCCCGCCCCTCCGCCAGGCCCCGGGCGACGCTGGGCTCGGAGACGTACCAGACTGTGTCAGAAGCCGGGGTTCAGGGTCACCCCGAGACCTCCCGTCACCCAGGGTGCGCGTCCGCGTCACCAGGGGCGACCGCGGCTCCGCCCCGCCCCCCGCTCTCGGCGTGCGCAGGCGCAGCCCCCCCCCGGCGCCCCCCGGCGTGCGCAGGCGCAGCCCCACCCCCCGCCTGCGCAGGCGCAGCCCCGCCCAGGCTGTACCACCACGGCGGGGGGGCGGCGCGGCGGGGCCGCAAAACGCGTGTCTACGCGGGCCCCAGGAACCCTCAAGGACTCCCGCGAACATATAAAAAATATTCCAGACAGGACATGTCTTCCTTACTGATTTACATGCCTCGATTTATAGGCTTAGGATGAGGTCCTAGAATCCCCCCTCACAAGCTCATTGGTCTGGGCTCCAGCAGCGGGGCCGTTACCGTGGTAACCGCGTCGCGCGGACGCCACCGCGGCTCGCGACCGCTGCTTTGTTGTGGGAAAGCGGCCAGTGGCGGCCGCCCCCAGCGTTGCCTGGAGAACAGCAAGACTCACAGTAGCAAAATGTGCCTCTCCCCTACGTCCCTCCTCCCCGACCACATAGCAAAGGGCACCCCTTCCTGGTGGATGTGGGGGCATCGGGTGTCCCGTCCAAAGCTTTTAGGGTCCCTCAGGGGACCCTAAGGACATAGCTGCCCAGATTTCATCGGATTCCACAGCTGTCATCAGGTAAGACAGACAGACTGACAGTGACCCGCGCGGCTGCCTCCCCAGGCCTGCCCCTGCCCGCACCCACACTCACTGACTCCCACAGCCTATGGGGAAACTGAGGCCCGCGGAACCTCTTCAAGGCCGCACAGAGAGCACGGGGTAGAGAACAAGAATCGACTCCCTGTCTCCTAAAGCCCGAACACTGTGTGTGATTGGTTCTGAGAAAGAAAGAAATTGAGGGCCTCCCCTCAATTTGGTGGCGCAGGCTGTTGAGTGCAGGGCTGTGAAGCAATCCGCAGCCTCTGCAGCGCGGGTTCTATCCGGGCCGGCCAGGGAGATGCCCACATGGCGCAGCAGACCTCTCCTGTCTCCTCCGCTGCTCCCCTCAGCAGTGTATTTCGTCAGTCTGCCTGTTCTGTTCCCCACTCTGTCTCTGGTGAATCCTCTCACTCTCCCGCACATCTGGCCTGAACCCCAGTTCTTGTATGCATGAATATTTAAAAAAAAAAAAAGAAATTGAGGGTCATCTGAGAGATATTTATTGGATGCCCAGTGGATGCACCAGGTCATCCATCCAATGAAAGCCAGGATCCTGGTTCTCTGACTCCAAGTACATTTTCCTTTGACTACACCTCATGGCATCGAAAAGGAGAGAATTCCATGTCCTAGAACCAAAATCTGCACTGTCTAGTCCAGCACAGTGCAATAGAAACAATGCTAACCACATAGAAAATTTGGAATTTCTGGTGGCCATATTTTCAAACAAAGGCAGGGGTGATATAAATTTGAACATTTTTTTATTTAACTTACTTTCTTTGATGTCCAAATATTATCACTTCAACATAGCAATATTCTAAAACTTATACTGCTTCATTTAAAAAAACTTAAGTGAATTAAAAGAGAACAGTGCTTGCTAACCAAATAGCAGGGGCTCAATTACTTGTGGCTAGTGGCCACTGAGATGCAAGGATCTAGCCTCTTCCTGTCTTTCTACCCTCGTTTGCATGGTATTTATTTCCTCTCCCCCTTTATCTAATTAACTCCTGCCTTTCCTTCAAACCCTGACCACCTTGGCTAGGTCAAAACTAATATGTCATCTAATAGAGCTATGTTCCTCCTTCTGAAGTGGTGTTCACTGTTACAATTCATAATTTTTTTACATTTTAAAAGGACAGGTTTGGGGGCCTCCCTGGTGGCAAAAGGTGTTGAGAGGCAGCCTATGGGATGTTCGCAGCCTCTGCAGCACGAGTTTGATACCCCGTCTGGCCAGGGAGCTACCCACATGGCATGATAGACCTCTCCTGGCTCACCAGCTGCTCCCCTCAGCAGTTTGTTCCAGTCAGCCTTCCTGTTCTGCTCCTCACTCTATCTCTGGTGGATCAGATCCTCTCACCCCCCATGCCTCTGACCTGTGCCCCAGCTCTTGTATGCATAAATAGATAAATCTTAAAAAAAAAAAAAAGGACAGGGCCTCCCAGTGGCGCAGGGGTTGAGCATTGGGTTGCCAAGCTGCCCGCGCAGCCTCTGCAGTGCAGTTTGATCCCCAGCTGCCTGGCGAGGGTCCCACATGGCGCGCAGACCTCTCCTGCCGCCCGCTGCTCCCCTCAGCAGTGTACTTCGTCAGTCTGCCTGCTCTGCTCCCCGCTCCGGCTCTGGTGAATTCTCTCACCCTCCCGCGCTACTGACTATACCCAGTACTTGTATAAAAAAAGAGAAAAAAGAAAAAAAAGAACAGGTTTATTAGGAAACGGAAAAAGGAGGGCAGAGAACTGCTGTTGCTTTTGAAAGGAAATGTTTTGTGAAAAGAAACGCCTGCATAGACACAAGCAGGCAGTCTTGGGAGGAGAGCTGCCTATAATTCATAATAACTCATGCAATTATTTGATTATTGCATGTCTCCCTAGTAGGAATAATCTCCACTAGGGCAAGAACCGAGTCTGGGTTAGCTCACCCTCTTGGCCCCAGCAGGAGCACACCGCGGGCCTTGTGTTAGGCACTCAGTAAACCAGTCACTGATTTACTGAACCAAAGTCTGTCTGATGCCTAACTCAGCGTTGTCTTAAGCAATACGTGGCACTTGATTCAAATCTCGGCTGCCAGAATGTGTGCTCCATGAGGGCAGAACATTCCTCATTTTCAACTCCTCTGCCCCAGTGCAGGGCAGCGGGGTCGCTGTTCAATGCAGTTAGTTTACTCCCAGCCTGTTTTCCTCCCAAATAGTGATGGTAAACTCTTGCCATGTTTCAGAGAACATTTATCCTAAAACGGCAGATGAAAAATTCAGAAGGGAAGAAAGTGTGTATTTTCAACATTTCTCTTAAAAAGCATAATATGCAGGCCTCCTATGTGGCGCAGTGGTTGAGCGCTGGGTTGCGAAGCTGCCCGCAGCCTCTGCAGCGCCGGTTCGATCCCCGGCTGCTCCCCGGCCACCGGAGGAGGGTCCCACATGGCGCGCAGACCTCTCCTGCCACCCGCTGCTCCCCTCAGCAGTGTACTTCGGTCCTTCTGCCTGCTCTGCTCCCCGCTCTGGCTCTGGTGAATTCTCTCACCCTCCCGCGCTTCTGACTGTACCCAGTGCTTGTATAAATAAATAAATTTAAAAAATAAATCTTAAAAAAAAAAAGCATAATATTCAGTTCTCCCCTTGGGCATGAGTTAAGCAAAAGCAAGAGGCTTCTTGACTAGGTGGCCTGAAGCCTATTTTTCAAAGAACATGCTGTGGTTTCCTGGTCAGGCTGGGGAGTGGGTGGGAGGAAAGTGAGAAGCCCCGAAATACAGCCTCTTCTCTTTACCTTCTGCCCCTTGCCAGTGTGGCTAACGCAGAGGAGAAGGCGGGAGGAAACAGCTCCAGCCTGGGCCTGGGTCAGCCTTCCCTATGTGACATCTGACTTGGCCTGTCCTGAATGGCTCTCCTCCTTGGACTATTTAGAAGTGTGGTGAGTGAGTCCAAAATGGAATTAAATATTGAGAAAACCTAGCCCCTCAGGGGTCATTTGCCTAATGGAGAAAGGCGAAGCACATGATTCCAGTTCTGTGTAGGGCTTCACACAAGAGGGGGCATCCCAATGATGTGGAGATGCTGGAGAAGATTCTCCAAAAGCATGTCTCTCAGACTGAGTGTTGAATAGCGGGAATGGTGTGTGCAAAGGCCCAGAGGCCCAGAGCACAGTGTGGTCAGGGCCCAGGATGAAGTTCATGGGACCAGGCACAAAGGATTCACAACCACGGTGGACAGGGTGGAGAAGAAGGCGCAACCCCACAGGAGGGGAGGAATAGGGGACTCTGGTTCATTTTTTCCACCAAGCTGGATCGTTTTTCTCTCCTTCCATGATGTACGAGCTTCTTGAGGGCACAGCTAGGTCTTTTGCTTCATTATAACCAGGCCTACATGCCCAGCTCTGGACACTGGGGAGCAGCAATTGGGAGTGAGTTGCTCCTGGCCAAGAAGCAAGGGCCTGGACTGTTCTAACCCCAGGAGGGAGAATAGCACCAGGACCAGTTTTCTGAGAGGCAGCAGAGGCCTCATGCTGAGGCGATGGACCCAGTAACACAGAGTCACAGCGCCTGAGAGCCAAGAAGGCCCTCAGGGACCTACGCCACAACTGTGACTTCGTGGGTGAGTCTCAGAGACAAAGATTTGCCTTCATTTCTAATTTGGAAACTGGCTCTCTGGGTGGTCTGGAACCTTGGCTGTTCCAGCACTCTTATTTTGAAAATTAGGGCCTCAGCAGGCAGAAAGAAAAACAACATAGGCCTTGAAATCCTCAGTTAGGAATGGCTTCTCCTACCCTCCCCCACCATCACCCCTACCCCCACTTCCCGAATTGCGAGCAGCCGAGCCTGCCAGAGGCCCTGCTTAGCAATGAGTGCCAGTGTGCTTTCTGAGATGGTTCTTTGCTCTCTGTGATTCCCAGGAGGCTGGTTGAACAGAACAAGATCTGAGCGGGAAATGAGAGGCCCTTGAAGGCAGAAGCTGACCGTGTTCATAGGCAGCTGGACCCTCGAATGCTTCGGGGAGATGGAGAGCATCAATCTCAACGCCTTGCCACTGGTGGCTGTGGACGAGCATCTGGCCGCCTCGCCCACTGCACGGAATGCGATGAAGAACGCTGTGAGGAAGATTCTGGAAGACAATCCACCCTGTATCCTTCTGGGGTGCCGTCTATGGTCGTGGACACCAAACACACCAGCCACAGGCCGTAAACACCCTCCTGTCCCCCCTCCCTGTGAGCCTTGGTGCCTTCCTTATATGCGCCTTCACTTGTGTCCAGTGACTGGACCTTATGTAGCCTCTAAAAGGAGATGCAAAGGATCGTTTGACTTAAGTTTATTTTACTGTGATACATAGAAACAAACCCAGAGAAAGAAATATTGGAAATATTTCTGGAAAGAATGGGAAAGAAGAGGGAAAAAACTATTTTTTTTGGTGCTTGCCTTCTTTCCCGTCTGCCTTCCAAAGAATTAGGGATCAAGAGAGCAAAGGAGAAGTCAGCCCGCTGCCCTCAGACAATTGAGATCAAGACTCAGCTTTCTTAATAACAGTTTTTAACTCTGGTTGCCTCACCGCATCTCTCCTGCCAGTGCTCCGGCACCATCGAGGCGCCCCAGCGTCTGGCTCCAAGCTGGCTTCATTGATCCTTACCTGACTGATACCCCAGGAGCTCTCAGAACCCCATTCTGGCTCTAACCCTCTCCTGCTGTAATAACCCAGGCCTTCCCATCCCTCTCCAGCTTATTCACATCAGGAGCTGGAAGCTCTGGTCAAGAGGCCGCTCCTCTGCCCTCAGCTTCAGCTCTTTCCCTACTGTCCTTTCTAGCAATCTCACACACCCAGCAACCAACAGCCTTTCCCTCCTCTGATTTCTCCTGTGCTTCCTTGGCACCCTCATCTGCCCTCCTCCTTCGTGTGATGGAACACTCGGGGTACGGCAGAGGAGTGGACCTCTCGTGTGAGGGCAGTGGGCAGTGATGGGCTTCGAGGGCTTTTACAAAGGATGTCTCCTAGCCCAAAGGAGGCTAGACAGAAATGCCAACAGACAGGGTGGTAAGAGGAGGGACGCACGCAGAGATGTCAACAGCAATAAACGAGGTGGAGACCTCCTTTACTCAATCATCCCTCACCTGACCATGTCTTCAGGGAATGATCCAAATTATGGGAAAAGTTCTGTGTGACCTTGTGCACACAATGATTTATCATTGCAAAAATTTGCCAACATCTTATTGTCAAGTGTTTTAAACTGCATCTCTAGATGGATTAGTAGAATGTCATTTAAAATAGTGCCAAGACTGTTGAGCCATATGGAAAAGATCATAAAAATGAATGGAACAGAAGTCGGTAGTAAAATAGGCACTCTCTGAGATTGTAATGATGTAAAAAAGTATTGTGTAGAAAATCCTGGAAGGAAATTTCCTCAAATCCTAACAGAAGTTGTCAGGGTGGTAGCATAGTAGATGATCTTTTGTCCTGTTTATATCTTCCACAATGTTTAGAATATGATTAATTTTCATTATAATTTATAAATCTACTCCTTTAAAGCAAGACAGAAGAAGGAGGGCGTATGTTTGCAAAGAAAATAATCAAGTGGGGCCTCCCTGGTGGTGGAAGGGGTTAGGTCTCAGCACCTTGGAGATATCAGCAGCCACTGCAGCATGAGTTCGATCCCCAGCCAGGGATCTGACCCACATGGCGCAGCAGACCTCTCCTGTCTCGCCCGCTGCTCCCCTCAGCAGTGTGTTTCAGTCAGTCTGCCTGTTCTGCTCCCCACTCTGTCTCTGGTGGACCCTCTCACTCTCCCGCACCTCTGGCCTGTGCCCCAGCTCTTGTATGCATAAATAAATCTTAAAAAAAATAATAAGTGGTTTGAGAGGGAGTGAACACCCTCCTGGCTGGCTGGTGTTGTCCTGTTGTGTGATCAGTTTCCTCAACTCTCCTCCAAGCATGCTTCATCAGCCCTATACACGTAGTGAATCAAAAGATTGCTGAAATAGATTTGAGTCCCAACCTACTGATGGACAGCCTGGTGAGTTTGGGAGGCAGGGGCTGAGCTGAGACTCCCAGGGAGGCAGGCCCCTGGTTAGCCCTCCATTTATTTGAAAGCGAATTTGCATGGCAGAGGGCGAAACTTTTTTTTTAGAATAAACTTTCTTTTTTAGCAAAACTCAGCTGAAAGGACAGAGTTCCCACATAACCCGTGTCCCTTCCACCCCCCTTCCTGCCTGTCACCACAGTGATCCTCTGTGAATACATCATTATTGCCCACTAGGGTTCACTCCTGGTGGTGTTCATTCTATGGACTTGGACAAATGTGTAATGACATGCACCCATCTCTGTGGTATCATTGTTTCACGGCCTGGAAAACCCTCTGCACACCTCCGGTTCATCCCTCCCTCCCTCCATAACTCAGGGCAACCACTCATCTTTGTCTCCATAGTTTTGCCTTTTCCAGAGTGTCATACAGTTGGAATCATACATTATGTATCTAGCCTTTTCAGATTTTTTTTTTTTGCTTGAGTATGCTAATGAGGATGTACTCTCTGGGGTTTCTGTGTGCAGTGGCCAAGTTCCATCTCTAACCTGCAGGATTTTCATCTACACCAGAGTTTGCTGACGGGCACTCTGTGGCCACATCTGGGTCTCTCGTGTTGTGTTCATATGCACTTGTTGGCCCGAGCAGTCTTGGGGCTGGGGCCTGCGTTTCCACATGGCAGTCATCAGCTGGAGCAGGAGGCGGTGCTCCCCTTAGCAGAGCATGAGCTCCCCAGTTTGCTGCCGACCCACCACTCCCTGATGCTTTCCAATACCACGGCCAAGTGTTGGTGGCCTTCTGATCTCCGCTTGGCCGGTTTCTCTCATTTATGTCACCGTGCACCATCCACTCTGCAGACACGTTAAGGGAGGTGCAACATGAGAGGAAAACCCAAGCCATTTGTAGGGGTGCAGGTTGGTGGTGTAGGTTGGGAAGGCCGTCTCTGCGAGCCCCCCAGTGGCCTGAGCCTCATTCCACTGTTTTCTCTTCACCCTCCTCCTCCTCTTCCCTCTCCTCCTCCCCCCACCCACTTTCCTGTGCTTCTTTGTCTTAATCCTGCTTCTTTACCACCTGCCATTTTGCTCTCAGACCTAAGCTTCCTCACCCCTTCCCACCTGCATCTTACTTTATTTTTAAAATATTTGTTACATCATCTTCATATTCGCACAATGTATGGTTTCCCCGTGAAATTCCCACCACCATCTCACGCAGGGAACCATCACCATAGTCCCTCGTGCTCTCCCCCCCCCCCCGTCCCGAGCCTCCCCCCTCCTCCTCCCCCACAGAATGTCTCTGATCTATAGTTGCCTCTTGATTTTGATTTTTACTTTATTATAGTTACTTTGGTTTTTTTCTGGCATCTTACTTTCTACCAAGTTTCTCTGCCCATAGGGTCCTGACCTGTGGTCACATTTTTTAGCTTTCCCCTCACCCCAGCTTTTCCGGTACTGACTATTGGGGTCAATTCCGCTCTTGAATTAATCTTTTTTATTTTTGGCTCCCCTCCCTTCCTGCCCCAATACTGTTAGCTCATACAGGCCGCGGAGTGCAGATTCGGGGTGAGAAGCCTGGGGAGGCATTTCAGTTTATCAAGCTAAGAGACAGATGCCTCATCATGTCCCCCAACACTCATGTCCCACCTCTCTGGCCTGTCCTCTGTGACTGCGCCTTAGTAACCTCACTTCTTTGAATCATAAGTGTTACAGTTTAGGACTTAATTGTCCCACATGTATTGATTTGACTCTTCAAATTCAAGTCCTCTGAGGGCAAGAACACAGAATCTTACTTCTTTGTTAGCTCATTTTTCCCAACACAATGCTGGGCTCATGGTTAACAATCAAGACAACTCGAGTATCTGGCATTTGTTTTTCTTTCTCTCTTTTCAAAGGGTAGAGTATACAGGGTTGGGGGGAGTCAGAGATCAAGAGAAATCTCAAGGGTCCCACATGGTGCAGCAGCCCTCTCCTGTTGCGCCCGCTGCTCCCCTCAGTAGTGTATTTCATCAGTCTGCCTGTTCTGTTCCCTGCTCTGTCTCTGGTGAATCTTCTCAGCCTCCCCCACATCTGGCCTATACCCCGGTTCTTGTATAAATAAATAAATAGATCTTAAAAAAAATAGTTACCCTTTATTGAGTAGCTCCTCTCTGATAGTCTTTTTACTGGTGTTTAAAAAATGCATTAAATAATTGATATTTGATCCTTCTAGGAATCCTGGAAGGGAGGTGTTACTACTTCCTTTCACAGAGAGATCAAACATAGCCCGTAACCAGTGGAGCCATGGTCTGAGCCTCCTTCCAGGCCCTTTTCTCCTCAGAGCTGTGGCCAGATGGAGGAGCCACGTGAGAGTAGGCGGGTGGAGGCAGTAGTAGGGTGGTGGGGACAGCAGGGACGAGTGATGCCAACAGCCACCAAGACCTCCTACCCAGGGGGGAAGACAGCGGACACTGCCCCAAACTTCACTCCAGGCTTCTCATATGCCCACAGGGGAAACAGCCTGGTCCCTGACACCCGCCCTCCTCCACAATTGCTTTAATCTCTAACGTCCCATTTCTTTTCGGTTTTTGAAGGCAATTGAGAAAGATGAGCTGGAGAAGAAGGCTTTAAGAGAGAAAAGTCGCATCAGCCTGGCAGACAGAGGCAAAAATCCTTTTTCACAGTCTTGATGGTGTTTTTGTGGGGTTCGGTTTTTTTTTGGTTTTCTCTTTTTTTTCCCTTTGGGTATCTCCACTGCCATTGGGTAGGAATCCACAGTTTTAAATCAGGATTGTTTTTGTCCTCGTCTGAAGGAGCCTTAAAGCAGACTTCTTGACATGGGGCAATGAGAGAGGGAAGGACAGTGGCATTTAGAGATTACCTCCCTGTGGTGCATTGCACCAGGCGTGCTCATATACATTCCCTCTTAAGCCTTCCTAGTGCCCCAATCTCTGCGGTAGGTACCGCTGACTATATTTTAGGGATGAGGAACAGATTTGGGGGGAAGGAGAATCTTGCCAAAAGTCAACAACTTGTCAGTAGCAGGTCCTGGGTTCGTCCTAACCAGATTTCAAAGCCTGAGTTTTATTTCTCCTGGCTGCTTCTCCGGCTCAGGCAGTCTAATAGAAAAAGGGGGAGCTACATGCTCAGCGAAATAAGCCAGAAAGAAAAAGAAAAATACCGGATGGTCTCACTCATAGCAGGGATCTAGAAAACTTAAATAAGGGACCAGGAAAAAGAATAACTATGAGAAAGAAAATATCAAAATCAACAAACAACTATGAACCAGAGACACTCTATGGGGGGTGGGGGGTGGGGAAAGGAGGGATTGGGGTCAAAATAAGGGGGTTGTAATTGTATGGGGAATATAAAAATAAAATTTATAATTAAAAAAAAAGGAAAAAGGGGGATCTCGTGAGAGTCATATCATTAGTGTCGCCTGGCAACTCAGGCAGAATCAAAAGTCACTAATAACCTCTGCCCAGCATGGACAGCCTCGCGGTCACCCCTGTCCAATTTCTCTTCTCCCATTCATCTGCAGACAAGAGTCGAAGGGAAAAGGAGTATGCCTGCAGAAGCTCAAAATTCAGGACTGTCACATCTTCCATTCCTAAGTGGGTAAGGGATCTTCTGCTGTGCCCGCTTCTGTCCGCTTCCTGCTGGGCTTGACATAGATTCTGTTCCCCCGGAGAGGAGACTTGACGCCTGGTCTCTCTCTGCAGGAGAGTCACAGAGTTCCCTTTCCAGTGGATATTAAAGTATTTCAATAATGCTAGAATTTCTCTTAACACCCTTGAAAGGGTGGAATGAGGAGTGTCCGAGGTTGTTTATTTTTAGGACCTGGGAGGTTTTTCTCCTTAGAAACAATGCCTTCGGGCCTCCCCGGTGGCGCAGCAGTTGAGAGCTGGGTTGCGAAGCTGCCCGCAGCCTCTGGGGCGCCGGTTCGATCCCCGGCTGCTCCCCGGCCACCAGAGGAGGGTCCCGCATGGTGCGCAGACCTCTCCTGCCACCCGCTGCTCCCCTCAGCAGTGTACTTCAGTCCTTCTGCCTGTTCTGCTCCCCGGTCTGGCTCTGGTGAATTCTCTCACCCTCCCGCGCTTCTGACTGTACCCAGTGCATGTATAAACAAACAAGCAAAAAACAAACTAACAAACAAATAAATAAAACATGCCTCTATAAAAAAAAAAATTAAAAAGAAAAAAAAAAAAAAGAAACAATGCCTTCATTGTTTGGTTCCTGCAGAACTACCACCCTGTCCATTCCCACCACAGGGCTAGGTCTGTGGGTCCCTGCAGGCATCCCAGCTGCTGAGAGGCAGGCCTCCGGGATCACACTGCAGAGCCTGCTTCTCACTCCGATCCTCCATCCTTGGCAGTGGTAGCCTCTCTCCACGGCCTCTGCAGTAGCACCCCGGCCCCAGCTCATAGCAAACCTCCCCCGCCCCCCAGTTAAGATTCTCCTTAGCTTCCTCCTTAAATCACTAGGTCCTTTGTATTCAAATCTTTAAATGTTGGAGAAGAGCAACAGGTAAGTTACTGCTATCCTTTCTTCACCTTTTGGCCCAGGGAATTCCAGCACAGCATAAAACCCTGAGGTTGAGAGTCTTCATTGAAACTCTCATCCTCCTGACTGTGGCCGAGCAAACTTAAGTGTTCTGCGCAAGGTGGCACAGCTGGTAAATGGCAGAGCTGACCACAGACCGGCTGACCCAGTGTAGTCTGTCCCTGGGAGCCTCCATTGCCAACGTCACAGCCCAGCTAGAAAGCAGTTCGGTCCCTCAAATGTTTCTAGGGGAGGCTTCCATGTTTGGGAGATAACTGGCTTCCTCTGTTCTCTTTTCTATATTTTCACATCTTTTATGGCCATCATATGTTACTTTTATTTTAAAAACAATTTAATGATATGAAGAACCATAATGACAATCATATCCTTTGGTCTGCTGTTACCATATTGAGACATTCATACTAAATAAACCCAAGGGGGAAGAACGATAGGCTCCAGATTATTAATGACAATAATAATAATTAGAAGTAACTGGTGAGTGGTTAATTAAATGATAGCATGTCTTAATGAGATATTTCATTATTTTGTAAATGAAATATTGTTTTTGGCATGGATCTATTCTTTTCAGTGATAAATTTGAAGACAGTGTAGTAACATGAATGATCTCAAGTTAAGTGGATAAGGCAGGACGGAAAAAGTATGTGTGTTTACAATCGTTATGAAATGCTTGCACTTCCATAGGCGATTTTCATGGTTGTGTTTAAAGCCTGAAAGGGAAGTAGAAAGTGTAAAAGTAGGTATTTCATGAGCGGTGCTGGGACCCTGAATGCCCTGAAACTTCCCACTTTCTATCTAGCAGGTATACTGTCTTTGTGATAAAAAGGAAAAGATGGCCTATTGTTTTAAATGACCAGAAAAGGGCCCATTTTCACATTCTGCTTTTTTGCTTCAGAAAATAACAGATAAAAATCTGCTGGCAGAGCTCTACCAGTATCCACAATTTAACAGCACCGGGCCAAACCAGCTCCCAAATGGGGTGGACTTCTGCGACATGGTGGGCAATGTGATCCTGGCCGAGAGGAACCCCATGAGTGGCGTGGTAAGGAGTTAAGGGGATAAGGAGGTGGGCAGCTCCCCTCTGTGGGCAGCTCTGGGCCCAACTGTACCTCAGCTGTATTATTATTATTATTTTACTCTTGATCTTAGCCTAAAGGCCGAGAAGCGATTATTATTATTTTAAATTTTGCTGAGGAACATTGATTTAAAAAACTCTATGTGATTTGGAGGTAGATTATCACACCTCTTCAGATGCCTGTCACTGCATCATACCCACCATGGCTCCCACAGTCTCCACCATGGCCCACTGAGCCCACTGCACACTCTTTCCACCTTTGGTGGCCTTAATTCCACGGGCAAATTTCTAGTGTACCCAGACTTTAAAACAGCATATGCAGCTGTCCCTGTTCTACATTCCAGGAAACTAAGTCAGGGCCATTGGCAAATAACTGAGACTTGCCATGGCTGAGCTTGAGACACCAGGGCCATGCTCACCCCCAGTCTCTATTCCTTCCCCACCTCCCTGGCCCGGGCTCTGGTCTCGCACCCCACTGGCTGAGCGGGCACCCTCATGATACATGTTTATGTATAAATACATACATGTCCTCTTGTCGATTACTGCATTGCATGTCAGCAAACTTAATTTCTTTTTTCTTAATTAGAATACTTTCTTCACACGTCCCAGGGAGCCCCTCAGGATGGGTTGCCCATTTGGGCAGCATTGCACTCTTGGGTTCCCTGGGAGGCAGGGAGTCTGGCCCAAAAGGCCCTGGGTGTGTGTGTGAGACATTGCAGGGGCCCTTCTGATGAGGTGCAGAGTGGCCAGGAAGCCTGGGAAGTGGTCTTGACCGTCTGCAGCTGTGCCTCATCGCCCCTCAGAGCACATCACTCTGGTATCCCCAAAGCTGCCCTGTCATTGTCCTTCAGCCCGTAGCCAGCCCCCCACTCCACCACACCCCACCCCACTCCTGGGATCTACTTTTCTCTCTCTTCTACTTGTGTGCCTCCCTGATGGCTTCTCTCTGTCTCTGTCTCTGTGGATCAGACTTCCCCAGAGTGGACCACGGCCACTGGGCACCGGTGTCTGGGCCAGGCAGGGTTGGGTGCCAGTCTCCTGCTTGCCAAGGCCCAGAGGAGCACCCAGAGGAGGTTGTTGGTGACAGCAAGGAGCTGAAGGAGTTCACTCCTGGTGGCCACACAGCTCTCTGGGCTCTAGATTTTCTCCTGTACCTGAGGGATAAGTAACAGTCTACCCGGAAGCGTTAGTGGAAAATTAAATCTGACAATGTGCGTGAAAGCGCTTAGCACAGGGCTCCAGTAATATGATGGTTTCCATCATCACTGTTATCAGAAACAGTTTAATGACCAGCAGTGGAATAGTCCAGTGATTGGGGGCGGTTGGGGGGGTGTCACGGCCAAATGAATGTTTATAGGACGCCTTTTGTCATGCTCCGCCGTGACGGTAAATGACAGACATCAGCACGTGAAATCCCCCGGGACGGCGCTGGGCGAGCTCACACAGCTAGTCCAGCCGCAGCCGTACAGAGGCCACCAGAGTCCCCTGCGTGCTAAGTTGGCTGTTGTTTCTCCTGCTATTTTCCTGTGTTCAAATCATCAGCAGGTCCAAATATGGAGACTCCAAAGGTAACTGGCAGGGGTCGGTGAGTCATAACAAGCCGTGGGGTGGGGAGGCGGAAAGGCAGGTTCGAGGCGGTGAAAGCATGAACCTGGCTCCAGAGGAATTTCCCAGAAAACTGCACAACAGCAATAATGGTGTGACTTTTGTTTCTTTTCAAGTCTTTCTGTTCAGAAAGAGAATTAGAGAAGTTCCTCTCTTCTCCTTCTCCGAAAGCCATATGGCTGGATAGCTTCTGGTGGATCTTTCACGATCGGTACCAGGTAATGCGAATCTGGTTGCTTCTTTTACTCAAGTTATTTTTCTGAGGAGCAAATCCCAACCCTTTAACATGGGCTGTCGGCCCCCTCTGATTCCATGGAATGCCCCTGCAGCCTCGTCTGTCACCCCATCTGTCCCACCCACTGCTCGTCCACATACCCCGTGCTTTAGCGATCACGTCATGTCCTGGAGCACCCCTGAGCTTTCCGGGCTGGTCCACATCACATGGAGGGTCAAGGGTGGCACCGAGAGAGAGGTCAGGACCTCCCGGCCGAGAGTTAGGGTGCTTTCTTCAGTACTCTGCCTCTCTGTAGCTATACTATCAATGCCATAAAACAAATCACTGTGTTATCATAAATAATGAGGTGAAATGTCTTAAGATTCCTAAACATGAGAGAAAGCCTTATTTAAGAATCTCAGCCCTTGACTGCTTCAGCACGGGCCTCTAGTCAATCCTTTTCCATTTTTTCCTCCTGCTAGCCAAACAAGGAAGTTCAGAATAAACTGTTTGACCGGATAGCACATCACTACGCCTTTCTTTTGTCTTGTGACTCAAGGTCCAAGTATGAAGAGGCGATCTTAAAAGTAAGCATCAACCGCTGTTCAGGAAAAAAAAAATCCCATTAATTATCTCCTCACACCTAAAACCAGTAGAATGCCCTTGACATTCTTTCTATCAGGGAGTCATTAGTGAGTCATGGCATAGCTACACATTAATTGGGAAAGTTGAGATGATATATTTTAAGTGAGAAACAAAGCAGTCTGTACAACATGTTGAATGTGTGTGCACGTGTGTACATGTGTGCCTATGAATAGGAAAAAATCTGGAATAACATTTGCCAAACTCTTAGTGATGGTTATTTCTGGGGAAGGAAGTTATAAGAGATTTCCTTTCTGTGTTATTTAAATAAACACGCAATTTTTTAATTTAAAATATAAATATACATATATACTTTTTATGTGTGTAGGTTTGTGTATACTAAAAGAATTGCCAAAAGAAAATATAAGTGAATATTTACATGATTTGGGTGTAGGGAGGGACTTTTAAAATTTCTCCAAGGAAATAAGAAGAAAACTGATGGATTTAGCTATAGAAAAATTTTAAAACTGCTCTGGAGAAAATTAAAAGGTAAATGAAAAACTATACAAAGACATGGTAGCGTATATATCGCACAACATAAAAACCCCTTACAAGCTAGTACGAAAAACGGAAACCTCACCCTTCGGCCAATAGGCAAAATACACAAACCAGAAATTCACTGCGGATAAAATACAAGTGGGGAAAAGTTCACTCTTAACAATAATCAGAAATACCAATAAAAGCAATCATCCTTCAATACCCCTTTTTACCTGTTCGATTGCACAGATTAGAAAGTAGAATCCCCAGGGTCATGAAGGATGGCGGGAACTAGCTTTCGACAGACTAAATGGGAGGTGAACAGGTACTATTGTGCTGAAAGCGCTTTGTGTAGTTAAGTGTCCACTCAGGAGGTCTCTTAGGCTGTTTCTGTGCCTTGGTTTCATCATCCACGAAATGGGCACGATAATGCCTCTCTCCCTGAGTTGCCCGGAGGCTTAAAGGAGAGGGTGTTTGTGAGGCATCTGAGGTATCAGCCAGAAGATGGAAAGCTGTGGGTTTAGCATAGCTCCTATAATCGCTATTGTTATGCCATCTGCTGGACAACGTAATCTAACAGGAAAGTAGTTTTCATTCATGGGTGCATTCATTCATTCAATAAATTTTGACTGCCTCCTATGTGCACTGACACAGCTTAATGACGAAGATAATTTCCCAGCATGCCTTGTAAAGTCAAGTCTTGAGAACAAGGCGGTGTTCACCAATGTGGGGTGTCTAGGTAAACTTCAACACAATATTATGAAGGTCACTATTTGGGAAAAAAATCCCAAAGAGTTTATAACAGCCTGGGGGAGGCTTGTGTAATGATGGTAACCAGACCAAGTCTTGTGTGATCTCAGCTGACCAGAGTTAAGAAGCAACAACAGTAGTGCCTGACCGTGGAAGAAGGCAGACTCACTATTACTCTGGAAACAGCAGGAAGGGAGGTCACAAGTATCTCGTTGTCGTCTTCTGGCCAGGTTGCAGAGGGGCTGAGCCACATTCCCCAGAAAGGGGAGGTTCTGGCCAAGTGCAGCTGAGCTTGGAGGTGGGGTGAGGGCAGCAGCAGATGGAAACTGCGCCTGGGGTGCAGGAAGGCAGGCAGTGCTGGGCAGAGGACTGGATCCCTGTCCTTTCTGGAGTCGAGGGCTCTTGTCTGAGTGTGGAGATGCCCAGAAAGTTGCCCGAGATCTGCTTGCCCCCCAGAGGTTGTCGTCGCTTCTGAGCAAAGCCCTGTACACCAGCTTCTGCTGCTGCTTCCCGCAGTCCTGGTTCAACTCGCATGAATTCAAGTCTACCATCTGTGACACCATGAGCCTGTGGTTCTCAGGTAAGACCCGGCTGCTTCCTCTCAGGGAGGGTGACTCCGGAAAAGCTTTGTCTGCCTGAGCCCAGGCAGGTGATCACTTATCCTCATGCCCTTTCCATGAGGTGGTTTTCCCTTTTGCTCCACGACATTAAAGCAAGTAAAGTCAACCCTCAGTTCTCCCAATGTCCCCTTCCTCGAAACAGTCCCGAGGCCTTCCTAGTCCCCGTCAGGGCCAGCTGCTTCTACGGGGTTGGGGGGCAGGGGGAGATGTTTCTGCACAGCCTCCTTAGCTGGCCCCGTGCTGTGGGTCGAGGGAACACAGGAGGCCTTGGAAGCAGTCCACCAGCTGGGTAATACTACCCTTCATCCTCTGTGATCCTAGGTGGCCCAGCGGTGCCCCCCACCCCCCGCCCACAGCACCCACAGCCCCAGTTGGCATTTTATTTTATTTTTTAAAAGATTTATTTATTTATTTATACAAGCACTGGGTACAGTCAGAAGCACGGGAGGGTGAGAGAATTCACCAGAGCTAGAGTGGGGAACAGAACAGGCAGACTGACGAAATCCACTGCTGAGGGGAGCAGCGGGTGCAGCAAGAGAGGTCTGAGAACCTTGCAGCACCCTCTGGTGGCCGGGGATCGAACCACCGCTGCAGAGGCTGCGGGCAGCTTCGCAGCCCAGCACTCAACTGCTGTGCCACCAGGGGAGGCCCCCAGTTGGCATTTTAGAAAACTTCTTTCTAGTCCCCCTCCCCAGGTAAAACGTATGGTTCTCTTAACCTGTCTCAGCGTTAAGAGAACACAGCGCTGCACTCAGCTGCCTACGAGCAGGTCTTTTTAAAGGATGGCCATCTTAGACCTGCCCTGTCAACTCTTCCTGCATACCCTTGTAATCCTCTTAACGTGGGCAGCGTTGAAGACGGGGGACCCCGGTTATCTCACTACAACGCTGAGTCTTGGACGTTTTTGCCATCCTGCCTCCCTTTCTCTGACTCTTCTTTCTGTTCCTCCTTCCTGTTCCCCTTTTTGTCTGGGGTCATGCTTCCGTCTCCAGCCCCCGAACTCGTCCTCAGTAACACACTCCTCTGCCCTTGCTTGTCCCGTGGAGACAGCAGCTTTGTATAGCGGCTCAACTGTCTCAGTAGCCCTGGGTCTTTCCCTTCCGAAATGAGAGAACCGAGGGAGAAAATGGGATCTCTGGAACGGCTGGTGGGCCAGGTTCCAAGAGGCCAGGACTCTGAAACATACGGTTCCCTTAAAAGAAAAGCATTAGCCCCATAAATAGCAGCATCAACTATTTAGGGAAAACCCACTTCTGTACTTAGCTAACTGCAAGCGACAGCAATCATTTTGGCTGTGTTTGCAAAGTCATTGCCAGACCCAGTACTAAGCCCTGGAGGTACACAGATGAATGAGACCTGACTCTTGCCCTCGGGGAGCTCACAGCCCAGCCGGAGCAGAGCAGGTAGCAGGTGATTTGTTTTCCCGTGTGTACAGCACGTCCCAGGGCCAGGGTTGCCGTGTGATGGACCCCTCGCTCCCATGCACCCAGGGGCAGGCACTGCCGTCTCCACTCTCCAGATGAAGAAACCGAAGCCTCTTAGAGAGAAAGGGACTCACTCCAGGCCACAAGGCCAGTGTCAGGTGGGGCTAAAGCTGGAAGCCCAGCCTCCCAGGACCAGCAGGTGGCATGGCAGGGGTGGGGGGTGGGGGGACATTGCTGTCTGACTCCCCTTCTCTTTTGCTGAAGTTCACTACCACTCTTGACTCCCTCTTAGGTATATATCCTCGCCCGCAGAGCTATGACAAATGGAACTATTCGAAACTGGATCCAGAGAGATTCCGGAGGGAAGAATTAATAGCTCAGAAAAGATTGATAAAAGGTGAAGCACCAGGCAGGACTTCCATCTCCCTTGACCTCTGACACACCCAACTACCATCTAGTCGGGGCAGGGAAGTCCTCTGGGTAGGTTCTTTCCCACGTACCACCAAACCAGCCACCAAGATGGCCGAAACATCCCTCCTTGCGAGTGGCATAACTGTTGGGATGTGTGCCAATGTCAATGCCAGGTATTGGGTGTCTACTATGCACCAGGCACCGTGCCAGGCTCTTTAGCCCTTTTATTTAATCCTCAAAACAACTGGCTAAAATCCACACTAAATCCACCTCACGGCTGAGGAAACTAGAGTTCAGAGAAGAATCTCGCTTGCCCACAGCCAACCTTACCACACCCAACAGCCAGTAAAGTGGAGAACAGCCTCGGGGAAGCTGGGAGTTAATAGCCCCTGCTTCACTCTGGCTGCTTTCAACACTGACACTTGCTCATGTTACTGACCCATTGAATGGTTTTGCTTTCCCAACAGTCGAAGACATACAGGAATTTTAAAGTGAGAGAAATCTAACTTGTCAGCTGTCCTCAAAGTAAATGACATTTCAATGAATATTCCATTTAACACCTTACAGAGAGTCACCTGACAGCACTGTTGCCTTTTAAGTGTTTCATCCAATATTTATTCATCTCAATTCTGCAGAGTTCTGAGGTTTTTTTTTTTTTCCTCTTGAAGTCAATGTCTTTTTTTTCGTGGTTGAGTATGTGCGTGTACTTCTCTCTGAAGATGTTACTTCCTTTAATCGGTTCGTCAGCCCTGCAAGGGAGGCAGTATTCACCACCTGTAACAGGATCAGAGAGGTTGGGTTACTTGCCCAGAGTCACTCAGCAGGTGACATGACAGATGCTCTGGTTTGCCTGTGGTCCCCCCACTCACCGTTGCTGCTGTTCCCGTGAGGACCCATCACAAAGCTCCTGACTGGTCACCCCCGGCAAAAAGGAACTGAAAAACTTCTCTTCTCTAGGAAAAGAACTTTCTATCTTCTCTTTTAAGAGACTCTTCTCCCAGAAGTCGCCCTGGAATGGGAAAGTCCAACTCCCTCAGGTGAGGCTTCCTGGGGACAGTGGGCCCCGCACCCCTCCACTCCCTGCCCCATCATCTCTGGGAGGCCCCATCTTCTTCCACACTACCTGGGCCAGCAGAGCGCTCCAGAACTGATGGGGGCAGTGGGGGAGGGAAAGGCGCCCTTGCTGAGTGTGGGCTGCAGCAATGGCTGTTGTGTCTTTTCTCCCATGGATGCTCATCCCAAGCCTGCTGGCCAGCCTCCTGACACCGTGTGTGCACTCTGCCTGGCTGCATCCTGCTGTGCACCTCCCGTACCCCCTCGCCCTTCCACTCCTGCTCTCCCAGTTAGAGGACAGTGGACTCCTGGCTTTCCCCCAACCCCCACCCCCTTGGTCTCTGCACGCAATCTCTACAAAATGCTGATGTAATTATGCCATCTGTTATCACCTGGACCTACCCTGACACCCCTCCCCACCAACAAAGCCCAAAGTAAAGCCCCTCCTGAACCACAAGGCCTCCTCTTGCCTTTGGGGCAGATGGACCTGCCCTGTCTGACCCAGCCCCATCTCCACCATGGGCTCCTGCACCTGCGTAGGGTCCGCTTCAGTTCCTGCCAACACCACCCCGGCCCCGGTGCCTGCGCTCTCCTGCCCTGCAATGGGACTGCTGGGTCGGACAGTCTTTCCATTTTCAGGGTTTTTTTTTTGTTTATTTGTTTTATATTTCTAAGGGATCAGGTTTATTAGGAAAAGGAGAAAAAGGCACCTCCACAGACGCAGGAAGGCTGCCCCAATTTTAGTTTCTTAAGGTAAATCTAGATCATTTTTCAAAATGGCTGCCCCAGCTCACCTTCAGTCTCTGATACAGACTTAGGGGAATCGCTTGCCCAGGCTGCACGACTGATTTCTGCTGACAGCAGCACCCTGCCGTCTGAGCTCCCAGCAAAGAGGGTCTCGTGCCCTGGGCCAAGCCCAATCCCACGCATTTACTCTCTGCTCTCCCCCAGCTCTCTCTGAGGCCTGTTAAGAATGAATGTGTTGCTTCATTGAGCCCTGGGAGTGTTTTGCAACAAGTTCCAGCAGCCACTTCAACACTGTAAAATCAGGAGCTGTTGGACAGCCAGCCCGATGCATGGAAAGTCCTTCGGGCTTTCTCCTTCTCATTCAAATACTATATTTATCTAAGAGCAACGCGGTTATTGTTATTACAGAGACGGGTGGACTGCTGTCTGCCGCTTGGTGGGCCATCTGTTTAACATTGCCAAACTCCTACTCATCCTTAAAGACAGAATCAAAGTGTCTCTCCTTGGAAGCCCTCCAGCTCTCCCCTAGACAGAAAGAATGAGTCCTCATTCTGGCTTCCTCTGATATACTGCTCGACTGCTGGTGGCAACTATTAGTTTCCCCCCAATAGCTGTTGTTCTCTTCCTCTTTGGTAAGACAGCCTCTGACTTTTATCTGGGCACATATATTGCCACATTATATATTACATGACCTAGCCTCCCTTACATTTGTAAGTAGCTATGTGGCAAACATCCAGTTAATGAAATGGAAGTGGGTGTGCATGTGGCATTTTCTAGGAACCTCTTTAAAGACAGTTCAGGGAAAGTCTTTGTCTCTTTGTCCTTTTCTCCACTCTGCTACCTGGAATGTGAATGTAATGGCTGGAGCTCCAGCTGCCATCTTGTACCCTGAGAACAAGGGTTCTAACATAGGAAAGGTGCAACCATGAGATAGGAGTCCGAGTCCTTAAGGACTTATCACAGCAAAAATGCCATTTAAGTCCTAAATTGCATCTTTCAGTCTCTTATGTGGGAGAGAAATTTCTACCTAGTTTGAACTACTGTTATTTTTACTCTGTCACTCATATAGAACCCTAATCCCAATTTATACAATCTCTGTAATAAATATGTGATTTTTACACACTTTAGTGAAATTATTTGCTCATATCTCTCCTGCTAGACCAGGAGCTCCTCTGGACAAGGACTAGATTTTAGGGTCTGCCCAGTGCCAGGTGCATTAGTAGATGCCCAGTGAAACAGTGCTTGGTGCATCAGCAATGGGAGCAAGCACTCATGCATGTTGCATGCATCAGCTGACTTCATGCTCACAAGAACCCCTATGAGGTCCGATGACTTACCCAAGGTCAGGGCTGAGACTGGAAGCCCAGTCAGCCTCAGCCCCCAGCCGTGAGTTTTCTACATCTGTTGCCTTCCCACCATGCACCCCCAGGGTGGAGGGCTGAGCTGCGGCTTGTGTCTGTCAGGCTGCCCCTCTGTGTGTTCCTTTGCCAGCAGCAAGGAGAAACAGCTGGGAAAGGGCATGTCTACTTTAGGGGCTCCTTTCTTCTCAGTTTTACCAAGTGTGTTTTTTTTTCTCTCCTGGAGACTTATAGTGTCAATTCAATCAATGAGAGTGTCGGTTTCACCAAGAAGATGTTAGAAGACAGCTCCCAGAATGCTCCCAAAGGTACAAGAACTGCCCAAAAAAGCAATGCAGGCTTTTGACTCAGTTACCAACTGAAAAACCCAACCTCCTTGGGTTTGTTTGCTCATAATTCATCGTGCTAGTTTGTATTTGCCCTTCTAGCCTGGGTTTTGGCATCAAGTAATATCTTAGGGGAAGATGTAATTGTCTTCAGGTCAGCCAGCACTGATGGAGCCCCACTTCTGTGATGCTGAGTTTGGCACACAGCTGAGACCTGTGGGGAAGAGAGGTTTTGGCCCTGGAAGAAAAGAATTTCAGGTAGGATTATTTCTCCTCTTCCCCGTGAGAAACCACCAGTTACGGAGGTAGGAAGTGATCTGGGTGTTAACGTAACACCCTCTCCACAGAGAGGTTAGGGCCTGTGGAGAAATGTTGTGTGAAGAAAATGTTGATGTTCCGGGGATATAGGAGGCAGGAAGGAGGGCGAGAAGGTCTAGGTTAAGACCTTTATAGGGTCTTTGGGAAAGCACTAAGATTAAGAAACTCTACCTTACTGTTTGCCTTTGAAATTCCATCATGCATATTTAGTTTCATCTAAAGTTAAATGATATCTGGGCCTCCCCTGGTGGCGCAGCGGTTGAGCGCTGGGCTGCGAAGCTGCCCACAGCCTCTGCAGCGCCAGTTCGATCTCCGCCCGCTGGCAAGGGTCCCACATGGCGCACAGACCTCTCCTGCCGCGCCTGCTGCTCCCCTCAGCAGTGTATTTCATTGCTTTGCCAGTTCTGTTCCCCACTCTGACTCGTGAATTCTCTCACACTCCCGTGCTTCTGACTGTACCCAGTGCTTGTATAAATAAATAAATTAATTAAAAAAAAAAGTTAAATGATATCTTAACTCACAACTTTTCCTGACCAAAACAAGGACAGGATTCTGTCTGAATTTAATTCCAATCCCTAATTTAACCGATTTAAATTGGGGATCAAATATTTGTTTGAGATTTAGCAATTTCTTTATTGCTTATTTGAACTCTTCCTTTACAACTTAACAGTATTTCCTTTAGTTTTTATTTCTCTATAAATGTATTTATTTCTTGAAGGATAGTTTTCCTGGGTTCACAAAGTCAACCTGAGAGCTGTGGTGATTTTATTCCACACTGTTGAAAAGTAACTGTTGAAAAGTCTGCAGTCACTGTGGGTTGTCCTTAGGCCAATGATCTTTTGTTCTTCTCTCCCATCTCTCTGTTAACCTTCTCTTACCGAAAAACTGCAATTTTGTACAACTGCTGGGTCTTTTTTTCTCTCTTAATCACAACACAAATCCTTGTTTTGATTCGCATTTTTAAAGTCTTTGGGCCTCTCCTTCCACATTCTATGCCCATACTGTGTCACAAAGAGAATTCTATCTTGGCACCTGAGTTAGGGCTATAATTATTATTCACAACTTTTTTTTTCTCACTAATCTGTTATTTCCTTGAAGATAATCTACTTCCTCTACCTAACCTGTCCTCTACCTAACCTGTCCCCAGCAGCACATGCTCAATAAATGTTTAATTGGGTGGAGAAAAGGATGGACAGATAAACAGATGGATAGATGCACATCTACAGGTGTATCTATGGCTAAAATGCAAGTGTAATTGTATGAATTTACCTGAGACCCTTCTCCAGCATCTCCCGATGATCTTTACTGTCCAGGTATTTTCATACCAACAGACAGCCGAGGTCTACCACCTGCTCCTTCTCTGCTCAGCTGGCCAGCTCCAGTGATCGTTTGTTGTTGCTAATATTGCCTTTACAGACTATCAAAATCAGACTGGGGCCTTGAGGAAAGCCACACAGCAAGTCAAGAAGATAACAGAAGCACGATTGAACGAGCTCCTATTTAATAAGCAGGTGAGCACATCATTGGAAATTCAGGAGTAGAAGTGATTGCAAAGGGGGTGGGAGATGCAGCTAAGAAAGCTAGCTCTGTGAACACCTTCAGGGGAAGAGCGGGGTTATTTCTGACTGTGGACTCAGATGACACAATCGGGAAATCTCATGGGAATTCCTGCCTGCAGTGGACACAGGCAGGGGAGAAGAGGGTCTTTTGTCTGGATCTCTCCTTGCTTGAAACTCAGGAACGCAGGGGCAATGAAGAGAGCCCTGTGCCTCAGTTTCCTGCTCTAGAAAATGGGAGCCGTCCTTTCTAAGTCGTGTGCTCTTATGTAGGTTAACTGAGGTGGTGAGGATAATGAACATGCAATAAACACGTACTACCTGTCCGACTCACCGCTGAATCTGTGCTGTGGTCCATTTTACTTTATTGCCTCAGCAATAATTACTCCTGTTATTCTTCAATTTATTAGTGAGAAAAGTGATGCTCACACAGGTAATTAAATTCTCCAGGTTCACAAAGCGAGTAAGTTATGAAACCAAGATTTGCACACAGATCTGTATGACCATGCCCCCAGCACAGCCCCCAGCACAGGGGCTCTGGGTTAATGTGTGTTCTCCCCTCTGCCCTCCCCCCCATCCCTCCCCACAAACCTCAGTGGATGATAATTCATACCGATGACCCCTGCCATCTTGTGTAGCAGAGAGAGCCCCTTGGGACCTGAGCAAAGCAAGAGGTTCAGGGGCTCCCCAAGAAGCAAGTGAATTGGCCATAGAATCTGGGCCAAATGCTGCAAATGTTGTACATTAATTGAACCTTCTGCATTTCTCCATATGTATTTATTTATTTTTAAGATTTATTTATTTATGCATACAAGAGCTGGGGTACAGGCCAGAGGTGGGGGGGGGGTTGAGAGGATTCACCAGAGACAGAGTGGGGAACAGAACAGGCAGACGGACTGAAACACACTGCTGAGGGGAGCAGCGGGTGAGACAGGAGAGGTCTGCTGCACCATGTGGGTAACTTCCTGGCCGGGGATCAAACTCTTGCTGCAGTGGCTGTGGTTAGCTTCATAGGTTGCATCTTAACCCCTTGTGCCACCAGGGAGGCCCATTTCTCCATATTTATTACTGCTACCTGTTTCCCCTCAGCATTCAGCAGTAAAACTTTGGAAAAACATTAGGCACAGTGGACAAGACAGATAGACATGGGTTCAGATGTTGGGGGTACATTTTTTTATGGCTGAATATTCTACTGTGTATATCCACTCACTAGTTGGACATTTGAACTGTTTCCACCTTTTGGCAATTATGAATAATACTGTGCTGTGAACATACACATTCATATTTTTGTGCATGCACATTTTCTCTTCTCTTGGAGATACACAGGAGTGAAATTGTGAGTCATATGGTAACTCTATGGCTAACATTTTGAGGAACCACCAAATTGTTTAATATAGCAATGGCCTGGTTTTGCATTCCCACCAGTGATATCTGGGGATTCCAGTTTCTCCACATTCTTGTCAACACTTACTCTCCCTTTTTTTTTTTTTTTTTTTTTTTTTACTACAGTTATCCTAGTTGGTGTGAAGGAGTATCTCATCATAGTTTTGATTTGCATCTTCCCAGTGACTGATGGTATCAAGCGTCTGGTCATGTGCTTGTCAGCCAGTTGCATATTTATTTTTTTTTTAAGATTTATTTATTGATGCATACAAGAGCTGGGGTACAGGCCAGAGGTGCGGGGGGTGAGAAGATTCACCAGAGACAGAGTAGGAACAGAACAGGCAGACTGACTGAAATACACTGCCGAGGGGAGCAGTGGGCGAGTCAAGAGAGGTCTGCTTCGCCATGTGGGTTGCTCCCTAGCTGGCCAGGGATCGAACTCGTGCTGCAGAGGCTACAGATTGCTTCATAGTGCAGTACTTAACCCCTTGTGCTACCAGGGAGGCCAGTTGCATATTTCTTAGGAGAAATGTCTGCTTAAGTCCATTTTTTTAAAAATTCACTAATTTATTTAGTTTTTTATATAGTTCATTTTTTATTGAGGTATTATTGCATTATAACATAATTTTAGGTGTACATAATTAACCACCATCATGTGCATATGTTCCCTTGCTCATTTTTAGATTGAGTCATTTGTCTTTATTGTTGAGTTGTGAGAGTACAGTCAGGATTTTAACCCAAGCAGTGGCTCTAGATCACAGGCTCTCAGACTCTGCGCCCACTTCAGTGTATCTTAGAGAACATTCCATGGGAGAGCAGAGAGTCCTGTTGCATTCGGTTTCCATGGCTGTGCCTGTGTCCCATGGTCCACAAGCCCGGTTCTTGTTGGAAATGTGGGTGCTCCCAGTACTTACTGTCATGAACAGGCTAGCAAATGAGAACACCTTTCTCTTTCCTTCCCTCTTTTCTGTTCAGTCTCATCCTGTCCGCAAAAGCCCTGCAATGAACTCCAACCTCTTCAACATCTATGGCAAGAGCCCCCTGATCGTGCACTTTCTGCAGAACTATGCCAGCCTGCAGCACCGGGGCCAGGATGTGCTGATCCACAGGCTGGAGAAGCCCAAGACTGCGCCATATCCTCCCCAGCATGGAGGCCGCACCTTGCTCCAGCCCCTGCTGCCTCTCCCCAGAAGGAAGGGGCATCGGGCCTACAGCATAGTGCCTGGCACACAGTGGGCATCATCGAGGGTGGCCCTTCACCTGCACCTGAAGGTCACAGTCTTGCTCATCTTCTTTCCAAATCTGCCTTATGAGCTGGGTGTGCAGGTCCATGGGCAGGTGCAATGTGCCTGTGTGCAGCATCTTGTTTTCCCTGCTGCCAGAATGGACAGCTAACTAGGTCCTCTGGTTACTCTGTTTCTCCAGGTGCCCATGAGCCCAAGTGTGTGCTGACCTGGACTTCAGGTGTCCAGACTTCCTCTAACTCCCTGCTCACACACATCCCCAGGCTCGTCAGAAGTTGCTGCCCCTGCTGGCAGTTCCTAAAAATGTGGGTTAAAAAAAAAAAGCTGTAATGGATGTCCTGAGTCTTCGCAGCTTGCTCTGGGGGTCAGGCATAGAATCAGGTTAGGACTCAGGCACCTGCTCAGCTGCTTGTGAGTTGAGTGATTGTAGGCAAGTTCCAGCTTCTCTCTGAGCCTCACTTTTTTCATCTATAAAATGGGGATAACAGTACCTGCCTCTCAGGGCAGCTATTCAAGGACGGGATGCTTCCTCTCTGCACGCAGCGCCCAGCTTGGGTTGGGGATACACAGACCAGATTTGAGTCCCAGCTCAGCAACCCACTGGCCTTAAGATCTCAGGTGCCCAGCTTATCTCTGAGCTCAACAGCTTTATCAACTCATTCCTTTTTCAAATGAATTAATATTTCCACACCACTCTTCCTTATAGCCTCTTGACCCTTCTTGCCTCCCTGCTCTTAATCTCAGTAACCTCGGTTCTGCTATCAATGTCCCCGGGTTTATAATTATTTTGCTTTGTTGGTTAATCTGCTTTGTTTCCTTATGTTACTCATATATGTGAAATATTTGATAGTGGTTTATTATCTTTCTGATGTTTGCTTCACATAACCCCCTTGAGTGTCTGCCCTTTGGCCATATGCATGACACCCATCTCACCTCGGGCTGAGTAGTATTCTGTGGTGTGGACAGACCACACCCTCTTGATCTGTCCTCTTATCAGTGGGCGCTTGGGCTGCTTCCAAATCCTAGCTGTTGTACATAGTCCGCTCATTCCCAAAATAAGGAGTTTTACCAAACCAGTACTGACATGCCCAGGATTAAATGGAATACAGTTGGCACTAAATGGTAACAAGGATCATCATGATTACTGCCATTGCCTAAAGCAGGCACTATTATCCCTACTTTATAGACAAGGAAACTAGACACAGAGGGTGACATGTCTCGCCTGAGGTCCCACAACTGCTATAAGTACAGCTGAGGTCCTGACCACGGTGGAGTGCAGGGCAGGGGTCGGGGAGCAGGAGAACTTTTCAACATACAGACCCGAACTGTGGACTGAGGTCTTGGGCCTGAAAGGAAAGGAGGAGAGGAATGCTGGACCCCTTTCTCCTCACCACCCTGATAACATGTAGAGTTGTAGACGACAGTCTGAAAAGGCATCTCCTAACCCTCCCAGCTGGCAGAGGAGAGAGGGGCCTCATCAGAAAAGGGGCGGGGCCCAGCCATGCAGGGGGTGCCTGTCTTCTCCCCCTGGCTGAGCTCACAGGGCAGCAGGCATCATCCCCACTCCGAACCGGGAGGGTCTTGTCCAGAAATGCAATTCCTCCCCTCTCTGTCCCCTCACCCTGCTCCCCAGGCAAGAGGCCCCCCACTAACAATGCTAAGTCAGCACTCAGGACAGACCGGGCTTTCCTTGACCATCGATGCCACTGAGCATGGGCTGAGGTACACGGACATCATCAACCTGACCCGCAGCAACATGAAGAGGCGGAATTTCAAACTGCAGCAGTTGAACCAGCTTCACTGGCAAGAATGGAGTTATTTTGATCAGTACTTAAAGGAACTGCAGGACAACTTCCAAAGGTGCGCGGGCCGGGGGGAGGGGGCCTTCCAGCATGGCCTGTTGTAGTATGTCATGCTGACTTATGTCATTCAAACAATTTGAACAAATACAAATCTTTATGTAACATTCAATATACATTTTATGTATATTACCTACAGCATTTACTTACATTAATATTGTATGTATACATTTTGTTTATATTATACATAACATTATTGATAACATTGTGTGTCTACATATAAATTTTATTTATATTCTATATAACACTTATTTATATCATCTATTATGTATAGCATAGTGTATATAAATGTTACTTATGTGGCATGCAGCATTTATTTACATATAAAATTGTCTTATATATAAATTGCATTTATATTATATAACATTTATTTACATTATATATTATATACAACACATATTTAGTATATACAACACATGTTATTATTTATGTTATATATAGCATTTATTTACATTACACGTAACATTTTATAAATTGTATTTATATTATAGAGCACTTACATTATATGTTATTATATTTTATATGTAAACTTTTGTTATCTATAACATTTATTTACATCATGTATTGCATATAACATTTTATATACAAATTTTATATTCTATATAGCATTTGTTACATTATTATATTTTACATAACATCTTAAGCACATTTGGCTTCCTTGTAGTTGGAATGTAAACTTCACAATCACAGAGAGCAGATCTTTTTCTTTAAAGATTTTTCTCTAACTACAACAACACATTTTATGCTCAGAGAAAACGAAGAATCCAAAAGCAACTACAGGTGTATATGGCCAGTACGCTTATGTAAATCCTTTCAGTCTTGTTTCCTGGGCACTTATACCAGTATCTCTAAACAAAAGTAAAAGCGTCACACTATAGGTTTGCTTTTTAGACACCCACCCCCACACACACACGAACACACTTAGCTCATTATGGACATTTTCCTGTGACTTCTGCCTTTCTCGGTACTTTTATTTAGAACGTTTTCAGACCTTTCGGAAATGTTGAAATGATACTGTAATGAACACAATACGCTTTCATAGTATTTACCCATTATTCACATATTTTCTCTAATAATTAGGTAAAATTCAAATCATTAGGCTACATCTGCCAAATAGTGTACCTTTTTTGGGCTTAACTTGCTACTCCAGGAGCCAATAAAGGATCAGGAATTACATTTTGTTGTTATCTCTTAGTGCCTGTCCCCCCCCCCACCCCTTATTAATTTAGTGACACAGACTTCTGAGAAATTCAAGCCACATTCTGGATTTTTCTGATAATTTCTTTAGGGTACCATCTAACCTGCCTTGAGTTCAGAAACACATTTTATTCCTCAGCCCCCAGGACTGAAAATGACCCTGACACACAGCAGGAGCTCAGTGGTTGAGGCACTGCTCTGCCATCAGCTCTCTGCTGTGCTTAGTTGCTCTTGACAGACATAATGAATGAATTTGTACATCAATATTTGCCTCTTTACATATGAAGGCAGGAGTGAGAAGAGCATGTTGACGCTTTCATCTCTTCCCATCTGTGTCTTTGTGATTTCCCCACAGGGAGGTGAAGAATATTGATCAAAGGGAAGCAAATAAGAAAAAGGCAAACCTCATGTTCATCCCACCTTCGAGGGCTCACGAGGAATCTCCTGACAAGAAATCTAAACGAAACTTCTTTAAGGGACCTCTTGGCAAGAGAGCTAAAGTAAACTATCAGAGAGAAACTAACATTCTTTCAAGGTATGTTTAAACTAAGCTCATGGGAAAATCAGACTTCTTATGTATTACACGTAAAAGCTGGCTCACTTTTGTGTGTTATCCACTCAACTCTCATTTTTATTATTATTGATGGTAATGGTAAGAGCTACCAATGATTTTGTTCTTCCTCTGTGCCAAGCACATTTGTGTAGGTCAGAGCTCTTTGGTTGCAAGTGCTGGAAAACCAGCTTGAACCAGCTCGACCACAGGTAAATCTAGTGGCTTCAGTAACTAGGACAGGCAGACAGGTTGGGGCCAGGCATGTTGGACTTAAGGGCTCTATAACATTTTGATATTTTCAGATTCATTCTCTCCCCACCCCCTGGGTATTGACTAGTTTTTGTTGGGTTGAAGAGGAAATTTCCCTCTACCCCTCTGAGTTCTCAGGCTGGCTGAATAATAAAATCAATATTACATACACAATAGCCAAATGGATCATCCATATTTTCAGTTAAAAAAAAAGACAACCTTTGAAATGGATTAAAGTAAAACCTTTAAACCAATGAATAATAGCACTCATCTGTTTCTCCTTGCAGTGCCATCATTTTTATTTATTTATTTTTTTGCCTCCTGGAGTTTCATGCTCTGTTGTTAGGAGCATACATATTAACAATTGCTATGTCTACTTTATCATCCTATGATGCCCTACTGTATCCCTGATGAGTTTCCTTGCTTTGAACTCTGCTATGTCTGAAGTTAAACGCCGTTCCTGCTTTCTATTGGTTAATTTAGTAAGCTCCATTTCCCTCCATCTATTCTCTTCTTATTTATTGCCCCATTGACTCTTCAGGAGCATTCCCAGAATTGAGAATTTCCATTCTCAACAACGTTCTCACTACATCTCATTGCTAGAACACAACTACATGTCTATGGCATCTTTTCCTTTTTTTTTTTTTTTAAGATTTATTTATTTATGCACACAAGAACTGGGGTGCAGGACAGACGTGTGTGGAGGCGGGGGGTGAGAGGACTCACCAGAGACAGAGTGGGGAAGAGAACAGGCAGATCAACTGAAGTACACTGCTGAGGGGAGCAGTAGGCAAGTCAGGAAAGGTCTGTTGTGCCATGTGGGTAGCTCCCTGGCTGGGGATCGATTTCATGCTGCAGAGGCTGCAGACAGCTTCATAGGCTGCGTCCCAACCCCTTGTGCCACCAGGGAGGCCCATCTTTTTCCTTCTAAAAAAGATGTTATGTTAAAAAAATTAAAATGCTCTTTGATAATTGTATTTTTGTTGCTGTGTTGAAGAGTTATTGAGTTACAATTTTCCATAAAAATCTGCCCATTTTAAGGTTACAGTTCAGTGTTCATTTAGTAAATTTACAGTGTTGCAATGAATACCACAATCCAGTTTTGGCTTTTTTTTTCATCACCCCAGAAAGATCCCTCAGTCAATCCCTATTACCAGTTTCCATTCTAAAAACCTCTCTAGAAATACCATATAACATTACCACTTAGTTTCAAGAGACAGATAGATTATTAGTCACATGTGATATTAGTTTCTAAGGAGTCTCTGCATCTCACTTTATTTATAAAATGGAGGTGATAATAGTATGAACAGCATAAGATAGTTATAAGGATTAAGTTGGTTAACATTTGTAAAACACTTAGAACAGTGTCTGGTGCAAAGTAAGTATAATATAAGGGCTTGTTAAATTGACTAATGAATAGTTCTACAAAGCTTGTTTAAAAAATCACACTCTTGGGGCCTCCCCAGTGGCACAGTGGTTGAGTGCTGGGCTGCGAAGCTGCCCGCAGCCTCTGCAGCGCAGGTTAGATCCCCAGCCACCAGCGAGGGTCCCACATGGCGCGTAGACCTCTCCTGCCACCCGCTGCTCCCCTCAGCAGTGTGTTTCGTCAGTCTGCCTGCTTTGCTCTTCCCTCTGGCTCTGGTGAGTTCTCTCACCCTCCCGCGCTTCTGACTGAACCCAGTGCTTGTATAAATAAATAAATAAATAAATCTTAAAAATACATATATTAAAAAAAAAAAATCACACTCCTCCTGGCCCCCTCCCCTCCTCCTTCAGAGATTGTTAGTACTTGTTTTCCTCCTCAGGTCTAGATAACCCCCGATGCTCTGCTTCCTGATTTTATTTTTATAACTTTTATCTAGTAGAAGAACTGGGGTATAGGCCAGAAGAGGGAGCTAAGAGGATTCACCAGAGACAGAGTGGGGAGCAGAACAGGCCGATCTACTGAAATGCACTGCAATGCACTGATGAGGGGAGCAGCGGTTTGCTGCAGCGACACAGGAGAGGTTTCCTTGGCCTGGGGAGGGGTTGGGGGTCGAACTCAGGCCCTTATGGTAGTAGCGCTGAGACTTAGCCCCTAGGCCACCAGGGAGGCCCTGCTTGACCTCTGGAGTTCTCACTCGGAGAGGCAAGCCTGGCTCCTCACACACTTCCCATCTCCTACCCTCCTGATGTGATTCTGCTGGGATTTCGGTTGGAACTGTAATCAGCATTATTAAACCATCCTCACCCCTGCCATGAGCCATGAAGTGCACTGTGGCTTTTTTTTATTTCCTTACAAAATGTTTTGCTATCCCTGGAACTAAATCTCTCTCTTTTTCAATGGGCTTCTCTTCTCACTTTTTTTTTTTTTTCTTGTGTGCTTATCACAATGTAGCTCCAAATTCTCCCTTGGTTGTATAAATCTCCTGCTAGGACCTCCAGACCCTTTTCATCCCTTGCACACTTCCTCTTTCTCTTCCAGTCCTCGGCTCACTTCCCTCAGCGGCTCAGTTTCTGGGTGGCGTGTATGATACTGGGCGTCGTCTTCAGCTTTTGATCACACTGGTTGCTGTAAGCTGTTTCTGTATGTGTCTTTATGGTTCATCCACAGAGGCATCACCAGGAAGTCGGCACTGCTGTCTTAACGTCAGACGCCTGTGGACAAATGTTGGTGCAGAATTAGGACATCTTTCGGAATGAGGCCTGCACACGTGGTGGGGTTTTACCTAATGGAAACAACAACACAAGCCAACCCCAAATGTTATTCATTCCTAGACCACAGGACAGAGAATAATAAAGTTCACACCTACCCTGAGTCAAAGTTGTCATTTCAATTTAAGTCACCTCGGGCCTCCCCTGGTGGTGCAGGCTGTTGAGCTCAGCGCTCTGAAGCTGTCCGCAGCCTCTACAGTGCAGGTTCAATCCTGGCCAGCCGGCGAGAATCCCACATGGCACGGCAGACCTCTCCTGTCTCGCCCGCTGCTCCCCTCAGCAGTGTATTTCAGTCAGTCTGCCAGTTCTGTTCCCCGCTCTGTCTCTGGTGAATCCTCTCACCCTCCCGCACATCTGGCCTGTACCCCAGTTCTTGTATGCATGAATAAATAAATCTTAAAGAAAAAAATCAATTTAAGTCACCTCATATATTCATTTACTCACTAATTTCTTCATTCACCATTTTATTAGTAATGATACTATAAAGTATCTAAGATTGGTGTGTAACATGCCCATCCTACGTGACTTCACTTAGTATCGTGTGCTGAGTATTCTGTTAAGGTTTTTTAAACATTATCTCATTAACCCTCCCGAGGGCATCTGGTGGGCATGGATTTTGCTGCCTCTGATTTCCTGGGAGGAACGGAGGCTCAATGACATTTGCCAGGTGCCTGTTCTGATCCAATCCTGCTCTCAGCCCTGTGGATACAGAGATGAGTGAAGATGCCATCGCTGACCTCCAGGAAAAAGGGTCTATAAACCACTTGGTGGGTTCATGTCTTGCTAGAGCATGAATATACAAGAAAAAAATCAAGTCAGAAGAGACTTCACTGGGGCTCATAGGTACAGCTTGCACCTGGGCTAAGAGGCTGGGCATTTGGCATTTGGACCTCAGAGTACAGGGTCTATATCTACCTGCCCAGCCAAGAGGGAAGAAACAGTGCAGGTAGAGGTCACCTGACCCAAGAAGCAAATTAAGTGCCTGCTTGGGGCCTACGGTGTTACCCAGCCATGTGCTCATGAACCTGAGGCCTAGGCGGCTCTGGCAGTCCCGGGAAAAGGGCTAAAGGAAGGATGATAGGGAAGCAACTCAAACTTTGGCGCTAGAACATAGGGGGCTTCAAATCCCTGCCCGTTTCGTAATAGATGTATGACCTTAGGCCTTGTAGGTGGGACACCAGACCTTTCTGGATTTGTTTTCTTGAACGAGGAAGAATACTGCTAGGAGTAGGGTTACTTTAAGGGTTAAATGAGATCATGCAAAGTTCCTGGCATGGCATATTTCACCTGGCAACGGCTCCAAGCTGCCGTTGTCATAGTGACTATCCTGAAACCAGGACTTGTTGTCTGTCTGCCATGGACAAGGCAGCCTGCGACTCAGACAACCGGAGCTCACACTCGCCTTCCTTAATTCCCTGGGCCACACTCATTCAATTTGCAGCAGCTGTGTTCAGGCCTATTTCTGGGCCTTTTGCCTCTTGGTTAAATAAACTGTCAAGGCATTGCCTTTTTGAGCAGCTTTGTGCCAGAGGTGGATGTTTTTCAAATTTGAAATAAATAAACAAGAAAGTCTCAACTGACTGGTGTGTGTGTGTGTGTGTGTGTGTGTATATACTACTTTGTTGCCTATAACTACACAAACCACATTAGGATTTGTATCTTGCTGTCAAATCCCTAGCACCCTAGCACAGTGTTTGACAAATAGTAGGGATTCCATAAACAGTCTTTGAGTGAATTAACTGTTTGAGGATTGATCTGCTCCGGGATGTTCTCTTTTTCTGATGACGCTTCCTTCTTTAGTTCCCTATGAAAGCACTTCTCAAATTTGACTCTTGAAACGCTAAGATTATCACCGGCACCAGTTTGAGGAAACCCAAACACACAGTGGAATCTGGGCTTCCATTTGATTATAAGGTGGTTGTCCACAGAGGGGCAGTAAAGTATAATGGTTTAAAATCCAGGTCTTAAATATTCATGTCCTCTCTTTAAAAAAGTTTAGACTAGGGCCTCCCCGATGGCGCAGCGGTTGAGCGCTGGGTTGCGAAGCTGCCCGCAGCCTCTGCAGCACCGGTTCGATCCCCGGCTGCTCCCCGGCCACCGGAGGAGGGTCCCGCATGGCGCTCAGACCTCTCCTGCCGCCCGCTGCTATTGACAACCGACACAAGCTCCAACTTTGCCCTGCTCCCTATCTTGGAAAGGAAAGTTGACAACCAACACAAGCTCCAACTTTGCCCTGCTCCCTATCTTGGAAAGGAAAGTTGACAACCAACACAAGCTCCAACTTTGCCCTGCTCCCTATCTTGGAAAGGAAAGTAGTTCTTTACCCTGCAGGATTTTTTGAAACTGTGCTTTTGAGAAGTCTTACGACTTCTGAGTTTTGTGTCATGCTTTAAAAGATTTTTCTTATTCTGAGATAATTTAAAAAAATGGTCTCATGTTTTCTTCTAGTTCTTTTGTTATTTTATTGTTCAGATTTAATTTCTTGATCCATCTGGAATTTATTTTGGTAGTAGGTGTGAAGTATGATTCCAATTTTATTTTTCTTCCAGATGGCTACCTAGTTGTTCCAACACCATTCATTGAATTCATCATCTCCCTGCTGATTTGAAATGCCACTTTCATCATATTCAGAATTTTTGTATGATATGAAGACTAGTTGTTTTTTTTGTTGTCCTGATTTGAGTGAAAATTCATCAAGTGTACTTTTTAAACAACCCAGGGGTTGGGGTTTTAAAAATTCATTTGAAAATTATGTATAACTATTAAGTTCATATCCAAACAAGGTTTGTATCCTCACTTCATGTATTTGTCATTACCAAGTTCATTTCTGTTTCTTTCTCTAAGTGTACGGCACACAACCTTCAAATATTATGAACATTTCTCTCGCCCAGCTGTCACTACACCAAACTACATATGTTATATTTCCCTAAATCATCTTGCTGTGCTCTTTGCAGCTCCTCTGTACAGCTGATGTCTCCATCTAACAAGTTGTTCTGAAGGTACTAGAATTATTTTGGATGAGGCCTCAAAGTGAAAGCCTATCAATCCCTCCCCAGTTTGCCCAAACAAATGGGCATTCATTTCTGTTTAACACAAAGGGCAGGCTGTGTTTCTGGAAAATAACAGATTTTGAAGAACTATAGCACTTAATTTCTCAGGTCTTTAAACAATCCACCTGGGTGGGGGAGAGGTGTCCTACAAACTGCCAACAGCTATTGTGGGAATTTTTTTTGCTATTTATTCCAGCAAAATGATTCAGAATCTGAAGCAAAAGGGTCACCCTGTACTTAGTCTTTAACCCAAAGAACTGTTTGCACAGATATTCATCCGAGATACATCCAGCCTCCACCTCAACAGATGCTCTTTCAAATGTTTCATGACTCTCCTCGACAATCAATCTCCATTTAAGGGGTGGAGGAGGATGCGCCAGAGACAGGCTCTGCTGGCATGAAGACTAGTCTAAAATTTCTATTTCAAAGCTGGACCAAAATATATTTGGCTTCTGAGGTCTATTTAAAATTTCAAGTTAAGGCGAAGAAAAATTACTCTTCATCCTGAATGGGCCTTGGGTGCCTCGCTCACAGACAAGAGTGTGGCAAGTGGTAAGAGCCTCACAGGGAAGAGAGAAATTAGGAGCCCTGAACGATGAGGTTCACACTATAAAGCCAGGTATGAAAAACCTGGAGTGAAAAGAGAAGCCTTGAGCAAGTGAAAAAGAGCCCCCGGTTTGACCTCCTAACCCCAGGGTCCTGATCAAGGTCAGCTTTCTGTGTCATCCCCAGGTCAGTCACCTAGGCCTAGCATCCCTCTGCACCCCAATGCCTTCCACCTCTTAACTCCTTCTCTGTGACATCTCTTCATCTCAGAACAGCCCCCATCTTAGGGCCTTCTTTCCCACAGCAGCATGCCTTCACCGCAGGGCCCACTTCAGCCCCCACCCCTAATTTCAATGTCTCCCATCTCAGTGTCCTCTCCCTGATCTCAGCATCTCCCTCAGCTCAGGGGAGGGCCCAGCTTCCTTCCATCAAAGTTCCTCTCCTCAGCACTTTTTTTTTAAAGATTTATTTATTTATGCATACAAAAACTAGGGTACAGGCCAGAGGTGGGGGGGGGTGAGAGGATTCACCAGAGACAGAGTAGGGAACAGAACAGACTGACTGACTGAAATACACTGCTGAGGGGAGCAGCAGGCACGACAGGAGAGGTCTGCTGCACCATGTGGGTAGCTCCCTGACAGAGGATTGAACTCGTGCTGCAGTGGCTGCGGAGAGCTTCATAGGTTGTGTCTTAACCTCTTGTGCCACCAGGGCGGCCCTCCTCAGCGCTCTTGCTCCACCTCAGCACCCTCCCTCACCCCAGAGCACCACCCTAGAAGCTCCTTTCAAGGTTCCAGATAGGTAACCCTGCCCTCGCCTTCTGCCCAGGACACGCCCACTTTTAGGACAGGCCTCGGCCCCGCCCACGCCCTGGCCCCGCCCACGCCGGGCCCCGCCCACGCCGGGCCCCGCCCACGCCGGGCGCGCTCTCCAGCCCTAGCGGTTTGGCGCCAAAGGTCGCGGCCCGCGACGCTCAGCGACGAGCGACGGTCTCCGAGTTCGGTTCCGAGTCAGAGTCCCAGAGGACTAGCAAGCCCGGGCTGGGGGCCGAGGGGATTCACCTTAGAAATCTCGGGGAGACTCCGGGTATGAGGTGGGTTTGTGGCAAAAAGGGAAACTGAGCAACGAGTGAGGGGCGGCCCCAGGCGTCCCTCCTTGGGTGGTGTTGGGGGCGGTGCTGGTCCGGGCTCGTGGCTTCGGGCGACCCGCCCCGCGGCCCTCAGGAAACTGGGGGTCGCCGGGGATCCCAGCGTCCTTATTTCAAATCAAATCCTAAGATTGAGGAGGCGTCCTCGGCCGCCTTAGGAGGGAATCGCGCGTCAGGAACGTGAGCGGCCGGCGCGAGCGGCCCACCGCTGAGGTAGGTGGAGGGTGACCCCGACACCCTTTCCTGCGTGGACCCCACTTTAGGGGTGCTGCCTTAGAGGGATGGAGGAGAACCTTCGTTTAGCGGAGAACAATGACTATTAGCTCATTGGATGGCTGAGGGGCAGTGTTCCAGAAGCTTCCTGTTGGCTTCTCCCTGGGTGCCTCAGA